AAGTGCACCTTCATGACAGAAATCGATACATTTCTTTCGAGTATTGAGTAGATTGAGCTTTTGAATAAATGAGCTTCATATTTGTGTGTATGCATATACGCAAAGTATTATTTTGCGTTATGTGAAACTCATATATACGCAGCTAATACATATATGCATGCATCTTTTCAGCAACAATTTTATACCTTTGGTAGTCACTCAAAGTCAAAAGTGTACACTCCACATGCATATTTAGCTACCAACTTAAAAAAATTAATTTTATCGTTATAAATGTCAAGGATTAATAGTCTCAGGTTTAACATATGTACATGTTTGCCACAGGAGAAACACGCGATTATTGAGACCAGTAGAACATGAAATATAAATAAATGTATCCGCAAAATAGAAATTTTACATCCCGCGTTCTCAATTAAAAGTTATCCCTGCAAAATGCTGGCATATTTAATGAATGTATTCAACAGACACGAAAATTGCATTCTGTCAAAGTTCAGCCCAAATCCAATATTGTCTTCAAACTGGTTGGTGGTCTCTTATTTGGCATTTTGTATTTAACCCCACATAACGTTCGCAATACCACCAGCCACCAGTGCAATATAGGGAAAATATCCTTTCTCCACCCCATTTCGCACAGGATTTTCCCTTGGCGTGGTTATAATTAGCTATTTATGTGTAGTGAACATACATACGTTCCAGCTCTTTTGAGTCCTACTTAACAACACTACTTGTCAATTTATTTCACAGTTTAGGTTGGTTTCGTTAGTTCATTCAAGTTTGTTTAAATGTTTGGCCTTACTGGTGCTTTCTGCTTCCTGTGATTTTGTATATGTGGCACTTAGTTTTTACTGCCGACGTAAAGTAAAATAGTGGATTTTGCAAGGCGTTTTTAGTGTGCGCATAATGGCAAGAGTTCCATACATATTGTGTTTTATACTTCATCATTCATTGCAGTACTGAGGAGTAGACAAATTGAGTAAAACTAACTAAGGAAGTTCAACCAAACTTGTGAGCAGGCTTGTGTTTTGGTTCCTTAGTGAAAGTCAGTTGGGTGGAATTGGTACTGTGGGAATTTGAACATCGGACGAAATAGTTTAGCAAGCCAATACGTCCCACACATGTCTGTATTACCACAAAATAGCGAATACCACTGCTTCACATAGACGTAAAAAGCGACAGACAGACAGGTTATTCCAAGAACGACGTACATGTATGTAGTTTGGTGGTACATATGCTCTGTAAACGGTAAAATTCACTGTCTGTGTCGTATACCAGCATTAGTGGTTGTTTTACAGTATTCTGAGCCCAATTTTTGTTATTGTGTTGTGACTTTCATTTTTCTGTCAGTGTTTATGTCCTTCACTTCAGTCCTCAATCTGTGGGTGTGTATGTAGATTATTTAACACGTTCGTCGATGTTTACTCGCACACATATTAAGAACGAATGCACTCTCCAATTGTCTTTTGACATTTTTGTGGCATTTATGAAGCTGATGTCTCAAGAAAACTAAACATGTTAAATATGTAACATGTAATTGTCTTGCTTTGTCTAATACCAATTTCGTGAATTCGCTTTGACCCAAATATTCCTCAATCAGTATGCTGTGCTGTGCGCTAAAAAATTGACCATGAATGCGTACTAACTAATCCTAAGTATGTTAACTCTTCAATATATGTGAAATCTAATATCCCAAGTTACATACAATGGATATTTGCTTTCTTTGGCTTGAAAAAAACTTGTGTGGACTACATGTGGATTCTTAATTTTCGTCAAACAGTATAAGGTTGAGAATTAATTGAAATAACCCCTAAAAAAATAATGTGCACAGCAAAACTGCCCCTAATTTAAACCCTACGACATAACCAGTATTGCAAAAACTACTATTACGAAATGATTACTGAACTCAATAGAAAATTCGAGTCAGGATCACGTGAGGTGGGACCAAGAGTAATTTTTAGCCATAATTTTTTTCTAACCTGATAATTAATCAATATCTACTCTCATCCAAGACACCATAATCTGGTCCTAGTAACTAAACGTAGCGCAGACTACGGCGTACTTAAGAAGGAACCCTGGGGTAAAAGTACTTTAAATAATAAAACGCTACTGGTAAACCAAGTCACGTAGCTGACAACGGTTTATGAAAGCAAAGCTTTTAGTAGAGAAGGATCAGAGTGTGTTGAGTGGATGAACTGCACATGTATTCACCTTCTTCATTTTTACTTTTACTTAGATATGTATGTACCAACCACGATCGCCAACTTTCATAATGAGGTGCTTTCTTTTTATCATGAAATAAGACTTTTGTTTATATCTCCAACTTTATTGCCTACGAACTGGTACATTTATACAGAAACTGAACCTTACAATGAGTACTTAGTACTGCCTACCAGCGTCGAAAAGCTACGTAGAAAGTCGTGGAAATGAACATTTGTCAAAATATACAGTTATATTATACGAGTTGTGACGTAAAATGTCAATTTTCTTTCTTGGTTTTAAAGCTCAGGAAGGGAGTTTGTGACTGACATACTCACAGATGTTGATGCCCTTTGCCCTATGCCAACCGTTGAACCCTATGCTCAACTGTTGACATTAAAAAATTCACCAAAAATCCTATTTTTACCCGATTTTAATGATTTTCAAATTTGTTTTTATAATATCCGACATCAATCTCAATTTTTGTATATCTTTCTTAATAATGCCGGGACTATGTCTTCGAAAAGTTTAGCTTAATATTGAATGTAATAAAGCAACTATCGAATTTCAGCTAAATGCTAAAACTATGCAAATCCGATCAAAATTGGATTTTGGCAAAACAGGGTGTTTTTCGTGGTTTTGGCCACTTTGAGGGGGTGTGGCAAGTTGGGACGTAGAGTAAAACCCTCTTTCACTCGCCTAGTACTACAAAATGTCCAAAGGGCATCAAAATCTGTGAGTCTGTCAGTCGCAAGTTATCCTCCTCAGTGTCGCTGTCATTAGTGTCATTCATTCAGAGGCGGAGAGGACGCGAGTTTACTTTGTGGGTAGGTAGCGTCAACCCACAGGCAGTAATCATCGTAAAACAAGAGAAATATGGACTTTAATTAAGATTTTAGTTTAATGCTGATGGACATGAAATGGCGTGAGGGGATGGATGAAAACAATCAAGGGAGCTTACACTTTACTCAAATATGATGAAAGTGCAGGATTCTTTATGGAAGAGAGACCATTATTTCGTCCAACTCTAAAAATCTTCTTATCCAACATGTTTACCAAAGCGAAGATGGCCTTGAGGAAAGTTTGCTTTACTGTTTCTATTTGTTTTGACAAAATTAAATTACACTGCGGCGGCCTGGTCTTCTGAGCAAATTGAATTTACTTTGTTTTGTCTCTCCTCCCGATAGAATGATGGAATATTTTTGAATATTGTGTGGTAAACGTGGTTAAGATGAAAATGTGAATGATGTGCATAGCTAACAGTTGCCAAACTGTTGACAGTCATCGATCCTAAAAATTGAATTACAATATGCACATTATGTAGTTTGCTGAAGGGATAAAAAACATCCGCATCTCAAAAAAACACCCCTTATTTTGTCGGATGTAGAATTTGAAACACATGAGTTGTAGATAATATTATTTTCCTCTGAGTTTACATACATTTCTGTTAAAAATGCTATGTACAAGTTTTGTCAGAATGTCCGTTGATGAGTCATTAAATTTTTCATATTACTCATCTACTTGAATCTGAACTACTTGATGATACCTCTTAAATTGTGTTTAGACTTTGAGAAACTGCATGGGCAAAATATGTTGAAGAATTGGATTTGTTCAGTATGTGTATACATATTTATATGTATGTATATGTATACCAGATGCCTTCTTTATCCATACTTACCCATCACAGTTTAATTTCCCCCACATACACATGACTAGACTGTTCACTCTTACTTTTAGTGCTTACTGATTACATTGAATATGCGACGATGAAGTACTTTTAGAGGAGGAAGGAGGAAATAGGTCGTGAAAATCCCATACTCACCGCCTGCTTGTCCCGTCGTCGGTTTTGGCATTAGTTCAGCAGAACAAGATCTCACTCTCTCTCTCTCACTTTCTTCCTTACTCAATTACTCGGGCCCTGTCTCATGTGAATACGCGTATGTCGCGTTGGGTGCGACAAAACAATGTTCATTTTTAAGAACTATCAACTCATGATCTAATTAACAGCAGCAGCTCGTAATTGAATAAGCAAGCATTGTAGGAAAACAGAGCCTTTTAGTCTACAGTAAGTCTCCTTTATGGTAGTGAAATGCTCCGTAATTTTGATATCTTCATCCTCAATTAACGTGATATGGTCTTGATAAATCTAATTGACATGCGTTGACTGAATCGAGGAGCTACTTTAATTTGTGTGGAGATAATTCGTGTTTCTAAATAATTTCATGATCCGGAAGCAATCTAATGACAAAAATCTTGCACTTGACGCAAAACTGAGCGTACAACATGGTTACTGATATTAAAATCTATGCACATGTCTAAATATATATACACTCTGTTCTGCCCTTGCTACTTGATCTTATTCCATATTTTATAATTAAGTTGACAAACCAGGATCGAAACAAATAAAATATGAAAATAAAGGTCTAGTGAAATTGTCCGTTCGATAATTCTATATGAGTGCTATTAGAACTGATTTATTTGTATACCATCTTATAAAAACCTTCATATGTATATAACTTGTAATTTTAATGCGGACTTTCTCTCAAGCGAATATGCATGCATTTGAACTTTGGAGGTTATGAAAACTTGAGCAATAAACTGGGTATCGAAACTGAGCGTTCAATCAAAAGGAGTTGTGAAACTAATGCTGATGAGGAGAACCAGAACTGGGAAACACATATTCCAAGTTAAATTGTGAATAATTTCGGGGAAATTTATGAAGCCATTTACTCCGTTAGCTATGAATAAATGTGCATACAAACCTTACGATAGTTCATTCGTAATAGCGGTGTCATTATATATAATTGCAGGACCACTGGGAAACTATATGGCCAATGCCTACTGAAACTGCTGCTACGTTAGGATTTAACTGTATTGATGTGCTGGATATTTATTTATTCATGGACGAGATCTTTGACCGATTAAGTTTGTCCGTCGATGAGGATGATAATAACAATGCATCAAGATAAGAGTTAAACCCATTTCAACTTCGTCATACATTCGTTTTTTTTGGGAGGACAAAAATAACACCGAGAGACAAAAAATACACCGGATTCATCCTTCGTCGGCTGCCGACTTCCAAAAGTCTACAACCATTCACCTACATAAATTAACGTTCCGTCCTGCTAGAAAAAGTAAGTTTGGCATCTGTTCTGAACGGGATTTAAATAATTGGTTTTTAATTTCAATCACCATGTTCAATTTCAGACCATGGAGAAGGTCCACCTCAGTAATACTGATTCTGAAGATAGTGAAAATGTCCATCTTCGAAGTCAAAGCTAGTATTAAGACAGTAATTATAAACGACATAGGAAAATCGTCTCGGTGCTTAAAGACTATACATAATCATTGTCATACTTATCATCAAAGTGTGTGCCACGTGGCTTAGTTAAGTGATTGTAATAGTTTGACAATTATTGTAAAATTATGGGCCACCCCAGGAGTTGGCTCTTGGGCAACGGCCAAAGTAGACGAATGATGTCCCTGCAGACGTTACTGAGCATATTGCTCTTTGCGGTCCTGGCATTTGCAAAGGGTTACAACGCTCAAGAGACCGCAACAAATTCTACAGATGATGATGACGACGACGACGAGGGAAGATGCGACCCTGGTTTGGTTCTACCCGTGTGGTTACCACAAGATGATCTCTCAACGGGTATGTGCATGCAAATTATCGGTATGTACGGGCATGCATGTTGATAACACTAAAAATTTGTTGTAGGTGATCGATTCGCCCGTGGACTGGCATATTTCTTGGGTACGACCCTAATCCTAAAAGTGTTTTTAAGACTATCTTTTGCAATATTTAGGCTTTATGTACAAAAATTATAATTTTATGTACATTGATTCACTGATAGTACTCATTTGTTACTATACCCTAACTCTGATTGCCCAATTTCTTGTACTCCCGTTACAGCCATGATTTACATGTTTATCGGCGTCTCCATCATTTCTGACCGATTCATGGCCTCGATTGAAGTGATCACGTCAAAGGAAAAGGAAATCAAAGTGAAGCGACCAAATGGAGAAACGCAAATTGTTGTCGTGCGAGTGTGGAACGAAACAGTTGCAAATTTGACATTGATGGCCCTCGGATCCTCCGCACCTGAGATTTTACTTTCCATTATTGAGATTTACGCCAAGAATTTTGAGCCCGGTGATCTCGGTAAGTTATTAGCACCCAAGTATATTTGTACGAATCTGGTGCTATAATTTACGTATTGATTTTTTAGGTCCTGGTACAATTGTTGGTGAGGGAAACAGTCGACCTATTTAAATTTCACTAATGGCATATTTAGTACACACGGGAATAATAGCGACATTATATTTCTGATCCATGTAGGTTCCGCTGCATTCAATCTGCTTGTCATCATTGCCATCTGCGTGTATGTCATCCCGGACGGTGAGGTCCGAAAAATCAAGCATTTAAGAGTATTCGCCGTCACCGCCACATGGTCCATCTTTGCTTATCTGTGGCTTTTGGTTATCTTAAAGTTCATTACTCCTGGTAAGGTTTATATCGATATCAAAGTAATTTCCATCAAACTAAATCGCAATATTCACCATAACAGGAGTAGTCGACTTATGGGAAGGAATTATCACTTTCCTCTTCTTTCCGGCCACCGTCATCACCGCTTACATTGCTGACCGACGACTTCTCATTTACAAATATCTCCATAAAGGTTACCGTCTCAACAAGCGAGGTGTCATTGTAGAAGGTGAAATTGGTTCTGAAATGGACAAAGTTAATGTGGAATCCGGTGGGCTCAGAATCTTTGAAGAGGAAAATGTCAGTGATGAAGTTCGAGAATTTGAAGAAAGTCGGCGAGATTATATCAAAATTTTGAGAGAGTTACGAAAGAAACATCCAGACATTGATGCGGAGCATTTGGAAACAATGGCAAGGTAGTTTTTTCGGATTATTTACGACAAATACCCCCATTTTTTGTTTGCGGTTAGCAAACACTGCGAATATATTTTGGTTTTTACTTAATTAATTAAATTTAAATTGTGGTATTTGATAATTTTTTCCCAATTTGACCAGGTCATACTTGATCGACAAAGGACCTAAATCTAGGGCATTCTACCGGTACGGATTTTACGAATAAGTTGTAGCTTATCAGATAACTCAAAAACTTGCACTTTGTTACTCAAATTGCGCTCAAACTTATTTCTTCATTACTACACTAATAATTTTCCTCCCGATATTTGTCTAAAGAATGCAAGCGACCAGGAAACTCATGGGTGGTCAAAATCTGATGAAAAAGATGCAGGAGAAAGCTGCCTCTGAGGCGAGCGTGGAAGGAGTTGGAAGAACGGATGCTGTTGAAAAGAAAGAAGATGACCACATCTCCAAAATCTATTTTGACCCTGGTAACTCGTCATTTCTATTAATTTTCCAATCATTGTAAAGCAATAACCATACTTTACTCTAATAATGATATTTTCCAGGACATTACACTGTACTCGAAAATGTTGGAGAGTTTCATGTCACGGGTAAATTATATGTAACTTGTACTTTGTTATATTGTGCTAACTAATTATATTACTGGAAAAAAGTTTTAAAAATTTATGAGCTCTGAAACTGTCGTCAAAAAATAAACTACCAATATTTACATGCGACATACAAACCAATTGTTAACTACATCTTTAAAAAACAATCTTAACAATAATGCATGTTAACAAACTTTACCACAGAAAAAATAAATTTGAAACCACCATTGAAATTAAGTAATTAATTTGTATAATTGTGTACAGTTATTCGAGATGGTGGTGATCCAAACTTGAGTATACTTGTGGATTACAAAACTGAAGATGGTACAGCCTCAGGAGATGCTGATTATAAATCTGCTGCTGGTTAGTACGCTTATCTGTATTGGTTGGATATTACCTAGGTATATGTACACATATTACATTTCAACGTTTCCGAACCATGATTGGGTTGGGGATTTATTACTTCATTTATCCGAGTCCAGTCATCGCTTTTAGATTCTTCCAACTTGGTCAAATTTTTGGGATGGGAGTGGTAACTGGATACTAAAAGATTATGAATTTGAAACAGTACTTTCACTCGATCCTCGCTTTCTCCTTAGTAATTCTCTGTTACACAGCACAATTAGTTGAAAGCAGACTCGATTTCTTCCATGAATTGTTCATCACTCATTTGATGCACTCCATTTTGCAGAAAAAAATACCATGTAATCACAAAAGAATAGTCAGTGCTGAAGGGGTGGATCAAAAGCGAAATTTCCACGTATTATTAATTCTGTCAACTCATCTACATAGTAAGAGGGGCCGCAAATATGTTCCCCTGTGTTAATGAAGGAGTGAGATATTCTGGCCATGTAAAAATGTATTTTGGCATATCATTAAATGATATTTAATCTTGTAGGAACAATAACCTTCGGACCAGGGGAAACCTCAAAGGCTATAACTTTGGAAGTCATTGATGACGATGTGTTTGAAGAAGATGAGCATTTTTACGTCAGGTATTTTGTTAAATTATATCACTTCGATTGTATTAAAATCTAATGCAATTTCTCGTTTAATTTCTTAAATAGATTGAGCAATGCGCGTTTCGCTGATGGCAGTGTAATTCAAGCGAATGGAGCTGCAGGTCAGTTTCCCAAGCCTCAAGAGGTGCATCTCAGTACTCCATTTCTGGCGACGGTCATCATTCTTGACGACGATCATTGTGGCATCTTCAACCTTGGGCAAAAAGATATTGAGACGGTGGAAAGCATTGGAGTGTACGACGTCAAAGTTACTCGTTGGTCTGGGGCGAGGGGGCGAGTGGTCGTGCCTTACGAGACGGAAGATGGGACTGCAAAAGCTGGAAAGGATTTCGTGCACATCGAGGGCGAAGTTATTTTTGAGAATAACGAGACAGAGTTGGTCATTTATTATTTCAATCTCCTTAAAAAAGTTGACAAATATTATCCTGAGTCTACTTTTTCAGGAAATACATACCAGTTGAAATTATTGAAGAAGACAGCTACGAGAAAGACGTTTTGTTCTATTTGAATCTCAAGGAACCCAAACTAATTGAAGGCAAGTACAGTTTTTTATCATGGTTGTATGTAATGTATATTCATTACTGTTTGCCTGACTGACGCTGTTGCTGATATATATTGCATCCAGTTGATCAATGTAGACGGGTTTAAAAAATATGCATCCATTCAATTTTCTGTTATTTATATTCTGGCATTGTTTGTAATAAATAGCACTGAACAAGGTACAGTTTGGTTCAGAAGGGTATTATCTACACAATGCTAGAATATTAATGATTCTCTGTAAAAAAACATTTTCGTAATGTGATCCTGTTTAGACAATTTAAACAAAATACGAGTTTTGCTACTACGATGTTCAAGTATTCGTTTTTTTCGTGCATTATTTGTGTGAATGGGATCGAGAGGCTTGGACAGCTCAAGAGTCAAATAATAATGAAGCTGTAATGTGCAGTGACTAAATATATACATGTTATCAATGTGCTAATAGTGTATTTTCGAGCTCTTTTTTTATCTTTCTGTATTTTCAAGTTTAGCCTATTTTTCCTCTTCTGTGTATGTAACACATGTTTACCAAACAGTGGCACACAGCGTTGGTTGGGGTTAAATAATGTATGTCGAATGCAAATTTGTCAATTCAATAATGCAATGCAAGCGAAATGAATGCACTTTCTCTTTCCTCCTCTCTATGCCGTTTCTCTTCTTTATTTTGATGTATGTACCTTTAAATGTATGTGAGATGCTATCCGCTATTTTTGTCTCCATGAATAACGAACAAAATATTTTTTACACTTTGATTTGAGATTTTGAAGATGAAATTAATGGTATACTGTTTTGTTCCCAAATCTATTTTTTCTACTGCCCTCCTCCACCGCGCCTAATTGCTATGACCGTATCTGCGCTGCAAAATGAATGCCAAAAATGCCAACAAATGCCGTCTCTCTCACCACCAACCACTCTCTCAATCTCTCAATCTCTCATGTCACTCACCACCAGTAAGTTTCACCACCAACAACTACCTAAATTGTAGCCAATGCAATGCTTCGTATCTTTTACATTTCAGTTATCTTACTTATTTCAACACAAGTCACTAGTTAATCAATCCGAGCAGATTATGAATACATAACATAGTTTGAACATGGGATAGGTGCCATATTTTTTATTATTTAATGAGCCATTACATTTTTCCTACCCACAAATCCCCCATTCGTAGCTTCAATTACTCATTATCATTGTTATCCCGTTATAAAAAGGAGCATACATAGTTAGAGATACATATCATTTACAACATTTATCTAGAATTGTTCCATTATTTTGTTTGAAGCAGGGATTTATGAAATTTTTCCAATATTTGCACTCTTCTAAATAGAACATATGTAGTGTCATTCAATGATGTTTAATGTATATTTACTTCCAAGAGACCCCCGTCCTTGCTGTCATGCTGTGACATCATGTACACAATTTCCTGATAGTCGGTTTTCCACAATGAAAAGTTAATTTTCACTTGACTTGGAAAAACTAAACAACGCTGAAATACGGTACTTCCTGGCGTAAATGGTTTACGACGGCAGCAGCATTTCTATTAAGCTTACCACATAGAACTCAACAATGTAGTACAGCTTATTGATTGCTTTTCGATACATTAATAGTTCGCCACACAGCCTCCACCTCTCTCATCTAATCCAACTCTTTCAGATTTTTGACATCTAATTCATAGGCAAATGTCTGTATTACACAATCACTGAAGAAATGACTCAGTTGAGTTAGATTTTTTTTTAAAAACTATGGTTTGACGCTGAAAGTGTGAAGCTAAAGAAATTGCTCGCAGCCTTACGAGACGATGAGCCGCTGGAGCTTTCCCTCAGAAAAGAAATACAATTTCACCATTTATTTGCAGTTTTGCAGTGGTGTTACGCGATGTTATTTTATTAAAAGTTACATTGCTGCTGATTGAAAGTGCAGTTAATTTTGCTGTTTGAGATTTAGAGTGAAGTTCTTTTGATTTTGTCCAACGTTTTATTTGAAACATTGAATAACATAATTTCTGATGATTTTTGATTGACTTATATTTCTTATATTTAGAACTTCCACCTCTCGATCTCCATATCGTCACTACCATCATGACTTTTATTTTCTGTTCATATCCATTGAAAAAAGTTAAACTTTGTTTTTCCTGTATTACCACCACCACCTACCTACTAGCCCATCTAGCTCACCTTATTAGTAAATTTCATTTTTTGCACATATGTACTTCAACATTTTTTAAGGGTTATATCTTTTTTCGTTCTTTTATTTTATTTTTTAGTTCAGTTGCATTAATTTTCATTTTGAAGGAATAAGGATTTGAGTTGGCATTTTTGTTTATTTTTTTTTATATACGTAGTTGCACTTTGCTTGAATTTGAAATTTGTAAGAAATATGTAATGAAAAATGATGTTGTTGGTTTGGACTTAAAGATGAAGGAGCAGCAATGGCATTATTAACGAAAGGTAAGACAATTGTTTCTTAAATACAGATTTATAAAATGCATCGCTTGTAAATACATTGTCAATTCGGTGACCCTATGTAATTGTGCTTCCTCGTTTCCTAATATTGACCAACAAGTAAACGTCAAGATATGTTTGAGATGATCCAAAAAAATAATTAAAGTTATTTAAATATCTCGCCCGTAATTAAAAATAATGGACTGATCCTTCTGACTAAAGTAGATGGTTTGAGAAAGCATTTGTGCACAAACGGAGTACAGTTTACAATGCTAAAATCCAAGGTATACCATTATGGGGTGGCGTCTATTCGTATCGATGGTAGTTGAGCGAGTCAACTCTATGACATTTACATACTCGATCTTTCGCAACATATGAATTGTGGATTTAGCGTTGTTTTTACATTCCTGTGTGGATATCGGATCTACATTAATTTTCTATAAAAAAATGACCGTATTGTGTTTCTGTCTTCTAAAGACAGGTCGCAGTTGGACGAGGATGAGAAGATTGCAATCGAAGGGTTGCCCAAACTAGGAAGTGATATTCGAGCTCAGATTCGTGTAAAGGAGAGCAAAGAATTCAAGGTACACAATAGTACACATTGACTAGCTACATATGTAAATAAGTAATCATACACAATGTAAAATTAATAAATATTTAAATTCTGTTTAGAACACGGTTGATAAGGTAAGCTTCCTCAAAATGAAGAACTTTTTTTAATAAAATAGAAACCGAGTATCATACATCTTTGGGTATACCTATGTAATAACAAATAACTCTTAATGCGCCCTATTACATAATAACAACCATTTCCAAATTCAAAACCTGTCTCTCTTTCTCTCCAACCCCAACAGTCTTATAAGTAGGCACCATAACTTTCACCTCAGTCTGAAAAGTTTTGAGCTTTTCTTTCTTCACAACACCCCTTTTATCCATCAACATAATGTCAAATCTAACTCTACAGATTTTGTGTAGATACTGAAATTAAATAAAACATTCCAACAGTGTGATTGAGACAAGATGAAAATGTGGAATTTGAGTGAACTGGATGAGAGAGAAATCAATATAGGGTTGCGCAATGAATGAATTAATTATTACAGTTGGTGCAACGTGCCAATGCATCTCTCTTGGTCGGTACATCCTCATGGAAAGAACAATTTATCGAGGCTATCACAGTCAGCGCCGGAGGTAAATGGGTCTTATGACAAAATTATTATTTAAAGAACTGCTGGTTTTTACTACTAAATGTGTCTTGTTCATTAGACGAAGAGGGTGGCGGTGATGATGAGGAGGAAGGCGAGGCTGAGGAGAAAGTCCCATCCTGCGGAGACTACGTAATGCATTTCCTCACCATCTTCTGGAAAATTCTCTTTGCCTTTGTCCCTCCCACTGGTAATAAATTTGTGGTATTTCTTCATGCTGTATTAATATTACTCTAGTATTTACATACATATGTATACCTCTCATTTGATATGATTTTATAATATTGATTGAAATCAGAGAATTTATGACATTCATGCAGGACACAGGGTTGTGGTGATGATATGTATGGATTGTTTAATAATGGAGAAAGTGATTATTTTCTCGCAGATATTTTAGGCGGCTATGTCGCATTTGTAGTCTCAATCCTTGTGATTGGTGTCCTCACGGCGTTCATTGGGGACTTGGCTAGCCATCTTGGCTGCAGTGTAGGACTAAAGGATTCAGTTACTGCTATTGCATTCGTCGCTCTGGGCACAAGTATTCCAGGTATTTACACGTGCATGGCGCAGAAAACGGGATGTTTTCTGCTCGCGGTCATCTAATTTCTTGCTGCTAGCCACCCACCCACCCACCAAGCACGAACCATTGCCAATTTGCACGTTTAGCATATAAAATAAGACCCTACTTATTTGTTATGTATGCAACTTTCCCTGTCTGCTTACCTGCACTATTTCTTAGCTTGGGTATGCACACTGATATATTGTTATGCACTATTGTAACAATTTCTTCGCTGGCTATATGAAATACTTGAGAGAAAACACACGCAGTGAGAAGGGTAGCAAAAGAGAGGTTACGTATTTAGCGTATGTACATAGTTTTCATCAAAGTGGTCAAAGAGGAAGTTACAAGTAAACAAATCTAACCTTTGGATGATGCGCTTTGACAATGACAGCAATCGGCGACGGGTACGTGACGTTTGTAATCTCAATTCTTATGATTGGCGTCCTTACGGCGTTCATTGGGGACTTGGCCAGCCATCTGGGTTGCACAGTTGGGCTCAAAGACGCTGTGACCGCCATCGCGTTCGTCGCCTTGGGCACCTCCGTACCAGGTACTGTGTTTGTGGAGGAGGAATGATGACAGCCGATGACTTTAATATACAAATACAAAAAATCTGTATTGTGTATTAATTGTACTACTCTACTACCAAGGGTATATTTATAAATATGCCCACACTATACAAGACTATCAGTGTGAAACAACATAAATGTAGATAGCAGAATTTGTATGGCCAGGATTTAGATTTAGATTAGTAGCCCTAATAATAATTTTGATCATCAAAACAAAGTTTGTGTGACAATATATAATTTAGTAAAAATGATTTGATGTATTTAGACAAGAATTAATGTAGTTTGGAGACATTGTTAGTGTACATTGCGAGAGCTTATACTCATCCGTATTTAGTTTCATACACTATCCGTGTGTTGACGCTTATAATTATATTTCTAACTGGAGAAATTGGAAACTAAACTATTTTGGCATGTTCTTTTTTCTAAACAAATACTAAAAAGTTACAAGCACAATAAAATATGCTTGTGCAACCTTCGAACTTTATTGCTTTCTAATATATAATTACATATTTATCACATTGATTCCTTATTTTAAATCTTTTGCTTCCAACTCATTGCTAAACCCGCTTCGAAGGTTTCCTTCACTAATTGTGGAAATCTTACAGTTTTGTGTAACAACATTCTTTACCTGTAATTTCCTCCTCCTTAGATACATTTGCCAGCAAAGTAGCAGCTATTCAAGACGAATATGCAGACGCATCTGTGGGAAACGTGACAGGAAGTAATGCTGTAAGTCTTTTATTTTTATCATATTGCCCTCGTATGAAAAAAACGTGGTCTGGAAAACGGATAGAAAAATATACGCTGTTAATAAGCTAAAACCTTCTGGATAAAACCTGGCTTTTTAACTTTTCAGGTGAACGTGTTCCTCGGTATCGGCATTGCTTGGACGATGGCAGCAATTTATCACGAGTTTTTCAAACCAGCAAATGATCCTGGTTGTCCAGCCCTCCTCAAGAAGGGTCACCCGACTTGCTTCAAGTTTTATGTTGATCCCGGGAGGTACTAAGAATGTCACCGAATAATAATTTGGGATTTAAATTGCATATGGAGATAAAAATTGTGATCTTTCTCATGATTGCAGCTTGGCATACTCAGTGACGGTGTTTTGCTCAGTGGCCCTCGTGGCGATTGCGGTGATGGTAATGAGGCGTCACAAAGCCGTTGGTGGTGAGCTGGGTGGTCCAATCAAGTTCAAGTATGCCACCTCGGCCTTCTTTTTCTTCCTCTGGGTGGTTTACGTCTTCATGTCATCCCTGGAGGCTTATGGAGTCGTCCAAGGCTTCTAAGTCTGAAACAAATCTAGTCTGAAATGTAAGCTTGGAAATTTTATCCAGAAATCATTGCATCGAATGAATTTCCATTTTTCTTTTCAGGTGTTTGTTTGGCAGAGGCTCAAATTGAAGTACGTACATAAATAAGTAGAGGATTTTTTTATCAGCAAAGATGCGACGCAAAAAAGGCCAAATTTCAAAAGACGGGACGCGAGAGGAGGTATTGCGGAGATTACCACCATGAAATTCCTGACAACACAAATTTTGCTATTCATTCATTCATCATACAAATACTGCGACTATTCAGCCCTGCTGAATACTTAATGTTACTTGTTACATTATTTACGTTATCTTACGTATTTTAATTATGATTTCGTCGAGAGTCGTCTTTCCAACAATGTACGTTTATTGTCAAACAACATTGGACTGTGCAAGCACAAGTCTTTTATGTCCATGTCATTCATACCGCTATTTTTAGATGTACCACTAAAACTCTAATTGTTTTATGCGCACATAAATTCCAAATTTTCCACCTGACGCTGGAAACCATCAATTATCAATAAATAGAGAGATTAATTAACCTTGCTGATTAATGGCGTTGTCCACGTGTAATCGTATATACCTTATCAGAGTGCATTTATAAAACCAACGTCTTATTGGTCTGGGACCTTTTCAACTTTCACTTTTAACTCAAACAAGAAAGCAACCAAAAGGAAAACATATTCATCTATTGTACATATTTCTAGGTATCTAATACATAGGCCAAATATGTAGATAGTTTGAAATGTATGTCATAGTTTTAATTGTATGTATAACGATTAATGCTGATGGTAAATGCTACCACTATTTCATGGCATTTGAAAATGTAGTAGAAATTTTTGGTTGTTGTTTAATTTCTTGACAGTTTAATAATTTGTAGTCCGTCAATACTTATTTATTAATCAATTTTTGGGTGCTTTAAAATCAAAACCGATCGTGAAACTGTTTTATACAAAATGTAAAAGTGTGTGTGCAAACATTGATGCTAACAAACCTAACACAAGAAAAAGCTTTAAGATACTGTACTTATTTAGCATAAAGTGATAAGTATGCAGGTAGGTAGGCACCGTATAAAGATGTAATTAACTAAATTGATGGTTTGTACCTTTGCATTTATTTAAAAAGTACACAACGAGTTGAGTTAATCAATACCATCATATGAAATAGTCTTACACACCTATAATTAAAATCCTTGTTGTTATCCATTAAAAATTAACCCATTAATAAGTGCTGACAGTGTTTATATCGTTCATTCCAAATCCATATAATGTCTCCCTTTTGAAGTGGATGATGTGGCTGATCCTCTTGTAACTTTATCATGAATCCTACTTTATTAAATTTTTGAATTATCTTCCGTTACTCTAAAGCGTCCAATACGTGTGTTTTGAGGTTTTGACTTTTGACGTATGTAAGTATACCAAGAATTTAAAAGGCCTATATTTCTCAGATTAAAGTAGTTGTTAATTGAACAAACCCCAATTTGATGATCTGAAGATTCATGTAAATGTCCAAGTGGCTGACGACACTTCAAAATGTTTGACCGACTTCCGATTATGCTATATACTCAGACATAAGATCTTATCATGATACCACTAATTAAATAATAGTACATAATATACTATTTCCATGTGATAAAATATTATCTCTCCTCCCTTTTAATTGTACATACAAATACATAATAATAATGTTATTTACTATTTACTACGTTATTAGACACCCTTTATTATAATGGGAGGTGGTTGAGTTAGGTTTGATTATACTTAAAAAATATGTGCTAAATGTTATCACGTCCCTCTTCTTAAAGGGCTGAAAGCAACAAGGAAGCAAGATACTGATTGAAATGGTGTTCTATTTACTAAGGAATTTTCAGAAACGGTCCAACCGAATTATTCTGAAAATCATTTGGTGTAAAAAAAATACTTGTTACTATAAATATCGTTACCTTATAGGTTACTTCTTACGTGAGGTATTATATTATGTATCTAGAAAATGTCATAGGTAAAAATTTAGAAAGACGGAGGACGGAAATCATAATATTTAATCGTGATCGATTCAACAACAAACAATTATGTATCAGTTAAGCTGCTGCTGACTTGTAAAGACAATTAATTAGTTTAGTTTGAAAATCCTTCATTATTTGAGGTTGGTGGACCCTGAACAAAATTGTACCGAATTTGAGTTGAGATAAATCCGGTGATGTTATTGTTAACTGCATGCCCAACAAGATTTTAAATTATTAGGATTATTATCGGGAAACCGTTTGCCAAATTAAATAACTATACACCATCATAGCGTAATGATAAATGTTATGTGGATGGAAATTATATTGAAAAGTAATTATATCGTTTTTCAGGAACATCTATTTATTAATAAATAAATAAGTATGGTATTGAGATACTGAACTTTGGGCACGGAGACTTTTTCATTCATAAATACACTTACAGCGATTATTAATCACTTTTATGCATATATATAAAATATTGGGGCTCCTCAGACACATCTCAAAAAATTCGCTTGATTCGCTTGGTTAAAAATTTCGCTCCATTAAGCGAACTAGCGAAGCAACTCTGACTGAACTCTTTTCGCTTAATAATTCGCCCCAGAATTTGCTACAGTCAAGAGAGATAAACAGACAAAGTGAGACTGTGCGCGAATTTTAAAATTTACAGCAGCAGATGAGGAGCAAAAAAGTTAGCGACACTAACTCTACTCTGGAGCCTCGCTTCCCCAGATTTTCGCTCGCTTAGAATGGCGAGCTCTGATTGGTTGTTCGAGTGACGGTGATGATGCACCTTCGCTTACACAAGCGAAATTTCTAACCAAGCGAAGCAAGCGAAATTTTTGAGAACTGTCTGAGGAGGCCCATTATTTTTTGCACATTCATGAGCATCCCAGATTGCGAATCGCTGCTTTCCCCTCTATTTTAGCATCAACTATGTAGTATAGATTGCCACGTGGTATTACTAGAACAAAGATGCAGTCGATAGATAATATTTACATCCTAGCAAGTGAAAGGCCGGTTGAAGAATTGTACGTTTGAGCTGTAGGTACCCCGATCAAAACTACAGAGTGGGAACCAGTGGGAGAATGTGACTCCCATATAGAATTATATGATCAAGTTGGATCAACTCAACTTCCCAATATGATATGAGCCGCAGAAAATCAGATTGGAAAATTATCGTTGAATGGGAGGTTTGTTCCCATATGGAAGTACCGAAAAAAATCATATATAAGATTTACACGATGAAACTTTCCATTTACCAATATGAGCAATGAATGGAAATCATATACGAACTTAGTAACCAAAATGTTCCCGAATTTCGTATTGGCACAACTATAAACTCCCATATGGCAATTTCTAAGAAATCATACTTGAGGTAAACATGATATAAATTTCTTTTTGCCAATATGACTAGCAAGTGAAAGTCATATAGGATCTTTTTGCATAAAAGTATTTAAAATTGCATATTGATGCAACTACTAAATTTTCCCTTATGACCAGTGGAATGGGAAGCAGATGGATATTTGTTATGATAATAAACGAAAGAAAATTTTAATCAAGAATTATTTTCCTCTGAAGTTAAATAGTTTATTTTACAATAGTAATTCAATTAATTAATTTCAAACAAGTTTGGTATTTCAATAAAATAATCCTTATCATGTACATTGAAGATATAAAACTTTTTCATCACCAGGTCCTCAAATCTCAGAAATCTGATAGATTTTTTTACATTTATACTACAGTAACAGATTTGAGGATTGTTTGCCATACCAATAACATTGAAAGTTTCTAATTGCGCAAAATAATTGTCATTCAAATTGTTATCCTTATGTTTTGCAGATATCTTAAAAAATTTCCTAACTACCCCAAAAACTCGATCCTCGACAAAAAAAATGTTGTCGCAACGTTTCTCAGAGGACTTGCAACGAAACTGATGATATTTAATTGTAGCGACTTTTCCACTACATACATTTATTATTTCTTGACCAGGCACATAATTTTTAAAATAGTCATTTAGACCGACTACTTGTTTTTGCTTTACAATACCATATTTAGGAAAATTTGAGCGTTCAAACAAATTGTTGGATTTCCACTTGGAATTTAGGCACAGACAACCAATTTGAAATTCATTGACAAACTTGTTTACAATTTGTACTGCAACTCCATTTGCGCATTTAACATAGTTTAAAAGTTTACCATTAAAGGATTCGAATTGAAAAGCTGAACTATTCCACAAAGGACCCCAATTTTTCACTGTATCGCATAAGTGATCCAACTGGTGCACATTAAAACTGTAAAATTCTACACCGTAAAGAGTACCCCCTTGTTTTAAAAAATTATTAATTAAAATCTCACTTTCATCAATATCATTAGTAGATACTGTTGGCTTGGACAATAGAAATATGCTTCGAGAAAGAAGTGAAAAATGTTCTAAGTAACATGATGGTAAAATCTTTTCTAAGACAATCGGAACAATACATAACCATGTCCGCCATTCAGAAGCTTTCCAGTGAACTCGGGTCTCAATTGATCTACTTGACCTAACAATCTCATGGGGAACCTTTATTTTTAATAAATGCGTGTCAATTAATGAAATCTCTTTGCCAATGTACCAGTCCGTTTTTTTCTCATTCATCCATTTGTTTGTTAATGCTCTAACTATTCCAAGAAAAACACAATGCATGTAATCAACACTAAATCCATTGACTATATCAAAATTCACCAATTTAAGCAACGGACTTTCTACCTTTTGTCCTTTTTTAAACTTTCCATTCTTAGCATTTTGTGCATACACCTCAGACTCTCTTAACTTCCAACCTGTGCTTTTACTCATTTCGTACACGCGACAATGACCTCTTCCTTTCTCAATGGAAATACCTGGATTCCTACACCAATTGCACCCGTGTTTACCGTTAAACTGCTTATGACCCTGCAACATAGCCCTTGCTGGGGCGTCTACAGAGCATTGTATAAAAAAAACCTTGCTATGCATTGATAAGCCTTCTGATGTTTTCCAGACAATAGGAACATCACCCAGAGAATTCATTTCATTTATAATTCGTGGGAGGAAAATACTAATATTCGGCTTCGAGCTCCCGAACCATATACCACCCATTAAAACGAATTTTTTCCTCAAATAAAATGGCAAATCATTGACTGAAATAAGAACGGGCCAAATTGAATAATTACTACTATTAAAAAGTGGAACACCGTCTGTATTAAAAGTGCAAGTAATATCGTTCGAAGATTTTTTCACTTTTTGAAATCCTAGTCCTGATTTAACGCAACCATATGAAAATTTACTTTCAACATTACGCAGGGATTTTAATAATGCCTCCGTTACTGTTGAGTTCTCTAAAAGTGTTAAGAGCTGCTTTCTAATATCCATTAAGACAAAGAAATTCCCCTTCTTGTATACATCGGTCTTACTATAGAGTGATAAGCAGGAGGGACATTTTAATTCGACATCTAAAATTAATTCGCAGGATGGGCAATATGGCACTTTTTGAAACCAATTCGATTCAAGTGCGACTTCTTTCATAAGATTATGATAAGACCTAGGATAATTGACGTCGGTGGGGACATGACGGCTGAAGAGTTTCAAAATATCTTCGGTACATCTCTTAGTTAAGTTGTGCTTCTGCTGGAGGCGTAGAATTCCATAAATGCTTTCCTCTTTGGAAATGTTGCAACAAGGATGAAGCGGTGGAGCCTAAAATTATAATGACAAAATTAAGAATATTATTAAGAAGTAAATAAATTTTATTTATTCAACTGGGACTTATTAATTTTTAGAAATTACTTCATTATCGACATGAACTAATTCTTCACAGCAATCACTGGAGGTTTCTAATGGCGGAGTGATATCGTCGTCACTGTCGTCAATGCTGGATAAATCCCACTCCGGCAATTTAAATAGTTGCACAGCGTCTAATACCAGGCAGAAACATTAATTTTTGTTATATTTTGAAATTAGTTATCTTAATTACTCACTGTCTGAATTAGGAAGTAATTCACTGGTTAAGTCACTGATCTTGGTCTGCTTCTGACTGTCGTTATCGTCCTCACTGTCACTCAGAATTTCGTGACGTTTCCGCTTTAAATTTAATTGTTGAACCTAAATATATTTGCGAAAATTATTTATATTTGTAAGTTACAAGAAACTATAAAATTGACACTGTACAGGCCAATCAAACACGTGATATTACCTTCACATTTAATGTATGCTGTTTATTATAAGATAACTTCTGCCTTTTAGATATTTTCGAAAAAGTAGCTTGAAAAGTATTCATCTTGCTAAATACTTGATGATTACTTTTAAACAAAACCAGATGAATGAGAAACGGAATTGAGATTTTTTAACCGCTGGTTTTAAACTGAGCCGCACTGGCAGAGCACTTCGTCACTGTTTCTTACTAAACCTCTCTGCCCAAGTTTAATTTAAATTAATAAACTTTAAAAACCAAACTTAGCTGTCTTAGCAAGACTTTTAAATTAACTTAAAGTGGACGAATAATGTCGCATGTTGTCGTGCACTGGGAAAAGGAGAAATCCTATTCATGCGTTAAATTAAAAAAAGTTATTAAGGGAGACTGCGGTGTGGACGATCTGCTTGATAAGTCTTTCGACGTACAATGGGGTGGGGACAAAGAGAAGGGGAAGATAATTGGAATAGGTAAGTAATTTAGTAATGTGTCTCATCATTTTTAAATTGCAATGGTATCTGTGATCTCTTTTATTTCTTATTTTAATTATAGGTTCACGAAAAGACATGAAAATACTGGAAGGAGAAAAGGCACAAGAAGCTGCAGATATGTCATTTTATGAACATAATGGAGAAGAGGGAGTGGAAGAAGGTCCGCCACCGGAAGGACACTCCCAACTTGATGGTGGGACTGAAATTTTCGAAGCTGAAGTGCGAAACTCTGATGAAGGAAATTTTTCAGCTAGTCTCGTCCTTGCTCCTGGATCAGGTTCTCGTGAGGTGACGAAGAACGTATAATTTATAATATTATATTAGTAAAGTCGTCTATTGTTCTTTTTTTGTTATTTTAGGTTGAGGTTAATCACGGACGGCACGACGCGGACGTGATTCAACTTCAAGAGCGCTTGATTGAGAAGGACAAAGAAATTGCAATGCTCCAGGCAGAGAATTTGTCGTTGAGAACTACAGTTAAGCAACTAAAACGTAAAACTTCAATGATTAAGTTTATTTTTGATATGCAATCGTTTTTCACATTCCAGGAATTAAATTTATTTCATTTTCCAGGTCTTATAAAGAAAACCGGTGTTTCTAACGAGGAATCCCAAGATAGAGTCGAATTGGCCCATGGAATAAGTTTGGACAAGTCCCTCGTTGAACTCACCCAGATAAGCTATTCCTCTCGTCCGTCACTATTTTTTAGAAAATTGCTGTTCGAAGGTGGATTATTCCAACTTGAAGAAATCGCTGGTTCATCCATGACTGGTAAATCCTCGCCACTTTTCCGACATCTAACCCGGCCAGCATTGGATCCAGTACGATTTGGAGTATTGAAAGGTAAACAGCTACTACTTAATGGTGTGTGTTATGTAATTATGTTTAATGTACTCTAATTATTTCAGATTTTACAATCAAATCTTGTGGAATAAAAACCAACACACTGGAGATGGTTGAGTTTGAGCAAAAACTGAGAAACATCCCTGGCGATGCAAGAAAACGACTAGCAGCAGTGAACAATTCATAATATTAATGTGCTCAGAATATCTATTACAATGCTTTCTTTAAACGTTAATTACGGCTAAATAAATTTAAAATTAAATGAATTTGCCAATATGAATAGGTTTTATTTTGCATGCTGGAAAATTCCATTTTTGCATATCTGAATATGAGACCAATAGGAAATGCATTTAAATTCCCAAATGATTTGTCCGATTACAACCTATCTGATCTTCTAAATTATTCCCATTGGATTATGTAGTCTGAAATCTACCTCACTTTCCAACTACCTCTCCCATCTGCCTTGCCAGTTGGAATTAATGGGTCAGTTTTGCTCGGGACATCATCAACTGAGTAGGTGGAATCAGTCAGAAAGCGGAGTGAAACCCGCTCGTGGTCTGAATAATTATTCTCAACGGTTTCTTTGCATGACAAAGCTTGCGCGAGAGACTCGATCAGTGGTAACAAAGACCATTTTCATTTACGAATTGTGAATTGCGGACAAGATAATCCCGACTCTTTTACTTTTTCACCGACAAAGGAGATGGTAGAGACTTGACGTATATATTTAAAGTATTTATCAAACATTGGTGATCATTATTATACTTAATTATAATTTTTAACAAATCCGTTATGTATATACCTTCCCATTTGCTGCCATAGCGGGTTATCACTTTTGGTTCATGAATTCAATATAATCACTTGTTATCGGATTCATGTATGTGCTCGCACATGTATTTATTCACTTACGAAATAAAATTTATCGTCCTCGTCACGTTTATAATCTTATTAAATAAAACTATTTCAACCATAACATCCCACACACATCTACATTATTATGCCAACCACAAGTGCAAGAAATCTCTCTAATGATTTATTTGATTCGCAAGTATGACTGTCATAATCATAAACTAGATACAAGAAACACTACTAATGACATATGTATAATAGCAATCTTTTAATTAGCTTTAATTACAAAGGATGTGTCAAATTCTGTTGGCAAGATGTTTGCAGGACAATGAAAGGATGGTTTTCAGAATGTTTATCAATTTCATTTTGTATTTCATATCACGCTATGTCAATGTCAACTTTTGCCTGAGCAGATGAACGAGTCTTCGTGGACGGTTGATCATGCTCCCTTGAGAATGTGTGCAATCTCTCCTCGTGGTTTTATTTTATTATGGTTTTATCCAATGACGAAAGAAGTATTGCTGGATAACTTGTACAATGGGCGCAATAATATTACGATATCCTATTGTTAATTAATCTTCTGTTTATTACACTTGAGCCCAATCACAAACGCGAATTACGCAAATTGGAGGGTATTGTCGTCATTGTAGTTGTATGCGATACACATGTTTAATGTATGATAAGTAGATAAAAAACTAATAAACTTGATGACCAGCTAATCTGTTCCTTCGAATGCATATAAATGTAAAATTCGAATGACCAACTCCTGATTGTTTCCAGTAAATTTCTCATTCCTTTAGTTTTAAGGAGGACAAACTTGCTGTAGCCATAATTAATCATGGGGAAATTTACTTTACCAATCTTGGCACTTTTAGTCGCAGGTGTTTCTGCTGGGGTTGTTTCACCCACGACCCGGTGTGGGGGGGTAGGGACCCCTCTTCAACTTAGGATCAGGTAACAGATTTTTTCTTATACTTGATATTTTTGCTAACAAGTCGCACATTAATCTATGAACAGTTTAATTGTGTTTTAGTGATTGCGAGGGTCGTTGCACTTTTGTGGCTGGAAAGCCTTATGATTGCGAAGAAGATTTCATGCCGAGTTAGTAAAATTTTATATGATCCAGTTTCGAAATCTAAATTTTGAGCAACTTTTTTCATATTTGTAGGTTCTGCTGCCCCATCGCTCAGCTTAAGGATGGACGTGTGCTTAGATATGGGACTCTGCTATACGATTTTCGAAGTTGTGTTGGCCAATAGCTCTGTACAACCGGGATTCACATACACTGCCAAGTAAGTGATGTTTAAAATTTCTCATTATTGAGGCAATAATAATTCTCCATTTTATATATATTTCAATTATGTTTTTTAGATATCAAGTTGTTCCAAATGACATCTTAAGAGGAGAGACTGTTAGAATTCAAGCTTTCATTTATCAGACGGCCAATTTCCGTATTGAAACTTGCCTTGAAATAGAAGCCACCATTTCGTAAAGGGAACATTTTCATAGATACTCATTTCTGATTTTTTTACGATAACAAATTAAGTAAAATGAAATATAATGGAATAAATTGATGTGCACAATTAATTTACAAATGTCTATAACTCGCTATGATTAATTTCACTTGTAATTAATTAGTGCCTTATTACTATCATTGGCAAATTAAGCTATAAAAAATTGCTGAGGCTTACATATTTATATGTAGGGCAGTGGTAGAGTAAATGTTAAAAATAACTCTTGTTCAATGATTATCAATTTACAAATTATTTATAACAATTCTTAGTTTCTTGTAAATTTATGTATCGAACTTTTGCAGTAAAATAAAAAAATTGACAAACAATTGTAACATTCGCGTATACTCATGATGGGCATGTACGTGCATGTGTGCTAAATAAGTAAGTACACAGGCTGTCGATAAGTCTGGAGAACTACTGTCCAGGCAGATGAGTTGAACTGCCATGAGAGTCACCGATAAGTCAATACTTTCGTCGTTTCGTTTTACATGCAAATTGATACAATGCATACCTATATGCATGCTTATTTCAATGATCATTAATATTGCATACCACCGTTTGAAATATACAAACTTAGAAGGAAACATCCGAGAAATTCTTCGTTTTTCGTCAGTTGACTCCTCGTCGTACACAATTCCTCTGCGACGTAAGTACGTGCCTAACTAATAAAAATGTTTGATGTTCCAATAAATTCCACCGCAACTTGCAAGGAGTATTTTAGCAATCCACAACTAAGCATTCCAAAATTTCTTATTGCGTATGCAATATCACAATGCTTAGAAAACTTAGAGGAAGGAAGAGGGGGTGGGTTTGGCGTTGACCTCTTCATTACCGCCGTTGCTAAGGAATACTTTGAGCGAGCGAGTCAGGTAATAATTATAATTTATTATCAAACCATCTCTCCAAAGAGTAATTGGTTACGTTTTTGGCTATTTATGCTCAAATACATCTTTTTCATGGTCTATATAGACCATGAACCGCCCAGAACAACTATCTGCTTGTCAAATATTCGACAAATAGATAGTTTTAGGCCTTTTAAGATGGCCTTATAGATTTACCAAGATGTCTGTCTGTCCGTCCGTCTGTGCGTCCGTCTGTGCGTCCGTCTGTGCGCACGATAACTCTCTTTAAACAAAAGCTATCGACTTGAAATTTTGCACACTTCATCTTCGGGTCAAAAGTAAGGATGAGTTCGGAGATGGGCATGATCGGCCAAGTAGTTGGCCGGTGGGGGTCATTACTATCCAAATGCGTTGCCCTTAACTACCAAGAACCTTTAGAGCAGGTTAAATTATTTAAGTGCAAGTAAAATATTTGTAGCTTGAAAAATATCTATAGTAATAATTTTCAGTAATTTTAGTATGAAGATTGCGACTGACCTCAAAGCGTTTAAATTGGAATGGAGTTTCAGAAATTTTAAACCTGGGAGACCCGATAGGGTGACCCGACGGATTTCTAAAATTTGTAGTACGTAGTTGAAATTTGGAACAAAGGTTGCTAGTGGATTGTAACAGAAAAAACTGAATTTAGGTTGGAACAATTTTAATCTTGATGGACCCTATGGGGTGACCCATACTGATTTTTCAAAATCGTCATATCGAAGTGAAATTTGGGAGAGAGGTGATCCATATCTATTTTTAGAAATTGCGTTAAAAACATGAAATCCGGCACGGTAATACTTACAATTAGTGGCTTCTCATCAAAGAACTTGAAATTAAAAGTTAGCTAACAAGGGATACTTTCGAGGTGATAATCGTGTCCAGGGTACCACTCATTGGTCTAAATGTTTTTTGATCGAGTGTTTCTCACGGGTTCGGGTTCTTACTTCGGGTTTCGGGTTCGGATCGGGTTTGGGTCCTGCTTCGGATACGAAATTTCAGAACCCGAAACTTTCGGGTTCGGGTTCGGGTCCGAGAAATGTGAGCCCAAAATTTCGGGTTCGGGTCGGGTTCGGGTTCCGACTAAGAACCCGAAACCCGAACCAACAAGAACTTTTTGCCACAACGAATACGAAAACATTAAAAAAGAAAATAAAGTGTTAACCACACTTGCTACGACGGTTATGCTGCAGTAATTCATTAAATAATTCAAATTTTTAATTGTCGTAACTTCTTTTCACAAGTGTCTTCAATTAGTGTTATGGTTTGAATATTGAAATAAAATATATTTTTTTATCAAAAATTTGCTAAATAGTTAGCTTGAGCTTACTTTAATATTGGAAACTTGAAACTGAAAATCATTTTCAGTTTTCAACTGATTTAAAAATTTCTGAATGTCACGGAAAGCCATTATCCATGGTCGATTTTTTGAGATTGCATTATTATGGTCGAGGAATTAAGATTCACATTTTAAAATGCGTTATGTACTTATGCAGAAATGTGCTTAATTATAATTCCTCGGTCATATTTACAGAAGTATTGTTTGTTTGAAACCTTTAGGCTAAAAAGCCAGTCACCCCTTAAAGTTAAAATATATTCGGTTTTTCGGGTTCGGGTTTCGGATTTGATCCGCCAGTTCGGGTTCGGATCCTTGCAAACGGGTTCGGGTTCTTCGGGTTCGGGTTGCCCTCAAGTTTCGGATCAGTAGTATCGGGTTCGGGTTTCGGATTTGCAAGAACCCGACCCGTGAGAAACACTAATACCCATCTTCGAACTCGGTCGTTGCCCAGATGCATGTCTGTATCAAATTTGGTAAAAATCAGCCTACTCCTTCGAGAGTTATGGAAAGACAGACAGACGGACAGGTCGATTACATAAGCCCTAGTTCGGGCTAAAAATTATATGCCAATCGTTCATTAGAGTCTGGCTTTTATGTAATAATGCCGTCTTAAAAGGCCCCGCGAAGTTGCTTGGAGTAGGTTTTTTAATACTAAATTGGGTGTAAAATATTTTGTTGCAAATACTATTGTCGATTGATTTATAATTTATGTGCAGAATGTTAAAACTACACATTTAACACATTTGTTGGTTTTAGATTATGATAATGTACGACGAGGTAGTGTGCACTTTTACACTCAACAATTCTCATCCAACAATTTTCGCTCGAAAATTCTCATTGCATACCAATTCTCACCTTCTTGGGCGAGAATTGGTGTCGAATGAGAACGTTGAGTGAAAACTGTTGGATGAAAATTGACACCGAATCTATCGTACGTTTAGTCGTGGGACATCACCGAAATGCTCATTAAGCTGGAAAGTAAATTTTTCTATCAACATGTTAAATTAAAATGACGCAATAGATAGTTCTACGAATTAATCAAAAATAGTGAAATCGATGTTTCCTTGCCGTAGGTACGACTCTAAAATCGTTTGTCACGTACTACTTGCCGAATGAAGTAAATCGATCACTGCATACCGACTCAAGTTTGTCTATTTTTTAACAATGCGCTGCAATATCCTTCCCGATCACAAAATATATTTTCGCTTTTGTAGGACCACCCGATCATCTCACTCATAAATTGCTTCCAAAGGGGGTAGGTAAGAAAACATCTTGATAAGAACATATCTTCAGTTCAAAATATATTTATTGACCGAAAACGTTCAGAAGTTCACTACTTTCTCTTTACTCTAGCTTTCATAATTTTTGTGAGGGATGAGGACGCATTCAACAATATATTGGAAACGATGGGAAAATATCCATGGTGGAATAAAAGGGCTAGACTTTTGATTATGATTAAAGACAAAGCTCTTGAACCAACCAAGGTCTGTGGAATGTGGAATGATACACATGTGTAGCTTTTTGTAATTTTATATCTTTCTTCAGGGGATATTGGAAAATCTGGAAAAAGAGAAGATTTTTAATGGTATGCTTGTTTGATTGACTGATTACAATGAGGCACCCCAATGTATGGGACTTTGCATCGCATAAGGATAATTAATGTCATGCAGTACACATTTATAAATTCACTTTTACGAACTTAAAATATGTTTATGTGTACTTCAAATACGTTAATTACGTCATAAAAGAAAATCTTGGGTTTCAAACGAGTCGACTAATCCGAACAATTCCATAACTCTTTTTGTAATCTGAACATTTAAAAAGTACTTTCCTACCTCGCTTTTAAACATATTTAACATAAACATATTTAAGATTTTACCAGACCATGACACTGCTGTCCTATATTTAAAATTTTATTTTATAGGTGTGGTTGTAACGGAATTTGTGATAAAGGATAATTCAACTGGGGATTCTGGAAGTTCTGGAAGTTCTGGGACTTCATTTACTGATGAATCTGGAAATACAACTACGTCGGTATGGGATTGGCATACAGAATATTTCTCGTTTATGGTTTCCGGATATAAGAAGTAATATAGTAATATCTTATTGATCCCCCCCCCCAATATTATATTTAGGGCATGGAGCTGCAGGTAATAAGATGCATTATGTACTATAGTAAAAAGCACATGTAAACCAAAAAAAAATATTTCAATTTTAATTGCATCTAAAATTATGCAGGTTGTGGCTTTAGACCCTTATCCAGCTCCAGGTCATTCAAAACAGTCTTTTGTGGCAAGGTTTGTACATTTGTGTGTTTGTCACCTTGTTTCAGGGTTAGCGATAATGAGCAACGCTGGGGTACATATCACAACATCTATACATAGACATTCTAATATTATTATTATCCTTATAGATGGAAGGGATCCGAATATACTTCTGTCGTGCGCCCGATATTCCAAGAGAAAATTGATAACCTGCGTGGAAATAAGTTAATTGCGTGCGTGTTCGAATTTCCACCACTGGTTATCAAAACAGAAATTGCGCCAGGAAACTATACATACACTGGACAAGAAGTCCGCATTTTTCAAGAATTTGCAACCTTGTTAAACTTTACCTACGATTTTATAGAACCCCCAAATGGAACTAAGTGGGGAATAGATGTATGTGTTTATGTACATAAATTGTATACATATCTAACCATAAGCTAATAGATATGTTTTGTGTGCTTCGTCTGAATATAAAAAGCATTATCTTTTTAATTTGTGCATAACCCGACGAAATGCATATTTATTGTCAGTGTAAATGTGAAATACTATCATTAAAACAATTGTGATTTTATTTGTGTCCAGCTTGGAGGTAATAATTGGACTGGATTGATTGGAGAAACTCAGAGGAATGCAGATTTTGGATTTGCGTCAATTTTTCTACTCGATAATCGCGAAAGAGTATGGAAATATGTTATACATATTTGGTTATGCTGTTTTGTATTGTGGTCAGATTACTGATATGTACAGATATTTAGTGACCACTGACCAGGAGCGGTATCACGTTAAACACTTACTGCCCACATGCTGCTTCATTTCAATAGTTATTGTATGAGATAATAATTGTTAAGACTTTCATAGGCCGTAGATGTAACCAACCCATACGATCAGGATCAAGGGTGTTTCGCCGTCCCAAGACCCGAAGCATTGCAAAACTGGGTCGGGCTCATCCTTCCATTTTCCTGGCAAGTGTGGGCTTGCATTTTCGCAATGGCCTTTGTTGCAGGCCCAATTTTTGCAGGGATCACTCGCCCCTTAAGAATCGATAAATCCCTCACAGTTGGTCGTGGTATTTTCTACGCTATGGGATCCTTGGTGTCAGGTGACTACTTGTTACATATTCCTCTAAAACTACACATGTACACATCCAATGTCTTTGGATTACATGCTAATCTTACAAATTTACAGCTCAGAAAGCTCCCCAAGCCAAAAGTCATAGTCTAAGAACGTTCATTGTTGTTTGGCTGATTTTCTGCTGGTTGGCATTTATACTTTACAGGGTTCGTATATGTATATACATATGTATCTAATTTAATAGTTTCCTGAATTATTAATGCAGTCGTACAAGGGAACCTTAAGTGCTGTCCCATCTCGATTTCCTTTCGGATAGTCTTAATTGATAGATAATTTAGTGTAACTTAAAGTTTGTCATAGAACATACGGTGAAAAATCAGGTTTTCGCAAAATATCTATTTGGCGATAGCGGCACCGAAATATGCAATTTTTCCAACGCTTTTAACAGCATTTTACAGCATTTGGAATGATGAAATGAAGTTTACAAATATAAATTATATACCCGACTATAATTTCATGCTGATCACCAATATGCAAAAAACGATCCAAACACTTGCCAAAGATCCAAACACTTACATTCAAATTGCGAAAATCTAGAAAATTTTCTGAATTTGAATTTCGTCTTTTTTGGAATTTCGACATAATTTAAATTTCCAGCTTCTTTTAAGCATTGCAAAAATGTCAATTAATTAAGACTATCCGAAAGGAAATTAAGATGAGACAGTACTTAAGGTTCCCTTGTTTGTCAATATAGTTTACAAATTATTAATGTCTGTATGTAGGTGGCTTTGATAGTCTCTCTTACGACAGGACCTTCCAGCTATAAATTGGATAAAATTTCCCAGCTTGTAAGCTCGGGGTTGGAATGGGGCGGGTTTATCGTACGTGTGAAAATTACAATTATTGATTATTTGCTGCACATCCTTGTGGTATGTGTGCATGAACATGATTTCATAAAAATTATGACTTCATTTACAAAAAATTTAAAGGAAGTTCTCAAAACGTTTACGAACACAACGGAGAGAAAAAAAACCGACACCAAGAGTGAAAAATCAGACCAGAAAATGTTTGACCGTTTCGTTGAAGTAACGAATATGTATGTAGGCTCTATTTCAATGATCACTAATATTAAATACCACCCTTTGAAATATGCATATTTTAGAACGGAAGCACTAAATCGTGTGGCATTAGACGGAGACTTTGCAGGTCGGATTTTTCTGATGTGTAATATGTGCGGTATGATAATGTGTTTACAATGATAATAAATCAATCTTGCAGTCTTGGATAGTGGAAAATATCTTCAATATGCATCGAAATCAATGTTTTTTGATGGATATAGCTCAGCAATACATGTAAGTTGAATGGTGAAGAGTAAATGTAGAACAAATGACTTTCAGTAAATCTTTATAAGCGCATATGCATTTTGTTCATTTTATTTTCAGGTGATGAAGGAATGTCCAACACGGTAGGTCAACCAGTATAATCACATATGCTGTTGAAATATAAGTATTTATAAACATTGTATTACACATGAACATTGTTCCCCTGTTAAAATTATTAGTTTTAACGTCGGTTTTGCTGTACCCATCGGATCTCCATTTTTAGATCGGATAAATAAGGTTGACACAGAGATTATTCAATCAATGATACATGGAATGGGGTTAATGTTACACTGCTTATTAAATTGTAGCTGATTAGCCGTTTCCAAAGTTCTGGGTTAATTGATAAATGGCTTCAAGATATTTATCACATGGCTGCTTTGAAGATTCCAAACAAAGAACGCAAACGGAAAAGAGATCGAGCCTTGTCCTTGGACAATATGAAGTTATGCTATATAATTTTTTTTTGTGGCCATTTCTCAGCGTTTCTGAGTCTCTGCGTGGAGAAATGTATTACGGAGTATCAGGCAAGGAAAGGCCTTTTGTTACGTTTTGCTAGAAAAATTAGCATCATTTCTTCCCAAGCAATGACGCCTTCTTTTCTTATTACGGACACGCAACCTGGAGAAAAAAATTCCTTATCAGAAATTGATATCCAAAAAGAAAAACATAAAGAGAAACTGGATAAAATTACACGACTAGAGCCCCCACCAGATCCAGACGCAATTATGCCTTACGAAGATGAACAAGAGGAATAGTAAAAGTGCATGGCATTTTCGAATAAATCGTCAACAAGTACATAATTGTGGTTAGTAAGTAGTTAGCAAAAAATAATATGGCCACTAATTAAATACTAGATTTGTGATGGCAAATAAAATGCTGAATCTATGTACTTGAAAATTTTCTTTGAAACTAGTAACAGAGAAACGAAAGTAGAGACATGAAGTTAATTGTATTTACAAATATTTATTATCATTACAAAGTAAGCCTAGTAAATGAATTAAATCATAAAAACATGTATGTAGTTTTACAATGCCAACACTTATTTATTTAACGAATTCACATCAACCGTTTAGCTCAATAACACAGATTTCGTTACTTCTGTACTTCACCAATTTGATTAGTCTTTGATCTCATTTTGCTCGATTTCCTCCCATTTCCACCAAATTGTACCAGTTTATTTCTGAACGTTTTTGGCTCCTCCGATCCATGTTCATCATCGACGGTACGCGGCGGTGCGTCCGTGAATGATTTTCGCTGGGTCGTTGTTACTGCATCATTGGAATAATGATTGGTCGGGAGGTGAAGAATGCTCTTTAAAGAGGTTCGTTGCTGCTGCAAGTCCAAGTTATTGTTATCATTGGTAGTTATCTCAGGCTTAACTAATGAACATTTCTTTATTCGGGATGTTCCACGTTTAATCCGTGATGACGATTTTATTGTAGTTTTTAGATTTTTGGATGGAAAATTAGTAGGTTGGTAACAAAATAATGAAGGCGAGGTATCACAAGTCTGGTTCGGCTGCGAAACTGCTAGGGTATTCTTTGGTTGAGATAAGAATGAGCAATATTCTTGCTGTCTTTTAGCTCTTTCTCTCCGACTCAGCCTCTTTTTTACCCTTCCTCGCCTCGTTTTCGAACTCGACCCCTTATCCTCTATTTCATCGTCTTCAATATCTGACTGAGTGGCGTAATTTTTAACTCCGTGCTTTCTTCCTCCTCGGGATGATATGCTTTTACTGACTAACGTAAAACGATTGGGACCTTTACTAGAGTCATCGTGACTTTGAGAATTTGGATAAAAAACGTCCGAATCATTAACGTCCACCTCAGGATCTGTTTCGACGGCTTGATGAGTTTTCGTCACCACTCGGAACATGATGGGAGTGTCATTAACTGCTGTTGGAGAACTTTGGTTTGCACTTTTGCTAGGTTTCTTTATTTGCAAAGTAGTGACCCTTCTCTCCAGCGGCGAGTTTCTGAGATGAGTTTCAATATTGTATGCAATAGGTTTCGTGAGGTCGACGATGCCCAAAGGAATCCTGATAGAAGAATTTGTGGTGGCAGTTGTAGGAGCGTCTACACATGACTTTTCATCTACTGGTGGCTTGATGGGTAGCAAAGCAAGCCGTTTGGGTACTAGGATTCGTGGATCGAGTGATGGTGCTGGGGGACGTTTAATTCTTTTGGGGATATTGGCGTTAAATGCATCATTCTCCTCAATTGAAGAATGAAACTGGCCATGTAATGATGACGACGGATGCAGTTTCGCAACAGTCATCAGCTCTCCTTTCTGCTTGTCCTGCATTGATTTATTATGTACATGAGGCACTGTTTAGCATTTGTATTTCAGTTTCATAAGATTTTTAGGAAACATTGATAAGCTAATACCGTCAGGTGTATGTTAATGTCGCCCGGAGTAAAAGGCAAGTATGGGAAAACTTGTTGATTGCTGGTTTGATGCAAGTCAATGTCTGAATCCTGGTTGTTAAAGGCAAAGCAGGAACCACAACACCCCATCGATGTTAAAAAGCTCCATTGGCATTGTAACTAACTTTGGTATAAAATAAACCACAAAATTTGACCATGAAACTAAATCAGCAGTAAAACTGAGGAAATATTTCCAAATTTCTATAAATACCATGATTTATTACATCGCTGTTATTATAAGTTAAAAATTTGATGCGCAGCGTCACAAGGACCTTGGTTACGTGTAGAGTTTGGTTAGATTTGCATGTACAATTGCCATGATGATCCATGTAATGTTGGATGTTAACGTCATTGGCCACATCGTTTTTTTCACAGCAAATAGATTTTAAAATTTATCGTCTGTTCTCCGTCGTCCTCCAATTGGGGTGTGGTCATTTCAAATTCATATGGTCAACTGATTTCCTCCGCAGGACTTCAAATAAGTCTTGAATTACAAATTATTACCACTTTTGGAATATGAACTTGACTTTCAATATCTCCGAGATGGGCCCTCAGAGGTAAAAAAAATATGAATCTATACTTGTTGAGCTATTTTTATTAAAGCGGTGGACGGCAGAGCAAAATTGTTGCAAAACTTGTTTTATGCCAAGTCACCATTTATGGTGACAAATTTTAAGGTTTAATTTTAATTTTGTATTGTCTCCAAACCCAATCAATTTCACTCACACTGTTTTATTTATTGAAAGCAACCGTGAGATGCAGGAGCAAGAAAATTCTTGAACCCCGAATAATCATTGCAAGTGGGCAATTTTAATTGTTTTATCTGCTGTGATTATTACTAAAATTTATTATACATTGTGGTTTTATGACTAGAAAGTGATAAACATGAAAATGAGATAGCTTATATTAGAATTAATTAGTAGAAAATATTTACATACATACACTATATTTGGGTCTCTATTATTAATCTAAATTCTTTGTAAACTTCGATATTGAATTACTCGCTGACACTATAGAACATGTTAAATACATATATACTGCATCCTGAAAGACACTGACATTGATTAAGTAGAATCTGAATATTTAATTCCAAATTTATCAAAAATACCAGTGTCTCTAGCGTACTGTAGATCACGCTTAAGAATTTCTAAGGACGAGTCCATGCGAGTGGGATATTCATTTGGTAAATATTTGCACAACTTTTTGCTAAGAAAAACGTCTTTGTCCCCTTGAATCCATTTTACATATACATTTGGTAAGTTGTCCTCCATGTACTCTTTCTCATTTTCTCGAGCCAATGCGATTCTCACGATCTGAATTACATCGTCATTGATATCCAATTTTTTTGCTCTCTCAATAAATTCATCTGGCTCTAAAACTTGTATGTGTACTCCAAACTCGAGGGCTACCTCGTCAAACTCACGTTCATCAAATATGCTAGGATTTGCCACATTGAACATTTCAAATCCAGTTTCTTCATTAAAAAACAGTTCAATCGTAAATTTAGCACATAGGTCAACCGGGATGATGGACATTGGTAGGTTCTGCGCTGGCATCATTCCCATGTACATGTAAGCCAACATTCTTATCATTAAATGGCTGTCAAGAATTTGGAAATTTCCGTGATGAATGGAATCACCCCCAATGTTCGGAATACGAAAGGACTTGCAGGGAACACCTCTTTCTACTGCTTGGGTCAATAAGAGGTCACAAACGTACTTGGAAATTGGATAGGAAGAATTCGCCTGATTATCAAATTCTCCTTCGATTGGCCAATCCTCCCAAAATCTTCCAGTCTCGTCTACATTCGTTTCAGCAATCATGGTAGAAGCATTGTACACATATTTTAAACGCTCTTCCACCGAAAATGTTAGAATATTCTTCATCCCAGACACGTTAATGTTTCGTGAATGTTTAGGGTCGTCAGATTTGGCGTAAAACTCGTCCAAACTTGATTTTACGGCAAGATGGAAAACTGCTTCCACTTCAGCAGCAAGTCGCTCATAGTCAAATTGAGACATTCCTAAGTTTGGCTCAGAAACATCTCCAATGACAAAATCAATCTTGTTCAAATCAACAAATTGAAGCAATTTCTTGTCCTTAAAAATTCGTCGAAATCTTTCCAAAGGTGAAAATATTTTGTTTTCTCTCATTAAACAGTAGACTTTCTGAACAGATGGTTGTTTCAGAATTTCATATACGACATAGGGGCCTAGCGTCCCTGTTGCACCACTAACTAGAACTGTAGAAATTTCAGAGAGTTTCTTAAAATTCTTTATAGAAGCTGCATCCGCAGATATGTGACTTGGTAGAATCGAGTCTTCAATGATAAGATCTCGCAATTCTTCTCTTGTCGGAGGTGGTATTTCTACCTTTCCGGAAATCAAGTCTACAAGTCGTAGTGAAAGTTGCGCAACAGTTTTGCAATCTTTTACCGAAGCAATGGAAATTTTTACCCTTTTCCCCACCGACATTTGGAGACCGTTCTTCATCTCGACCATCATCAATGAATCCATTCCGATTTCGGCGAAGCTGACGTGGTCGTCAATTTCTTCGTTTTTGTCCAACTTCAAGTTTAACCGGAGAATTGTTTTAATATATTTTCGTACAACGTCATATTTCTGTTCTCGAGTTTCTGTCACATCATACTCTTTCCAAAATACCTCACCATCTAGCTCTTTAGATAAGTCAGCTTTACATTCTTCAAGTTCAGAGAGAAGCTGTTTGGCACTAGGAAAAGCTTTCCGACCCAAACCCACGTCCCCTTCGCAAACGGCTATCTGGGTTTTATTAGTTTTCAGGGTATTCTCCAACGCGGCCAGGCCTTGAACAACTGTAAATGGCATTAGACCTGGGATATTCTAAAAAAAAAGGAAAACAGAACCAAATACATTTTCTTTCAGTCGTACAAAATAAAATAAAATAATTCAATTTGTAGCAACAAATTAAAATAGTATATTCATGTACCAAGTTTGCTGCGACACCGACTTGGCCCCACTGACCCCAATTTATTGTGGCCCCAGGAAGTCCAATAGAGTTGCGGTAATGAGCTAACGAATCCAGATAATAATTTCCGGAACAATGATTTGACTGGGCGATTGATCCGAAGAGTGCAGCAAGAGAAGAAAACATGACAAAGTGTTCCAGGGGGTGCGGTAGTCCAAGTGTAAGCTGGTGAAGATTCCAGCTTCCTCGGACTTTTGCATTGAAAACGGCTTCAAATCGTTCCCACGTTTGGACATCTAGAGTCCCGTCGGCTAAAGCTCCGGCAGCATGCATTATTCCGCGAAGAGGTGGACTTTGGCGAAATGTTGTGTTGCTGACAGGATCGTACCGTTCTTTATTAATTTCTTCAATCAAAAGCCGACACGCTTCAAAGTTTCCGACATCACATTGTTGAGCCATGACATGGACACCCCGAGATCTAATTTCATTTATCTGCTCTTCAGCCTCCTTTGTGGGTGGTGACCTACCACAAAGAAGAATATGCATGGCACCATTTCGGCTCATCCATTTTGCCACCTCAAGGCCGATTCCCCCGAAGCCCCCAGTTATCAAGTATGTAGCATTATCGTTAAAAAGAGTAGCGTTGCATTCTCTACCCGACAGATTATTTTTTCCAGGTTCAGGCATAGCAATTACTATCTTCCCCAAATGTTTCGCTTCTTGCATGAATTCAAAGGCGTCACGGATATCGGTTAAATCAAATCTAGTGTGCGGTAGAGGTTTCGTGTGACCACCGAGTTCTTGTTCATCAAGCATCGTTTTGACGGGCATGAACGTGTCATTTAGTTCGGAGGGCGTCATCGTAGCAAGATCTAAAAATTAAGATATTGTTACCGTACGATTTAATATAATCTCAGGGTCCATTAAATTTTACCCGCAATTTTGTACATCACGTCGGGTCTCAGTTCACTGACTTGATCCTTGCTCCAAATGTTCATTTTGCTCATTTCAATGAACCGAGCCCCTTGTTCACAGATTGCAAGAGTCGCTTCTTTAAAACCGGGTCCAGTGAGAGAATTTAGTACCACGGTGACACCTCTGCCTCCTAACGCCTTCCGGATTTCATGCTCATATTCAGTTGTCCTCGAGTTGAAAACTATAATATAAAAGACAAGCAATAATATTCTAAATACTCTCCTTTTGTACAGCTGGTTTACAATTTGATGGTGGTCAGTGTGTTCAAAGTAAAGACAAGGAATAAATGATCTTCCCTCCTCTTATATACCTGTCTTGTTCCGAGTCTTCTTTCCAATTAAAAAAGTGCAAATAAAAATAATAGTGGTAGTGCTGTTTACTCTTTCCAATAACAAAATATTGCGTCAGTTATAGATTTAGGTAGTTTAGTTAGTTTTGTAGGTAGACTAGTTTTAGTTTTGTACGTGGATTTAAAATAATCCAACCTAATTTAATAAACCGGAGAAAGTTGACGTATTGATCGATTTGGAAACTGTAAGTATGATTATGGAGATATGTAAGTATGCATGATGATATAACTAATTTAGTACTTATGTAGAGAAAATGCCACCAAAAATGATGAAAGATGAAGGGGATGAGAGTGGTTCTTTTACGGATGATGATGATAGTGACACGAGTGAAAATGATGACAATGAGACCCCAATAAAAAGAGCCCGATTGTCGTCAAAATCTGCAAATTCGTCAGGTTGGTTGCCCGTTTTGCATGATTGTTGAGAAAGTCAAAATTGATTATGAGGCAATGATGACGACATTCTCAATTATGTAGGATATGAATCCTCAACACCACACAGAGTGACACGGTCCATGAAAACTGGGGGTGGTACGAGCTCTGCTGCAGCAAGAAGGGAGTTAAGAGTGTTTGATGATGAACTGAACTCTCCTCCACCAAATTCTGAGGAGGAGGAGGAGGATGACAACACCTCCATCCCCACCCACTCTGCGGTGAAAGTGAAAGTTTTGAAAAAGTCGGTTCCTCCACCCACTGAAACGGCCCGTAAACGTCTAAAGAAGAGATCTGCAGAGAGTGACGAAGATGAAGACAAATTGCCAATCCTCGACCCCAACCTTGAAGCTTCCATCAGATCGAGAGCTGAAAAGAGGTGGTTGGCAGCCGAACCTTTAGGAAATGAGGTTGAGTTAAAGCAGTTTGGGAAGAAACTTTTTTCTCTGGATTCCTATCGAAACAAGTGAGTGATAAATTTGAGAAAGTATACAAATGTAGAATGAGTGAGTTAACTTATCAATTATTTATTTACGCAGTGCTATATATAAAGCAAGGTACATCAGGACCGGTGGGAGCAAAGAAAAACAGAAGGAACACGAGTAAGTAATCAAATCACGTTTCTTTCAATTGTATTATGTACAATTTTTTTTCGTTTTGTACAGTTCCAAAAGATACCATAAAGCGAAAAAAGACAAAAAGTTTTATTGTGATGCTTGCGATACAAGTTTTGGAAACCTCCGTGGCCTAGATGCACACATTGCTGCAATACACGGCACCGACGTTATGTAAGTAAAATGTAACACAATCATAATTGAAAACTTGACACACATTTTCCTGTATTTCATTTAGTCCAAAAAATATAGTCACTCACGGCCAAGTTAACCCTTTGAAGATTGCCAGAATCACACGACTCCCTGCCATTGCATCAACAGAGGAAAATGATGATGAAGCAGAAGAAACGAAGGAAACATTTGACCTTTTAGATGCCCACCTTACTCACATCAAGCACTACTACAATTTCTACATGATTGTCGGACTAGACGTGCCCATCCTGCAGGGAAAAATTAATGCAACCGTTTCCGAATGGGATCTCCTTATCAAGTATCCCTTGAAATCTACACAAGAACTAGTCCTTTGGTTTCCCATCCTCCAAAAATATCTCCCAGAAATCGAGATCTATATGGGAACAGTTCAAGGACGAAACAATGTTTGTCCGGGGATGATGAAGAAGGTTTTTCCCGAGTGGCATGCGAAGGGGAAGATTTTGTTCATTATTGGATTGAAGAGTTGGTCACACGCCAACCCTGCATTATTAAGGGACTTTGCGTTGACTTATGAGTCAGTAGCTATTGTAAGTTCATTTCCAACATATGTACAATGCTTAACAATTGCATTAACTAATCGACATATTTCGTTTATGGATTCAAATAGTCGATCATGCAGATGAGAGAGAATCTGATGGTGAAACCTTCCCATGGTCACTACAAATTAGTTAACCAGCAGAGCGTCACAAAGCCACTCGTCAACAATTTGACAGGGAGTGTGGATGATGAGGATGAGGAAGAAGAGAAAGTCGTGCTTAATCCAGAAATTAAGCAACACATTCGCTATGTAGCAAGACGACCAGCCCTCTTCCCACCTATCTACTTTTCACCTCCACTCCTCCCACCTGAACTGCATCACCCTGAGTGGTTCCATGGACTTACGCCGTTAGCAGACATTAAGCGTATCTATTTTAAGTCATGCAAGGAGAAGTCTTGCAGTGTTTGTGTAGAATATCCATGAAACTCCATGCTTTTTTATGAACTTTCTTTTATATTTGTTCAATAATTTGTTAATAAAACTATTGTTAACATCAACCTACCATGTTCCACTCCAAGGTTTCGAAGGTACTGTCTTTTCCGATGGCTTCCAGCAGTAGCAACTATTTTGCATTTTTTCCACTGAGCGACCACAATCGCGGCTAACCCGACTCCTCCTGATGCGGTATGGATTAAAATTACGTCACCTTCTTTGATTTTTGCAATTTCGAGAAAGCACAAGCTGACTGTGGTGTATGCCACTGGAAGTGTGGCTCCGTCAGCAAACTGTGAATAACAGTGAATAACAATTAAACATTATGTACACGTTTAATTTGCATTGTTATTGAGTAATTGTTCGGATCAATTTAAATAATAATCTTACAGTCATTCCGCCAGGCATTTGGTAAACATGCTTCCCTTTAGTTATGACATGGCTTGGCATCGCATTCCCATCACATCTGGCCCCTAAAACTCGATCTCCAATCTTCCAACAGTCAATATTCGACCCAACTCCCACAACCACACCTGAATAGTCAATCCCCACCGTTGTGAACGATTCAAATACAGGATCCGGTTTAATGACGACCATCAGATCACGAAAGTTCATGGCATATGCCTTCACCTCAATCTCAATTTCATCGTCACCCAGCGGTGGTAGTTTGAAGGGAGCGAAGCGAAGGTCAGATATCATATTGCTCGTGGGTAATATCATCCGATATCGACTGCACGATGGGATTTCTACCGAATTGTTTCGCATCCTATACGGCTGAAGCCTAGGAACATGTCGACGATTTTTTCGGTAGACGACGATTGTTTCTTGGTCCATTGTAAATATTTCTGTGAATGCTTCCAAAACAATGTCCGGATCTCCAGATGAGACTTGGTCCATATCAATACATTTTCCAATTAGGCCAGGAATTTCGTTTATCATGGCGTTTGTGAGTCCTATCAGTGGAGACGCATCTGGTCGGTTGAAAACAAAATCTGAAGGCCCAGTGCTCAAGTTGCCTCGAGTAAAAGCAATGATTTTCACGTTCACAGCAGCGTGCGACAAATATTTTCCAATGTATAGATATGGTTCGATAATTTCTTGGTATGTAAAGGAATTGCTCAGCCCCCACAGGTAAGCAATGCCTTCAGGACGGGCGGAATCTTTTGTAAATGAATCGCTCAAGATTTTAAAAATCTCTTCTTCCAATTTGCTTGCAGTAAATTGGCTCGGTGTTACTAGCACTACCCTTCTTCCACATTGTTGGAGTTTTAATACAATCTCATTGCAAGCGGCATCGTTATTTCCAAAAACCACCCATGTTGGCAAATTATTGTGCGTGAGATTGAAAGAATCCATGACGTTGGTTTGAAACACGTTTGCATTTGGGTCCAATCGTCCAGAAATTAAAGCATTTTTCCAGTTATAAGAGTTTAACGATGCAAAATCGATAAACCCACACTCTTGGAAGACTTGTTTCCATTTTGATACAGATAACTCGCAGTTATAAGGACGTAGGTTCACATCATTGAAACTCCAAAATTGTTCCAAGCCACCAAACAGTAATTTTACGGGTCTGTTTGGATTTGTCAACTCGAGCATGATCAAATTTCCAGATGGCTTTAAAAGCTTCTTAATGTTGTTGAGGGTTTCTTTAATGTCCCGAGTTGCATGGACAACATAGGATGCCATCACTGCGTCATTTTAAAATACAATTATTTAGCTTACTAAACTCAATTATTTTGAAAATAATTTACAGGCGTTTAAATCTCCTAATAATTTATGTTGCACTTCTCTATTTTGTTGGGTAAGCCAACAAAATAGAGAACTTACCCGCGTCATAATGCCCAGGGATATATCCCTGCGTAAGTGGATCTTCTTCAATGTTGAGAACATCAAATTTTGTCAGTATTCCAGTATTTTCAAATAGTTCCTCTCCTTTATGCAAGAATGCATTCGAGATATCCGTATATGTGTACTCAAACTTTGAATTATTGTTGTCGTTGACAAGGAGCGGAAGTATGAGTTTAGTGGCGGCTCCCGTTCCTGCCCCGACTTCTAAAATCCTAACAATTGGTTTGGACAGTGATGCTTTTTCGGATGGAAGACGAGTAAAATTATTCACAAATTGTGGTATCGAATATTGGGTTAGCAGTTCACTTTTCCTTGCAAATAACGAATCCGTATAATAAATTTCAGCAGGTCCACGAACATTGGTCCCTTCAGGAAAGAGGATTGACAACGCCGACAGGTTGCCAGACAAAATGTCAGACAAGTTTTCACCGAGAGGTTCGACACAATTTACGTCTTGCACGCCAACTGGTCTTGATCGAATTTGATTCTTAAGGTATTCAATTCTTGAAGAAAGAGTTTCAGAGTTTGTGAATGCTTTGATGACTTTAAAGCTTATCCTTTCCAGTGAGGTGTGGGTGATTTGAAGCCATTTGTCCTCTGCCAGTTCCATAAGAATGTATCTCAAAAATTTATTTTGTGTAGCAGCAACGTTTAGCTCTTCGGAAATATCTGGCCATTGAAAATCTTGTCCAACTGCAATTCTCTCGTTAAACCCTAATTTTACCAAGGCTTTAACCATGTAAAGCGCAAACAATTCGTTTGAAGAATTATAAAAGTCCTCTTCTTCTGGGGTAAAGGAGTTGTGCTTTACTGACTCGGCTTCTGTAAATTTGAGAGCTGTAAAATCATCGTGGCGCACGCGTCGCTCGCAAGGCCCAAGGAAATCCCTGTATGCTTGCTCGTACATCCGGGGGTAAGGATTTTTTTGAGAGTCGATAAGAGCGTTAATGTTATTCAACGTCGTTTCGACAAACTCAGTACCTTTCATCTTCGCAATTAATTGGCCGGTGCTATCGTAAAGATAGACATCCTTCTCACCTTCAGCCTCTGCTTGGGTTACGTAAATGTAGCCAGATTTAGTTTTAGGTGATCCCCAGCATGTAAAATTCTCGACTTGCAGTGGGACCATCATGGTTTTAGAATACGGTTTGTTGATCCGCATTCCCATGCCGAGGATTTGGGCTTGAAACATCGCGTCAATGACACATGGATGTACTTTAAACTGATCTGGATCATCAGTAGCATTGAATTCAAATAAAAAGTCTTGCGAAGAGGAAGAAAGAGAAGCTTCTTCTTTGACTGTCCATGCGGTTTTCAGAATTTTAAAAGCTGGTCCGAAATTATATCCGAGGTCTTCAATCGCCTTGTAGTCATAACCGGACGAAATTTGTTCCGTGCATCGAGACTTGATAAAGTCCAGAGAGAGGACATCGGTTGTGGGAGCAGCAGCAGGCGACGAGTCAAAAGTTGCCGATGCATGTCGAATCCATTTAAAGTTGCTTGAATCCAAATAGAGTTTCGTATAGACGGTGCTCACAGGATCTCCAGAGTCATTTGACTTTGTAACTACAACTTGAAATTCGGTTGATTTTTTGTCGTTGAGACAAACTGGCGATTCGATTGAAAAATTTTTGACACAAATTCCGGAAGTTGTAGTTCCGCCGGGGTAGTTCCCTTCAGAGGGAAATGTTGATGCGAATCCTGCCACGAGACACATTTCTAGCATTGCTGCACCTGGGAAAATTAATTTATTTCCAAGAACATGGTCTTGCAAGAAAGGAACTCGGTGCACGGATAGATCATTCTTGAAAATCTTGACACCAGAAGCGTTGGGAAGGTGTGCTCCCACCAACGGATGAAATGGAATGGTTCCATCTTCCTGAATTGATAACCAGTACTGTTTCTCCTCAAAGACATGTCCGGGTAGGTCTATTTTCATTCCTTGAGAAAACCTGTGAAAATTTTGCCACTTTATTTGAAAGCCCATGGTGTAAAGTTTTCCCAGGCTGGATAAAATGGTAGCCCAGTCGTCATGTTTTCTCCGAAGAGATGGCTGACAGACGATTGGATCGTCTATATCCACATTGTCCGAATTGATCATCATCATTGCAGTGAGAACGGGATGTGGTCCAATTTCAATAAAAATTGTGTTTTCATCTTTGAGTGCAGTTTCCGATGCTTCCATAAATCGAACCCTCTCCTTGGTTTGCTTGGTCCAGTAGTTTGCGTCCACTTGTTTCATGACTTTCCCTTCCATTCCCGATATGAATTTGCATTTGTTGGGTTGGTTGTAGACAATAGTTGATGCTATTGCATTGTACGTTTCTAGAACGGGGTCCATTAGTCTCGAGTGGAATGCGTGGTTTGCGTCCAGAATGTGAGACTTTAAGTTGTTATTTTCGCAGTACAGTGCAAACTTTTGGACAAAATCATTGGGACCAGCCAGCACAGTTTGTTGATCCGTATTAACAGCGGCAATATCCAGCCATATATTATCTCTAACAGAAATTTGCTTCAATAGATTTTCTACAGTGGCCAAGCTCGCACCAACGACTATCATTCCCGCATTTGGTAGAACATCTACAAGACCTGCTCTACTGACCACCAAATGCAAAGCATCTTCTAGTGACAATATTCCAGCTGCCACAGCGGCTCCAAATTCGCCTAAGCTGTGACCAAGCACAGTGTCAGGTTTTATCCCCCACGATTCCCATAACTTAAGCAGGCAATATTCCACACAGAAAATGGACGTCTGGCTGTAGAGCGTTCGTTTCAACAAGCCCGACTTGTCACCCCATAAGATATCCTTCAGCCGAAAATTGTAAGATGCGCTTAGCATCGAGTCCAATTTGTCAAAGTGGGTCGAGAAAACAAGGCTGCTGTCATAGAGGGACTTTGACATTCCAGGATACTGGGAACCTTGTCCCGTGAAAAGAAAGCAAATCTTGGGAGTTGTCGCCCCCGTTGTTGTAAACGGTTTACTTTTGGTCAAGGGTGCCTCCAATTCGGCGTCAATCTCTTTGATCAGCTCCTCAATAGTTGATGCTGTTATTGTTTTACGATATGCAAAATGTGACCGTCCAATGTGCTGCGTAAATTCCACATCTTCAAGTCTGAGGGAATTTCTATCTAAATGGGATTGCAAAAAATTGCGATATGCTTTCAATTGAAGTCGTAGAGACTCCTCAGATTTTCCAGAAAATGTGAATATTCGTAATTGTCGAGGTTCGGCTGTCGTGAAATTTAAATTTTCAGGAGCTTGAGGGGTCTCTTGAATAATTACATGCGCGTCTGTCCCAGTTATTCCAAAAGAGCTGACGCCCGCAATTCGTGGTTTTCCGCTTTCGTTCTTTTTCCACTCAATTGCCTCCAATGGAAGCTGCATACCAGTGAGGTTTATATCTGGATTGAGGCTCTTAAAATTGAGATGTTTTGGAATAAGCTCGTGCTTCATTGACAAAACAGTTTTAATTATCCCTGCTATTCCACACACGCTCTCCGTGTGACCTAAATTTGTCTTCAGTGACCCGACAGTCAACACGTCGGTTCTTTCTTTTAAGTAAATTTTGGCAACTGCTGCAAGTTCTAATGGATCACCAATCGGCGTACCTTTTTTGTCCCAAAACATTTTGCAAGTAAGTTTTTATTGCAACCTTCAAAGGCTGTAAAAAGGTTGTAAAGGAGGTTTTACCTGTGCCATGCGTTTCCACAAAGCTTACATCTTTTGGGTGGACCCCAGCTCTTTCCAATGCTAGTTCCATTGCAAGGGCTTCACAATCCACCGTTGGTGTTCCCATGCTTTTACTTGGTCCCTCCTGCACCACAGCCGATCCTCGAATCAATCCCCAAATCCTGTCCCCATCTGCGACAGCGTCAGGAAATCTTTTGAGCACTAATGCAGCTACTCCCTCTGCCCTTCCAAACCCATCAGCATCAGCGTCAAACGTTTTGCATCGCCCATTTTGGGAAACTACGAGGTTCAGCATATTCACACTAAAAGAGTGGATTAAAAGGTTGCAGCCCATCGCAATGGCCAATTTACAGTTTTCGTTTCTTAAATTTTCGCAAGCCAGGTCCACGCCCACAATCGAAGTTGAACATCCCGACTCGGTGGAAATTGCTGGCCCAGCAAGGTCGAAGTAGTGAGAAATTCTTGCCGTAAGAGTGCCGAGAGCATTGCCCATGTAAACACGAAAGAAATCTGATTCGTTTATCACGCCAATTTGTTGCAGCATTTCTTTGTAATCGTCTCGCCAAAATCCTCCAAACACACCGGTCAACGAGTTTTTCAAGTTCTCGGGGTTAATTCCAGAATGTTCTAGAGCTTCCCAGACTAATGGAAATACAAATTATTAGAAATTAGAAATAATTATTTCTGATTGAACTTTCACTTGTAGGTAGTATGATGATGGTCAACAATTTTATGCATTATAAATATGAATATCGACAGTGCTGATGGGCATTTTACGATATGTACACCCGATCATGCAGAAATACATACAACCATCAAGAATTTCTTAACATATTACGTGCTATGTTAAAAAGATTTTAAAGTAATGGCAGAAAAATTAATTATGCATAACGAGGAATTATTCGAATTTTTATGCATGTCCTGTGCTACTGTATCACCAGACACGCCTTCATCTCGCCCAAAAACCAAATAGATAGTCTTCTATAATGCGATAAGACGAATTGCGTCCTTCTGCTCCTTTATCGTGGATCATGTAAAAACCCTAACTTTAGCTCAGCAAATTTCAATTTTCAAGGCTTCTCATGATGTAATGGCCAATTCAACAAGAAATAAATATCTCGGATATGTAAGTAGCTAAATGTCACCAATTTATAGATGATTTCTTTGTTATAGAATTATATAATTGAAAAACATATCTGTGATAATTCTGCTGAGCCTACCGATCTGAAGAGTCATTCGCTGCTGTGGATCCATGAAGGCCATGTCAGCCGAGTTTATGTTGAAAAACTTTGCGTCAAATTGATCTATGGGACATGATAAGAAACCAGCTTGCGTCTTTCGCACGTCAGTTAACCGGATAATTGCATTATCTTTAGTCCATCGCCCATCCGGTACGCGACAAATCCCTTCATCTCCTGCCTCCAACAGTTTCCAAAATTCATCGATCGAGTTTGCTCCAGGAAATCGTGAAGACATTCCGATAATTGCAATCGAGTCACACAAATTTTCATATTGGGTTGGTTCAAACGTCCCCAAAGTCCCCTGCAGGACAATAATTGACAATAATTTGCATATTACATAATTTTTTTATTCCAGGTACGAATTAGTCGTATAATTATAACACAATACCACTGATCCTATTTTTCCTAATTTTTCAGGCAGTAGTTTTTCACAAAGGTTCAGTATGACCTGTGCATGACGAAAGAAATTGTCAATAAATCTTGCTTAAATTGTGGTGACAGTATATGCACAAAAGTGCGTGTACACACTTTTTCCACTGCTCCAAGCCCGAGGTCTTCCCACTCGTCATCCCCAAACGTTGGGGAATTCATGGGATGACCGTCGCAAAAGTACACGATCTTACATTCATCTCCGGTAATAGGGGTCGACCAAGATCTAAACACCATGCATATTTATTGCATTATGCAAAACTATAGACGTCATAAAATATTTTCCTCTCACTTTCCCGTTCCCCAGCTCATTTCTAAACCGTATTCCACACCCAATAAAGGAAACACGGATGAGAAATTTTGGTCACTGGAAATACCTAATTTATGGCGAAATTAATTGATTAATAACACTGATAATTAACTTTAATTCAGGAATTTTACCTTCCTCGTACTGCAAGATCATTTCCAGTTCCCTGTATGATGAACCCTTGTCCAAATCAGGGTTTCCAACAATTAGACCAATTTTGTCACTGCCTGTCATCATTCGAATCCCATTTCCACGAAAAAGCTCATCAGCATTCTTAATCACCTGTAAAGCATAATTAGCTTATTTAAACTTTAATTGTGCTATTTACGATCTTGTGTTGAAAATATAAAACATATTTGCATTTCTAACCAACGAGTTGCAATCCAAAAACACGAATTTCTTAATTCCTCGAAGACCCCACGCAGACAGTTTAGCAACCGTGGCGAACGGAAAGTTTGGGTATTGCTTCATCCGCTTTTCTCCAATCAGAGAGCACACATCAAACTCATCTTGAAGCTTGTCCCTGTGAGCCCATTTGAAACATATATATGTGAATTTAACTGATCTAGTTTATGGAGGGAAGACTAATAAATGCCTATTAATAAATACCTACCTTAGCATTTCCGACACCTCGTCTGAAATGAAGACGCCCGTCAAACGAGTCGTCAGTGCTTGACGAAGCGATCTCGCCAGTAGAATGCATTTCCATGCGTCCTCATCGTCCCTTGCACAAGTCAACCAGCGCTGATTATTGGCTAAAATAGAAAATGCACAAACAATACAAACCTATCCATTATATAATTCCACTCAACAAGTGAATATGAAATACCCACCAACAACCATCTTTTTCCGTAAATGAAGAAACAGTAAAACTTTAATGAGGAATTTTAATCCTTGTTTTGTTTCAGTTCAGAAATTAAAAGAAACACTGTGTGAGTGACAAAACGGTAACCTGAAAACTCAGACTAGGTCTCAACCAGATCTTCAACCCTTATTTATAGACCTCACCATAGTTTAGCACGAATGTAACGAGACTTGATGAGGGGGTTTCACTACCTAAAACAATATTGCTTATTACAACTTGTCGCTTTTGTTTTGATGGGTATGCAGTACGAGTAAGAGTTTTGATCCCATCAAAAATGGTCGCAATTCTACATAGATTCTATGTACAAATGTACACAATGCGGATTTCAAGAATGTAATGACTTACATATATTATGTACATACTTATAATTGTAGCTCATTTATGTGATAAGTATACATATATACATACGCATTTTATCGAGTGTGTATCAAACATTTTTTCCAAAACTTTATTCCCAAAAATATATATAAGTAGTAGGCTTAGAGTATTTAATAATTATATGATATTATTATCTGTATTAGATACTCTAAGGTAATAAGTTGTCGTCGACTTATATGGATCTTTTTTAAGAATACATATGAGGGCGATCCACAAGGGTTAATAAATAAATTGCGATCGTTAAATGCATAAAATACCTAGATATTAGGAAATAAGCATTTTTTATGTACACATATTTTTTAACGACAACGACGTTATTTTGATAAAATGCAAAAATTAGTGATGAAGATTGAAATGTGAAAAGATCGGATTTTTGAGAAAGCTGCATCAAACGCACATTATAAATTGTTGCCCAAAAAACACTGTCATTATTTCCTTGTAAACTAAGGAGGCGTTGCATTAATTTATGCATAATAATAGTTAATTTAGTGAAACGTTGTGGAAACTCTGTATAATACGAATATTCGAAACAATTATTTACGGCGAAAAGCGATATTTGTATGTATTTATAAATGTAGCGTCAACCATAGTTCGGGTCGACAGATCCACACCTCTTTGAGCCACACTCGACGACTTGACCAACCAAGTAAACATACAACAAGGTTAAAACTGGCATATTTATTTAGCGTATATAGAAAGTTATTGTGAACCGTCTGTAACATAATTCAGGTTATTAGCAACGATATGCTTCAATTATCTTAAATTTCAGTGTTTACATTTCTCAAGACTTATAAATACCATTTTGACCACTCATAGTTTGAAACTTTTGAAAAGCTGATATTTGTAGTCTAATTTAGACATTCTGTACATAGTATGCAGCATATATTAATACCCAAAGTATTTACTGGATAAATGCACTTTGTGTCTTCAGAAAGGAATACATGAGTTAGATTAATGCGGGTGTATCGGTATGTATGTAGTTGTATGTGACTTATAAATGCATATTTAAATACATAATATGCATATTATACATAATTCCATATTTTCAAGGAAAAATTCATTTAACTGTAGCGTCTTAAATTGCATACAATAATTTGTTCAGTTTTTACACATAAAATATTACGAAATGGATTTAGTAGTTTTGAAATTACTTATACAAAGTCTCACTGCGTAAAATTTAAACGATCTGGCAAATAAATTACAGATATTGTAACATATTACGGCAAGCAGGTAATTTTGCCCAGTACTTTCAAAGTTATTAAATATTTCAAGGAAGTAATGTTTTATTTATGTGTGCGTGTGTACTTAATTGAAAAACTACTTAAGTTCTTACTCCATATTTTAAAGTATGGGTTATGGAGATTTGCATAAATTTAACATAGTCTCCGGTTGTGATCAACTTGACATCAACAAGTCTTCCTAATAAAACTGGTTAACTAGCTGTAAATTAAATAGTAAATTGTAATTGTAAATTAAATTATTTTACAAGATCTAAAATATCGGACCAGTGAATGAAGCAAACGTAAAAATTTTCCTTGAGCTGATATTTCCTTCATATTTACATGTCACCAGATAAATATAATTAAAGTCACTAAGGACGTGCATGTAAGATGCGCATATGAATCATTTACTGCCCTATGAAAACAATCTGCATAAATCAATGTGCTAAATATTAAAACATGCAGTATTACATAATTATTTTCCAAAAGAACCATCTCATTCGTCGAATTTAGCACGACAAAAGAGTTTGGCGAAAAGGTTTGCATACTTCAAATCGACATGTTTCATGATTTACCACAAGAGCGTTGCAAGATGTGGGCATTAATATTTAATGGATTGAATCATCTTGAACTTTCATGTCTTCATAAGTTGCTGTTGTTTAATGCTTGAGTAGCATGGATCATTTCATACAGTAAGCCAAAGCAGTCTTTGTCGAGAATTGGAGCAGTTTTTTTCTATTATGTAATGGGAAATTGAGAAGCAGGGAGTGCCATCACCACTTAATACTTACATCTACTCTAATAAAGTGTTAGTATGATCCCTGGGTCCCTGGGTCCGTCTTCGCAATGCAAATTGCCCCATACAGTAGACAAAGAAGGAAGCGGAGCAACCACTGCATGCATGCACTGCACTGCATGAATAAATGAATACATGAACATGTACACCCCACATACATACATCACTCATCAATAGTGGTTATCATGATAAGTGATCGTGATAAACACTATTAATTAATTATTTTAGTTTGAGAAACTCTACCCACAGCGAGTGGCATGTCAATTCGAATGTATTTTTGACGCTGAATCCAACGCCGTCAATGGTTTTGACCTGCGAGGCCCCCGTGACCTCGCCGTGACCGTGGTGTCCAAATCTGGCTTATTCGTGATGTCGCATATCAATTCGAATGTATTTTTGACGCTGAATCCGAATCCGTCAATAGCTTGGCGTTAATTGTAAAAGTTAACGGGGTTTATGGAACTTAACGGGAGCGTGAAGCGTGGGAATTTAAATAGTTAGCTATGCAGTTACTCCCACGCGACGGGAATTTAAGTAATTAGCTATTCAACTACTCTCACAGGGGGGAATCAAATTTTACTGTGACCAGGTTAATTAAAATGCAGTATGACTTGGGCAAACCCTCAGTCTGATGTATGTATGTAGTATGACAAAGTCTCCACTGGGAATTATTTAAAATATAGTATGACGGATTTTTCGCTTTGGGCACACCCCCCACTGGAACTCTAGAACCCGGCCTTGGCCGGGCTATACGCTAGTACTTACATATATGCGCATGGTTACATTTGATCTAACCCCTTTGCTCCCACATACCATATTTGGCCATATATATGGTATGGCCACTCGTCTCCGGCAAATTCTCCGCTTAGATTGATCCACACTGCTTCTAAATTAATATATCATCATTTCCATTCCATACGGACCTATTTTTTAAGGAGACAAATAATAACACCTAAAAAGTTACTCGCTTGAAATTCATTAAATGGTGTAAAATTTCATCAAATTTTACAAACGAACCAAAGCAGTTTCGGTAAGTTCCTTAACTCATTACATCATCCTTCATTTTATTAAACCTTCATGTTAGCTCGTATTACAATCCTACGTTTAATGTGTCCTGTTTAGTCTACTTAAAGGTTTTTCCACGACAATTCAGCTATTTAGTTGGCCATTAATGTGGCGAATGGGTCTGAGAATATTTAACGTGTAGATTTTTAGAGCATTTTTAACACTCATAAAGTTTTTAACCTTCAAGGGTGATTATTCTATACAATGGGTAAAATTATTCCACACTGATTTCTCGGACCATATTATTTATTGGAAGATTTGGTTTAAAAGCATGTATGCACATATAGACTCAAATTCTTGTATATCTGTCAGACAGGTTCTGTCTGTATAGTTTACTTTTAGTATGCGTATGCAATTTTAGCTGTGAATTATCATGTTTCAGTTGTATCATATTTTGCATTCCACCTCGTAACCATGTACTAATTGATAGGATTGAGCTGCTTAAATTCTTACGACGAGGACAGTCAAGAGACTATAGGAAAGTAGTTAGTAGTTAAATTTTAAATTGTATCTGCACTTTTATCCTCCTCTCTTGTCAGTCTCGCCCATAATACTGTCTGCGTTAACTCGATAGTGCTATTGCTGATACACTACTGGCACACTACGAAAAGTATTAATTTTATTACAATCCATCAAACATAACTCTATACCAAACCTCATTTATGTATGTGCCTGTTCATGCAGAGTCTGTAATAAATAGTCTGCATTACAGACTGTCCCTTGAGCCGATTCTAATGAAATGGTTTTATTGACGTATTGTTTAATCATTCCTTTCCATTGATGGCTGTATTGGACCATCAAAGTTAACCAGAGAGAAGCCAACGCTGCCAATGCGTGATCGCCAGTTCAGCTTCAATATATTTAGTAAACCTAACCAGTAATTTTACACAACAGTTTAGTCTTAAAAATAAGGATAAAAATCCACAACGCTGCAAATTTTTCTTTACCAATATTAAGAATAACAAATATTTAAGTAGGTAATTTTTTGGTACATTAGTAATATTTCCAGTCATTAAAAAACTCTGATTGGGACAAGGACATATTTATTACGTTTGTGTTTCATGTTCCGAGTTCAACTAACTTAATTGCAAATGGAGGAGAAGCATGGTTGTAGCTGGTAGCTTATCTTTTTCGTATTTAATGATGACGAAATCTGAAATATTTTCATCCTCAATGCATCCCCCATTGTAAATGAGTTTGGCAATTAGCCACCATGCACAACAATTTACCTTGTACTGAAATGAAATGTTCTAAAAATAGCTCAAGTGATTTTGGTTTGTGATTTGCAGAGAATGTCTGCAGTTGAAGAATTGAATTCGGGAGACACATCTCCTCTCAAAGGTCCGGCACCCAAAGCACTTCCGGAAGACACTTCTGACGTAGATAAAAACGAGGACATTATGCCATTGACGAGCCCAGGTAAATAATCTCAAAATCTCGATTGTGCTAAAACCGATTATTCAAATTGTTCGAGAATATTGAATTAAAGAAGAATTTATTTATTTATTTCATAGGAGATCAACCCGTGCAATTTGTCCCGGGTCAACCATCCAATGGGGATGCCAAAGTTGAAATTGGGGATGCTGGTGGCCCTCCAGCCTTCGTGGGGTTGGGCAAAGAAGAGTTGATGAAATATGCAAATGATCCATTCTGGGTGCGACTCCGATGGTTTTTGTTCATTTTATTTTGGGCTGTTTGGGTAGCCATGCTGGTCGGAGCCATTATTATCATCGTCTTGGCCCCCAAATGCGCAGAAAAGAAACACGGCACTGACTCCTTCTATGAACTCAACTTGAAGAATTTTGCAAAGGATGGGAAACTTGCAGGTATTTGTCAATTATAATAAATACTTTTTTAAATACGATACTAATGTAATCAGAGTGGTCCAATAATCTCAACCTCTCGCATTGCTTCTATCACACAGATCTAGGAGAACGGGCAAGCTATCTTTCTGATTTGGGTGTGACCTCCGTCATTATTGCCGATGTTCTTAAGAAGGATGAGTTTGGTGGGATCGTTGATTTTAAAAACGTTGATGACCAAGTTGGCACCATTACTGAATTTTCGGACGCTATGAGAAAGCTGAAGAATGCTGGTCTCATGATTCTCATGACCCTTGTTCCCAACCATTCCTCCACCAAACATGAATGGTTTGTCGATCCTGAACATCAGTTCCATGACTATTACGTACGAAAACCAGAGGGTGAGTTCGGAATCCCATATAATAACATTACAAACGACGGATTAAGATCCATCACTTATTTGAATGAATTTGTGATAGCACAAATGACTAAAATAAAACTAATCATATTAGATTTTCAAGTTGCGATTTATGTAAAAATAATTATACATTAAATTTTTAATTTAATGTGCGTATTTTAGGGGAAGTGTTTGGTTCAAGCTGGGTGGTTGTTGATGCCAAGCCACAGCAAAGTGCTTGGGTGAAGGACCCCGCACACAACGACACACGCTATCTTCAACTCTTCAATGGCACGGCAGATCTCAACTTCAGGAACGACAAAGTCATAGAAGAAATGACGGTAGGAACTGGCGTATTATATATTCATTCAGCTTATGTAGCAATAAATATTAAGGAGTATTAAATTTTAATTTTAATTTGCTTATTACTCTTCTTAGGGCATTTTTGCATACTGGAAAGGAAAAGGCGTGGACGCTTTTGTTATTCCAGCAGCATCTTACCTCGTTGAAGACTTGAGGTTCGTTACTTGTAATTTCAGGCTTTCGTCATTGGCATCTTGAAGTTGCCGGAAAGATGGAGAAAATTATGGTGGATTTCCACATAACACACTTGATTTTATTGTCCTTAGCCAATTAAAGGAACAGAGGGCCACGATGAATCAACCAGAAAATATTGATGTCGTCAAGACCATTTTGAAACGGTATGTACCTTGTACCAAAATATATTCAACGAGAAATAAACCAACCACATCATGTATGTGCATAAACATATCTGAGAATATCTGATTAATTTTCAGACAAACTAATGAACCATCCTCGTTCGTTGAAGTAAAAAGTCTGAGCCAGGAAGCTGCTGCAAAATATTTGGAGAATGGTATCGTCCCATTATCCAACGAGTTTGACATTTCAACCATTTTGGATCAGTACGCAACTACAGCGAGCAAAATGAGTTTCTTCCAACAAGTTCACAAGAGCAATCATCCCGTGATCAGGGTACCCATACATATATTTTAATGACTAAAGTTTTAAAGTTTGTGGCGTTTACGACGGGTTCCGGATTTAATTGGATACTGGAATTTTAAATTACAGCTCTCTGGTCCTGCTGGGCGACTACAAGGTCAAAACCAGGACGAAGCAAACATTCTTCGACTTTTAACATACACCAGTAATGCCAGTGTCATTCTACATTTTGGAGATGAAGTCGATAACTTTGGTAAACATTGCAGTCTATTTTTTATTTGTAACTGAAACCTAACGCAACCTAACTGATGAATCCTCGTTGTACATGTTTGATTATTTAATAAATTGCAGACCCCAAATTGAACACTATGGACTGGACGCAAGCTACTAACTCTGGGGGTACGTTCACCTTCCTCAAGAAATTAGCTGGAATTCAGCGTTCCTTGGTGGATGAGGAGGGCAAAGAAGGGTTCACATATCCTTACAAGGGTGCAGATGTCAAGGTATTTGCCTTTGTGAGAAGTGAGAAGTACGTGGTCATTGTCAACTTTGGCACGAGCGAAGCTGACGTGGACTTTGGAGAATTGCTGTCAGAACCAGAGGCCAAAGCTGAGGTCATCATTGCGACCCCCAATGCCGCTGATTTGACCCCAAAGTGAGGCCTAACGCATTAATTATTTTCAGAACATCATAAAAGTCGTACATTGAATTACAGAAATATACAATTATTTTAATTTATTTTAGAACGGTACTCACCAAAAAGGTGACTCTCCCATGGCGGAGCGGGGTCCTTTTGGAAAAGATAACAGAAGCAGCAGCAGCATAATTAGTTGTTGATAACAATATTGACATTATATGATCATAGATTACTATAGATTAAATGGATTTAGAAAATGGCTATCTAGTAGCAAATGATTAGTATAGCTAAATTACATATTCATCATTTTCAACCAATAGGAAATTCAAACTCCTGGAGTTTAAACTCCATTCTTTAAAATATCTGAATTATTAGAGATTGTTTTCCTGAAATTGCTATTTTATGTGCGTTATGATTCATACATTGGTCGTAAATTGTCATAATTCCTCGAACGAATTTCTGCTTTAACTTTAATTTTATCATGTAGTATGCGTTTCTTGAAATTAATAAATTCATCTGCTCTGAAAATTATAAAATGAGACTCACGAATTAATCCATCAATCCGTCGCTTGCATCCACAAAACAAGGCGCAGATCTTGTAGCCAGCCAGCATTTGTGACACAATTTGTGTCGAAGCAAAATTTGATGTGCACTATAATTTTAAATTACAATTTCGACATTTGTAATTTACAAATTGTAACATGTCGAAAACGTGGTTAACCTACATTTGTCTCTCTTCGCCCCTCTGCCCACCAACCAGGCAAAGACAGAAGAAAATAATTTGAGAAGACACCTCAACTTCAGACTTTCCAAATATTATTATTGACTTGGCTCTGAAAACCAGCAGCTTCACATAATTAGTCATTTTAATTACTTCAGTAAATAAATTAAGCAATCAACTAAATTTGTGGTGGCATTATTTCAACCTGAGTGTATCGTACATAATTTATAGTAATATCGTTTTTCTGAAGTCAGTCAAATTAGAATAACTTTATTTTCATTACTTAGTCGATCGTTTGATTTAATTTTGATTATCAATTCATCCCCAAGTACACCTAGTGGATTTCGGTGCAGGACTCTCAACCATCGTGTTCCTCCTTGTTCTTATGTTGCCGTTTAATTTCTGGTACCCATTATTTATTTTATTATAATTTATATTTATTTATGTGTTTCGACTCAATTTGGGTGAACGTGAAGTGGAAAATATAAAACTGAGTGCCAAAAGTGTACGAGACACATTATGGGCTAGTTAATAAAAGCTCTCTGATATACAAACAATATCAAAGTTGGATGCAGCAGGAGTTCTGCTGTTTTATTTTCTACATTGACCAATGACTCATGACTCGTAAATTTCACCCTAGATCTCCTCCCAGGGATCCGTCGACTAACGCAACAGTCGCTTTCAACCACTCGCAGTCCGTCAACTCCTCTCCATCCCCATCGCCCTCCTTCCCACGACGAAATTTCCCCCACTCTTCCTCCTCCCCCAGGCTCCATCGTTCCTCTGCCACCACGTCCGGTGGTCTCGCTCCTCATCAAAATCCAGTGACACACCATCATCATATCCTGGTGACACAACGTGGTCAAGGGGGTGGTCCTTCTGGTAGGGTAGTCACTGCCGTTGCCTTCTCATCGGTCCATCATCGTAACTTGTAGGCCCATAACCACTTATTCATAATATTGTAATTACTTATATGGTACAGGGACTAACCTTTATTTTGTATTTATTAAAAAACAACAGGTACATTGCGTCGAGGCCGCTTGTCCTCGTGTTCGACCTGGCAGGGGTAGCGTTACACCAATTCTTTCTGCTCCTGAGGACTTTACTATTACTCATATGGAACCCACTATCTTCAATTTGGAATCGTAGACTAAGGAGGTCACAAGGTCAGCAGGCGGGTTCTACGTTCAGTTTAACTAGTGTTAATGTGGGTGGGGGTCAGGCAGGGACTCAATCTTCCGTCGTGGTTGATCTACTGTGGGAAGATAACAAAAAAGGGATCACGTCCCATACTACTAACAATTGTTCCTCGGCATCATCAGCATTATTTGGTTGGTGGTGCAGGTTTCTTTGTAATAAATAATTATAGTTCAGATTTTGCCTATTTCATTTGCGCTGAACTTTTACATTTAAAATAAATTATTGAATTGATATGCGATTAGTATCGCTTCTGCAATTTGAGAATATACACTTTGTTATATATATATTAACATAAGAAATTCGAAATTTATTCATAGTTGATTCAATTTTTGCAGAAACTTCATTGGGAACAACAGAGGAAATGAGTGGCCCCTATGCTTTGAAAGGGGGTCCTGGACTTACAGGTAGAGTTGATCTGGAGCAACAGAACGTAACTCCAACAGATTGTCCAACTCAATCTTGTACTGTGATCAGCTTCAACTCATATCATATCAAATTCTAACTCTACTTACAGATCCATCCTTAGCGAGACAAAAACATCATCATCGGAAAGCATTTGAATTTATATCTAAAGGTACAGATCATATATTTCACGAGTAGGAGTAATACAGCATATGTAGTATGTAGTCTAATATTAAATAATAAGCATAACTTTTCCTTAATATTTACATCATTTATGTGTTACTCCTTTGTTTGTTTGCAGCACTTAGAATAGACGAGGATGACATAAGTGAGTTTACCTATTAGAATATTGTCTCTGCTACTAATTTTGACTATGCATTGGTGTATGATAATTCATATGTACTCGATTAAATAGCAGTCAACAAAGATGCGGCCATCGACTTGTATAGAAATGGGATTGCTGAACTAGAAAAAGGAATAGAAATCCAGGTGCTTGGGAATGGAGAACAATGGGCTAAAGCTCAAAGAATACAGGAAAAAATGATTACGAATCTCGCAATGGCAAAGGAGCGGCTGGAATTCCTTAGTATGTGTATCATTTAAACATATAGATATTTTCACTGATGAGCAAGTTTCATGTATCTTGCATTTTATTTATTTTTTATTATTTTTAGGATTTATTTTGTTAATTCTAATTTTGCTTATAGCGCACAGTGAAATGACGAATGAGCAGCCGTTACTAAACTTTAACTTTGGTTCACCATTTTTGGCACCAACACAGGGACAGCAGTTGAGCGAAAACCATCCTACGTGTAATAAAAGAGAGCCTATTTCGTTTAGAAAACCTGCAGACTTAGGGAGTAACAGACTTTTAAACAACACGGCTAGTAGATTAAAGAACTTGATGGGAATTAGCACTACTCCAGGATCTTCGACAGGCCCTCAAAATGTTAACCCTCCCAATAAGATTCCTGCTTCAGGAAATGCCTCAGCAGGTTTCAGCAGCGGTAGGTGCTTCAAGATTAGACAGTAATTAAGTAATATGCAATTCGAGGTTTCCATTTGACATGCTCGAGTCATTCACTAATGCAACCGATTAAAGCTCCGCTCATTGATTATCTTTTTGTTGTAGACCTTTCTTGCTTTTCTAAAATCGAAGAATACCTGAATTCTTGGTTATATATTTAGTTAACAACCGAAAAGGCGAAATGGCATCACGACAAGCATGGGGAGGTGTTGCTGCTGGAGGTGGAAGTCTTGGAAAGAGCAATACGCTTCCGAGGAGTATGGGATTAAAAGGACCCAACGCTGCTGTTTTGGCGAATCGAGGCAAACCTGCAGCACCTCAACCATACAAGAAAGTTGGTGCGGGAGCAATCAGTTCTACTAACCCCCGGAGACCGGGCGTTGGAACAAACCCAACCAAACCAGAGACAAGGAAACCCCATTCCATTCGTTCTTGTGATACTAAACTCGCCCAACTTATTTTGGATGAAGTCATTGAAGGAGGATCTGCTACTACGTGGGATGACATATCTGGAAATGAGGTTTGGTCCCTACATACTTTACCTACTTTCTCATCAAATTTATTTAAGTAAGCTTGAAATATGTTCACATTTATTTATCCTTTCTCTTTCCTTTCTCTAAACAGAGTGCTAAACAGGCATTAGAGGAAATCGTGATACTTCCTTCACTCCGACCAGAACTCTTTACCGGATTAAGGTAAATTAATAGAGAAAGAGAAGAAACAGTATTGATAATAATTATCTTTGTCACGCCACAGGGCTCCTGCTCGTGGGTTGTTACTTTTTGGACCACCTGGAAATGGTAGAGTAAAATTATTAATCCAAGTCATCCTCGCAATATTTAATAATTGCTGTTTTTAGGAAAAACGATGTTAGCAAAAGCTGTAGCGCATGAATCAAATGCTACGTTTTTCAACATTAGTGCTTCTAGTCTCACATCAAAATATGTTGGAGAAGGTGAAAAACTGGTTAGAGCATTATTTAGTGTGGCAAGAGAGTTGCAGGTATTTTTTTATTTATACGAATTATTGTACTTTCATTTATTCCTGATCCCTGTGTTTGGTGATTTATTCAGCCCGCTATAATATTTGTCGACGAAGTCGATTCGTTGTTGTGCGAGCGTAAAGAGTCAGAGCATGAAGCTAGTCGTCGTTTGAAAACCGAATTCTTAGTTGAGTTTGATGGTTTACATTCGCAAGGTTAGTCCCAATTTATTTACAAATCATAGACTCGTTGTAAGTATGCTATTATTATGTAAACTTTTACATTGTTGTGTCAATTGTGTTATGATCAAACTGGATCCATACGGTCTCAACTTATTGTCATGCTCATCATTTTATAACACTCCTTGTTCTGTGTATTTCTAGCGGAAGAAAGGATACTTGTCATGGGTGCTACAAATCGACCCCAAGAATTGGATGATGCTGCTTTAAGGCACGAAGATAACTTTATTAATAAATTCATAATACACGATTGGCTAAATATTATCGGGTTTTTGCAGGCGCTTCCCTAAGAGAATTTATGTTTCTCTTCCCGACCCGAAAACCCGTGTTCAACTGTTGAAACGTCTTTTGTCTACACATGGAGATCCACTCTCCGAAAGAGAATTGAATGAATTGGCCACACTTACTGATGGCTATTCAGGCTCGGATTTGACTGCATTGGGTAAGTTAAAAGACATATTTTTAACGAAAGTTCCAGTCTCACTCTTCTCTTTCTCTCTTTGATTAGCAAAAGATGCAGCATTAGGTCCAATTAGAGGTACGTGAATGATTATTAAATATGACACACCATTACATCTATTAATTGATTTGGAATAATTATATATTTAACCTCTATTTAACAGGCGTAACATCAGAGCAACTAAAGAACATAGATATTGAAAATGTGAGAAAAATTACAATTCACGATTTTAAAGAATCCTTAAAGAAGGTCCGACCGAGCACGTCTCCTCAATTGCTACGATCTCTAGAAGTTTGGAATAAATCTTACGGCGATGTGAGCTGTTAAGCTCAGTTGGTACAAATATTGAAATTCATTATAATCAGGTTGCGAACAACACTAGTAATATTCAATCACTCATGAAACAACACTGTGCTCTGTACATTGCTCTTACTTTAGTTAATATCATTCCTAATTTCCACTTTAATTCTTAATTAACCAAACACTGTGACATTGCATCAGTATATTTAAATAATTTGTGTACTCAGTTACTCTAATATAATGTACTGTATTGCGTGTGTGCATGCACTCAAGTATGAAGTGTCCGTTTATAAAAGAAAATTGTCATGTCTCTATACTCGTGCCATATTATATCATTCATATGCAAGTAAGGCTACTTATCTTCATCATAATAATTATACGCAATATATTGATATTAAATACTTTGCAAAAATTACTAAAAACTTACTATAATAACACCACAACATATGACGAGAACAATGTTGGAAAAAGTGCAAGTTTTTTTAAATCTTGGTGATAATGTTAACTGTAGTTGTACTGACTTGTATATATAAACTGTAATAATTATAGTAAGCGTGCGATTATTGCCTTTACGTAAAAAATTAATTTCGCATTGAATTATTTTTGCATAATGTACTCCAACTTGATTTTTGAGTCGCCCCATTGGAATTCGTATGCACGAGGGAGAGCAAGAACGCGGCACAGAATCTTTGTCGTATTTTCACAGTTCCACAATTTTAGTTCATCTCGTTCATCATTCATCAGGAATAAACGTCCTGTTCCTGTTCCATCTTTCCGTTCGTCATTGTTGTTTTTTTGTGTACAAAATGTGGGGACAAAGTAAGTTTTTCAAAATCAAGTTGTCTTGATTCCACCGTTTGAATTGCGGTATAAATGTCTGTTGTTTCTCATTTGTTATTAGACGAACAGGCTCAAGGTGGTGGTTTCGTTGGTGGTTCACAAGGCGGTGGAGATGGTCAATTCGGTTCCCCATCCGCAGGGGGAGGCGACAAGGCATCCAAGGTGAGGGACGGACGGGGTCTTCGTTTAAACAGGAATAAAATATGGGATGGGATACCTAAGTGTATTCATATATCAATTAATATGTAATGATCAATGAAATAGGGTCGGCGCTCCAACAACGTTGTTCCCGTTACTGTAAAGCAGCTGCTGGACTGTCAGGATGAAAATGTGCTCATCGTGGACACTGAAGCCGCAGTGGTATAATTCCGAATAACATTGTAACATAAGCTTTATTTATTAGCATAGAATTGTAATTTTCCAATTAGGTGACCATCGTCGGACTTATAGTTTCTGTCGAGCAGACTACAGTAAAAATTTCAATTCAAATTGATGATCAAACAGGAGTTATCGATTGCATCAATTACACGGGAGCAGATGCCGTCGTAAGTTTGAATTCATCAAATAATAAAAGAAAAATATGCAGTGAAAACGAATTGTGTTTTTGTGTATTCTTTTACTAATGTTAACCACTTATAGGAAGCAGCGGCTGAAATCCCCTTTCTTCCAACGGTAGGAAATTATGGGAGGATTGTAGGAGCCCTGAGATCTATGAAAGGATCGAAATACATAATCATCTTTAAATTTCTTCCAATTGGAGATCTTAATGAGTTGACGGCTCATCTCTTGGAGGTTGTACAACTTCCCATGAAACTCAAAAAGTTGAAGGAGACTGAAGTATGAAATTTCTTTAATTACCAGTTTTAATTACTAGTGACGTGACTAGAATTTTTTTTATTGTATTAATTTCAAATATGTAGGCACTAAAAACTGGTGTGGGCATGATGGGAGGTTTAAGTAACTCGCTAATGGCAAATTCTATGATGGTCGGCACCTTCAGTGGGCTCGGAGGAATTCCAGGAATGATGGGCGGTTCTGGAGCAATTGGGGAAGCATCTTCCGCCTCAAAGTCACCTTTCAACTCGGTCCAAAAAATGGTTCTTAATATAATTCAAGTAAGAAGATAAGTTTGAAGAGGTTGTATAGTAACAAGTTAAAGATATTATATTCAGATTTACTCATGTAATTTACAGAACAACACAGCTGACTCTGGAATTCATAAGGATGACATTATGAGTAATCTTGGAGGGAATATTACCCCTAAAGAACTCGAGTAATTTAACATTTAATTAGCACACATGATATTTGTCACATTATATGCCAATAGTACTTATTTTTTATTTCAGAAAAATCTTGGACGATTTAGGAGCAGAAGGGCACGTATATTCTACAGTCGATGATGACCACTTCAAGTCAACGGACTGAAATGATCTATCTACTGTTTCTACTCTGCCGTCTTTATTAATATATTTTAAATTAAATGTTTCTGCTTACTAACATATTTGTCATCAGCCCATGCTAATTATTCGTACGCGTACTATATTCATTTATTACTGGTGAACCTGGTGAAATAACTGTAACTTACCATTTTCAGATCCTTATGCTATCAATTAGAGATAAATATAATACCAATTTACTAATCTGTCTTGACAAAGTGGGACGTCTATTATTTGGCATGTAATTTGTATTTCTAGTTCGAATCATTCCATTATTTGTTTGTAAAATGCAGCCTGTTCCATTATATAGTCTTCCTTTGTGCCACTGGAGCCATACACATCTTCATTATCATGCATGCATGTAACTCATGTAACTTCATTGACATCGACCCATTAGTTGTTCTTTGTGTCTGTCTCCTCTGGCATTAGAATAAATTGCATAACTAAATTATCAAATGACGCATTACAAATGCAGAACAGAAAGAACTGGTGGATTCATGCAGTATACTTTTCATAGATACTTTTCAGAGCAAGCGAAAATGACGGATGCTCCAGTTCTGTCAAGAGAAGGCTAAAACGTCAGCTAGCTTGACTTTCTTTCTTTCCATCTGTCAAAGAATAGAACAGGGAACGAAAATGTCTCCAATGTCATCATCAGTCTCAAATTTACATCTAAGGAATACGAAACGACTTTCAAGACAGAATGACCAAACCCAATGCAGTATGATACATACATAATTATGTAGGATTATGTAGTTGGAGGCAAGTTGAGACACAGTCAAATCAAATAGAAATGCTTCATAATACTGAAACAATGTGCCGTCATGACTGATTGTCGATAATAACCACCAGCTATCATGTTTTCTTTACATCCACCGTTAAATTGTACGAGACATGTTTTCCGTACATAAATATATTACAAATACGTATTGCGTACGTATGTATAGACACGAACAATTCTTATCTCTCTCCTAAAATCTCTTGGAAATGGAACTTTCCCCAGAGACGTGTGTTGCCAATTGCACGATTGATCTGCAAAAGTTGCTGCAGACATCTTCAGCACGAACCAAATTACAGCCATTAGTTGTTGACTTCACCATGTTCATCCCCTCCCCGAGGAAGCCCCATTAGTTGGGCGAGAGCGGACGTCATTCAAACCAAGTCAAGGAAGGTCATGGAGCAAAATAGCAGAAATCTCCTATCCAAGACAGAATTCCTTGTAATAAATATCTACAAACGGCCTAAAATTGAACATCTCTCTCTTCTTCCACACTTGAACTGTGCATTACATGACTTCTAGACCATATTTAGCTGCATTCAGAAGTGGATTCTGATTCAGGTCTTGTCAGCCCTATGGTAAAATCGGATATCGTGCCGTAGTCAACTTGAGCAACCAACACGCTTTATCACCCTTTGAGTAAACCATATTTATGTAGTATGTCACAGTTATAGACTACAACTTGTAGTACATGTAATAGACCATTGCGTCCTAGTGTTTCTCTATATTTTACTGTACTCCACAACTGAACTTGCTTATTACATGGTCGATGCTATATACCTTACATTACATCGGGCCGAGTGAAATACCCAGCTAGGAATTTGCCCCATGTCATGCGTCGAATAGTTTACCTGACTTTCTCCATTGGAGGGCTCAACTTTCACTCCAGACGGATCTGTACACCACGGTTGGCTGTGTTGGTTGAGGATCCTTCATTTTTATGCTGCACGTTGTACGAATTTCACAAACATTATCACAGTATAACAATGATGAAGGGAAACATGTATCTGAAAATATAATCGTAAGCAAACTAGTTTATATAATATAATAAATGGGCATAACATCGTTTGCCACGTTGTGTCCAAGCACTCCTTGAATCCATGTTTCGCTGACTTTCTCCTCCTTATAAAAGTTTGGGAATCTCCAACTCTGAACGTGAACCCGTCATTCAGTTCACCTCCGGGACAAGAGAAAGTTGTCGCGTCGTGTTACTGTCACCTTTCTTATTACACAAATGTATATATAGATAAGCTATATAAGCAGCTTAGAGAAAGCACAATCCGACTTATATCTCCACTACATGCGGGCAATAACAATCATAACGCGTTGAAATATCGGATCAGATCAAGATCTGACTGTATTAAAAATTATTTTCGGGAAGGGACATTTGAGATTTTTATCATTGGAGTAACAACAATGCTACCACATTAAATTTAGTCTTTCATCTTTAGCACTTTATAGAAATTTGAGATTTTGAGAGTTAAAAGTTGTCATTGGATATTGTCAAAAAATGTGTGATAAACGTTCATTATTAGGATTTTATTGATAGTTCAATCTCGTCGTAGATAATTGAGGACGTGAATCGAAAAACCTACTCCAAGCAACTTCGCGGGGCCTTTTAAGACGGCATTATTACATAAAAGCCAGACTCTAATGAACGATTGGCATATAATTTTTAGCCCGAACTAGGGCTTATGTAATCGACCTGTCCGTCTGTCTGTCTTTCCATAACTCTCGAAGGAGTAGGCTGATTTTTACCAAATTTGATACAGACATGCATCTGGGCAACGACCGAGTTCGAAGATGGGTATTAGTGTTTCTCACGGGTCGGGTTCTTGCAAATCCGAAACCCGAACCCGATACTACTGATCCGAAACTTGAGGGCAACCCGAACCCGAAGAACCCGAAACCCGTTTGCAAGGATCCGAACCCGAACTGGCGGATCAAATCCGAAACCCGAACCCGAAAAACCGAATATATTTTAACTTTAAGGGGTGACTGGCTTTTTAGCCTAAAGGTTTCAAACAAACAATACTTCTGTAAATATGACCGAGGAATTATAATTAAGCACATTTCTGCATAAGTACATAACGCATTTTAAAATGTGAATCTTAATTCCTCGACCATAATAATGCAATCTCAAAAAATCGACCATGGATAATGGCTTTCCGTGACATTCAGAAATTTTTAAATCAGTTGAAAACTGAAAATGATTTTCAGTTTCAAGTTTCCAATATTAAAGTAAGCTCAAGCTAACTATTTAGCAAATTTTTGATAAAAAAATATATTTTATTTCAATATTCAAACCATAACACTAATTGAAGACACTTGTGAAAAGAAGTTACGACAATTAAAAATTTGAATTATTTAATGAATTACTGCAGCATAACCGTCGTAGCAAGTGTGGTTAACACTTTATTTTCTTTTTTAATGTTTTCGTATTCGTTGTGGCAAAAAGTTCTTGTTGGTTCGGGTTTCGGGTTCTTAGTCGGAACCCGAACCCGACCCGAACCCGAAATTTTGGGCTCACATTTCTCGGACCCGAACCCGAACCCGAAAGTTTCGGGTTCTGAAATTTCGTATCCGAAGCAGGACCCAAACCCGATCCGAACCCGAAACCCGAAGTAAGAACCCGAACCCGTGAGAAACACTCGATCAAAAAACATTTAGACCAATGAGTGGTACCCTGGACACGATTATCACCTCGAAAGTATCCCTTGTTAGCTAACTTTTAATTTCAAGTTCTTTGATGAGAAGCCACTAATTGTAAGTATTACCGTGCCGGATTTCATGTTTTTAACGCAATTTCTAAAAATAGATATGGATCACCTCTCTCCCAAATTTCACTTCGATATGACGATTTTGAAAAATCAGTATGGGTCACCCCATAGGGTCCATCAAGATTAAAATTGTTCCAACCTAAATTCAGTTTTTTCTGTTACAATCCACTAGCAACCTTTGTTCCAAATTTCAACTACGTACTACAAATTTTAGAAATCCGTCGGGTCACCCTATCGGGTCTCCCAGGTTTAAAATTTCTGAAACTCCATTCCAATTTAAACGCTTTGAGGTCAGTCGCAATCTTCATACTAAAATTACTGAAAATTATTACTATAGATATTTTTCAAGCTACAAATATTTTACTTGCACTTAAATAATTTAACCTGCTCTAAAGGTTCTTGGTAGTTAAGGGCAACGCATTTGGATAGTAATGACCCCCACCGGCCAACTACTTGGCCGATCATGCCCATCTCCGAACTCATCCTTACTTTTGACCCGAAGATGAAGTGTGCAAAATTTCAAGTCGATAGCTTTTGTTTAAAGAGAGTTATCGTGCGCACAGACGGACGCACAGACGGACGGACAGACAGACATCTTGGTAAATCTATAAGGCCATCTTAAAAGGCCTAAAACAACTTGTAAACAAATTTAAATTAATTTAAATTAGTATAGTCATGCAATTTGCACCATGGATATCAAAAAAGGTACAGAAATTTGTAATATTCAATATTAAAAAAACTCATTTTTCATTATTTTTTGCACTTTATCGCTTATCGCTTATCAAACTTAAAATGGCCGTAAATCAAACTCTGATAATCTCCATATCCGAGAAAAAAGTTATCAATATTAACCAGAACAGAAAACGTCAATTTCGTCCAGAGACTTGGAAAGATAATGTAGCAAAACGTCGCCGTAATCGAGGTGAACCTTACGTGTCTCGCAATAACATTCCCAGGGCTGGCAAAAATGCGCCGACAATGGTATGAACTCAAGTGTTGTTTAAAGTGACATATTAATAATAAGTGCACTGTTCAGGTTAAAGTTTGCTCTGCTCGATGCCCACATAATGGTTGCGTCCTTCTCACCCTGCCAGAAAAATTGCAGCTATTCCAAGAGTATTATAATATGGGGACTTACGAATTGCAGAGAACCTATCTCTTAGGTTTGATGGATAACCTAGGCCACAACGGGAATGGGAACATATTCGAGTGAGAATGCATATAAACTGCACAATTTCATAACGAAAGACAATAATGTAACTGTTACACAGGTATCACATAAAGATTGGTGGAATACGGCGAACGGTTTGCAAGAGGACGTGGCAAGATACTTTCCAAATTTCAGAGGCAGTTGTAAAATCAATGCAGGAAAAATGTGAGCGTGGTCACAACAGTGGGGGACGCCATACAAACCACACAGTTAATCCAGCCGCCCTTAATGTCGCAATTATGGCGCACATTAACACATACCCAAGATATGAGCATCACTATTGCACTGCAAAGCTTGGACAATTCTACTTGTCGCCGGACCTAACTTTGGATGCTATGTTTGCCGATTTTGTTATCAAGCATCCTATGATTGCCGACGCCCACAGAAAGGAACAAGTCTATAGAAGATGTTTCCGGGATAGTAACTTGACCATTGGACACACGTACACTGATACTTGCCGAAAATGTGACATTCTTGATGTGGAACTTAAAATAGCTCGGAGAAATAATAACGTGCGTCAGATTGATGTGGCGGTGGACGCAAGGCGTGTACATCTCGATTTCGCTGCTATTGCCAGAAATCAGCTTATTCAGGACGAATTGCGAAGCCAGAATGACCCTGAATTTGTCATGATATGTGGTGATATGCAGAAGTTTTCTATAAGCGACAGTTAAGCACATACAACTACTGCTTGTATCTTGGAAGAACAGGTCATGGAACAATGGCAGTTTGGAACGAATCTGTGGGAAATCGGGGAGTTGATGAGGTTTGTTCTACTGGAGTATATAGCCACAAATTTTATTCGGCTGCAGCCTGGTCAGGAAAGGACACTTATCTTCTGGTGTGACCGATGTCGTGGCCAAACAAACAATTACCAGATACTATGTTTTTTCAAATTTCTCATTCAAGAAGGATATTTCACTGCGGCTGAACAGAAACTCGCTCCCACGGGCCACTCGTACATGCCAGCAGACCGGTTATTTGGCTTGATAGAGCAGAAAAAGAAGAACGCTTCCGTTATGGTCCCAGACGAATGGATTAATATTATCCGTTCAACCTGTGTTCAGCGTCCATTTAATATACAACGAATGACACAAATGAACATTTACAATTTCAAGGGGATGGAGGAGTTTATTCCAAGGCCAGCCAGTTTAAAAGTCAGTGAAAGTTGCTGGTTTCGGGTGACAGCAGCAAGTCCTTCATTGATTCTTACAAGAGAACATTTCGCCCCTGGATTTTGGACGGAGCACATAATAAGACAACCTCATATCAGTGGACCAATTGGTCGTCGCCCGCATTGGAACGGTCAATGTTTAGCTCCCTTTGTTCTTGTAGTTAAATACAATCATCCTATTCCTATTTCAAGAGAAAAACATGACGACCTCATGTCTATGCTCCCATTACTTATGCCAGAGTATCGCCAATTTTACAGGAATTTGCCTCGCGCATGAGGAAGTTCAAGTATTTATATTTTTTAAGCTTGTCCTTGCGTTACATACATCATTTCCACCTGTTACCTCGTAAATGTATGATTATTTAAAAAGATGCGAGTAAACTTTAAACCATGTTAAAGAAAAGTTATAATAATTTAGAGTTTCTGTACCGTATTTGATATCCATGGTGCAAATTGCATGACTACACTAAATTTAAATTTGTTTACAAGTTGTTTTTCGATTCACGTCCTCAATTTTATAGAGAATTTGGTATAAAAGGGTACGATAGGGAGAGGTCTAAGGAAATGAAGGAGAAAGTTCAAAGAGTTGGGGAGAAATTTTGGTCAAAAAAGTGTAGAATATTGTCATCTCACCACCACCACACAATAGTAACTCGATTACTTCTCCAACCTCTCCCAAATCCAAATTCAGAGATGAAATAAGCTTCCGACAAAAGAAGTATTTTTAGTTAGCTAGGTCACCCTCACCTCCCAATCCTTGCACATCCCTCCGCACCACCTACCTTTTCCATCTCTTCATCCTGCACACTAAATTCCTACCGTTTCTGACCGCTGCCTCCCTTTCCAAATTCCAAAATATTTCTCCACAAGAATCACATTCAGCATGTCGTACCCAAATGGTTTCGCGTTGTTGGAGGAGGAAGAAGAAGTTTTGCAGATTCAAGTCACTGCACGTGGGTCTGCTCAAGACATTTCTCTTCATCGATATGTGGCTTCACAAGGCAAGTAGTAATTCAATTGATTAATGATAAATTGATTGGCTATGGACAAGTTATTGGCTTAAATCTGAAAAATGGCACGGGCATATGATGACTTGGTTATTGTACATATGTTGTAAGGTGCATAGTCATCAAACATCTCAAACTTGAGTGCAATTATTAATGTTTTGTGGTATTCAAGATTACAATGTGAACTGGAACAACTTTCTTGATTGCATTTTTTACCGTAGCTACATATGCACTGACTGCAACCTGTGAAGGAGAAAATATTTATCCCACGCCCATTGGCAGTTTATAAATTGTTGAAACTCATTAGTATATGTACATGATTCACAATTGACTTCACTGTGTACAATTTCTTTTCAACTCGTACATGTACATATATCCACTTACTGTGAGTATGTATGTACAATACCCCACACAAATAAATATACATAAATATATGTACATACATATTCACGTATGCATTAATGCTTTGTATTTTCCAGTATCATCTGATGGTTACAACAGTAACGAAGTGGCATCATCACGACTTGACACCACCACTGATTCGGCTGGTTTTCCTTTCCATCGACAAAGTTCTTCGCCATCGCTTAACCTTCACAAACCACGCCCCTTGCCCCCATTCAACCCTCTGCTGACCTTCATCCCACCGAACAACATGTTATACACCGCCACCTCTGCAAATATGCCGGCTACTTTTGTTGGGAACGAATCGTCGTCAATATCGGGCCCTCCTCCTCCCCTTCCTCCCCCTGCATCTTCATCTGGTTCTACGTCCGACTCTCCCTTCTTTAGACGCCTCGACTCCTTCCGCCGTTCTTCCACCGAGTTCTCTCTCGCAAATTTTCGAGCAAATTACAACAATGCCAACACCAGCGGAGCAACGACAACCTCTAACAATGCGACGGACTATGACTCCGATTTGGGCGGATCAGACCCAACACTTTTGGATCCGTTGGCCGTGCGAACTTCAACATCAAGCGAGAGTCAAGCTGTCTATGGGAATGAAGACATTGTGAAAGAGCTAAAACCAGAGTATGCTCGATGGTTTTACAAGTATGAATCTGATCGGTCATGGACACATTTTACGGGATATGACTCCATTCGGATGGAACAACGCTACAGAAATCTGGTTCTAGAGAAAGAAGCATCTGGAGAAGTAGGGTATCACTCGACAGGAAATTCCACCGCCACCAATGGGTATTATTACAACAATGATCAGCATCATGATTATCATCCTCAGCACCCCACTTCTTCTTCACCGTATGACCATGAGCATTATTATGCCAACAGTACTACTAACCATGATCACAGCACTGCTGCTCACCAACAAGTAGTCAATGAATGCATTGGTGCACTGAATAACTTTCACGATCAGCAACATGAGACTCATCTGCATCCAACGCCAGCATATTCTGAGCATAATCATGCCCAATCCTACTACAATAATTATGATTATGATAATCACGCATCACAACCGCATCATTACCATCGTTTCCACCACCCAGCATCACATTTTGATAGTCGAAACGATAATAATGCTCACAGTGTGTCCCCTTCCTACTCCAGGTTTTCTGCTGAGGGTTTTACGGGAGCTGCTTATGTGCCTGACGAAGGAGTGAAAAATGGTGGGAGGAGGAGTTCAGATGAGGGACCATCGACACGGAGAGAGGAGGACGCGGCGGGGTGTGGGGACAATATCATCATTGTTCGTGGTGGGTTGTACGAGGCGGACTTGGAGTCGTGGACCTGCGTTGCGACATATTGGCCGGGTGAGACATTCATATATTTATTAATATGTCCGTTTATGCGACGACTGTTAGATTCCAGTCAGAATTGTATTTACATAGCATATGTACATATATACTGCATACATACATACATTAGTTGATTGGTAAAAAATAATATACTAGTTACATGCATAATATATATGGCTATGCAAATTGTTTGCCGTGCAATCACTAGCAAGCTTTCTCCTCCAATTGTAATAATCGAATTTTTGTGCTCGATTTTCTATTCGCTTGTTCAAGAGAAAGTCAACTACTCAATAAATTCTATTGGGAAAGGAACGCACAAATCCAATTAGCAAATCCAATATGGAACAGCATATATATCTAGATACATATATACATTTAATTTATTGTATTGAGAGGGCCGACAAAAGCATGCATAATAAATAAAAAAATGAAATGACATTTGAAATTGTAATGCAGGTGACAAGTGTCAAATTACAAGGGGCACGTGGTTCTATGATGGGACCTGGCAGCCGTTATCCGTCGGACATGCAGATAAACTAGAAGAGGAACACTTAGGACAATTTTCTGGGGTCTCGCTGTCACTTTTTTCTCAGACAAATAATTCGTCTAGTCAACCGGATAGTCCCACGAAAAAGAATCGGCCAGGTAATTAGAATTCTGACTCGAGTGAATATCTAATGAGCTATCAAATGTGCGAGTATATATAATAAAAAAAAACATTACATTATTACAGTAGCGCACCGAGTCTCCTTTTGCGAATTTCATGTAGACTGGACCAGCCCCACAGAGATTCATTTATTTAGGTAGGTAATATACGTTGAAACTGAATGAATGACCCACTTTTGACCTATAATGAGCTTGATTCATCTCCGTTACCTCTTCTTTACGTCCGTTAATGCGGTTTATCTATTCTCATCATGTATTTATTTCTGTATATTTTCAGCAAGGCTGCTTCGTATAAATTCATGCGTTCTGTAGGACAAAGACTGGGATTTCAAACTTGTAAGCATCGTTTTTGTCAGATGACTCAAGCTGACGTATCATAGCATTTTTTTTTGTCAAAACTTCATAATTAGGGGGCCATCGACTGTGCCGTGGGTATTTTAAGCCAGCTTCGAAAGACGATCGACCGTCAGAGATAAGCCACTTAGTATTTGTAGGTATGTGTATTTTTGATAATTCTATCATTTTTTCAGAATTTAAATATAATTGATGCGTATCTGCCTGCGCTGGCCTTCATCGGTGGCAACAACTCCCCTGTTTGTTTTGAATAAGTTTACATCAAAATCAATAGCGGGTTTTGACAAAGGCCTTTCGAGGCCTTGGGCCCATAAAGCACTAATTGCATAATGTGATTTGTATAATTAATTGAATTAATTAATATACACTCTCTATCTTGAGTCTGTGTACAAAAAAAATGATAAAATATAGCATAACTCTTGGATTAGTAGGAATGTTAGATAATGGGTTAGTTTAAGTAATAGGTCGACGCGTAATAACAAATTTGAGATTTTTAACAAGATTTGGAAATTAACAAAATTTAGAAAAATTCGTATGTATGTAAATGTCATTTTAATGTTGCTCTGACTTCACTTAATCAAGTCAAACCCAACATTTTCATATGTACATCATGAAGTACTTATATAATTTGTGACGAATGAAATTATTTTCTGTATAGTATTGTGTAATGCGAGAAAGGTAGGTTGTGTATGTATGTACGCGTCGTTTCTTGTACAATGCTTACATTTATCACAAATTATAATGAAGGGAGGACTGTAATGAAATGAAGGTCCTAAGGTTGCATTACGTTACATATTTTGTTACTCATGATGCGACAAATAAGTCGAAACGCCAATTCATTTAGAAAATTTATTTATAGTACACGGGATTGGTCAAAAAATGGATACTGGACGAATTGTCAGAAATTGTGCTTCGTAAGTTGATTTTGTAATACGCAGTATGCCTCATTTTATGTAAACTAGCCAACAAGATCTTATTTGTGCACAGTTTCCGAGAATGCGTGAGTTCTCTAAAGGAAAAATTTTTTCCGCATCTTAATGAGACCAAGCAAAGAGCAGAATTTTTCCCTGGTGAGTTCACTTAACAGAAAATTACAGAATTATAAAGAAACGGGCATTTCCAAACTAATTTAAAACATAACTTGGAAATTTTGACTTTCGGCCTCATTTTTCATCGCAATATTTATGAATTTTTTTCAGTTGAATGGAGATCTGCAGCAAAGCTTGATGGAGGTTAGAATAAAAAAAACTCAAATATAATGTATATACAAGGAATCGTAATTAATAAACTAAACTGCAGATGTTGTCGATGCCATTACGCCGCATAAACTGTTGAGTCTTCGTCAACTTTTGAACGCCACTGCGATGGACATAATGGTACGCATCACTTTAGTCATATACTGAAAATTGCAATTAGAATCTTGACATTTTTTTTCAAATCACAAAGTTTGTCGGTTTGGAAAATTTATTAATTCTTTCCATATTTTTTTTCTACGATTTATTTTAGTACTATACGAGCCCTTTGTATCGCACAGAGGTAAGGCATTTGACCTAATTTTGGCTACCTATTTGGCTAACATATCAAATGCAAATATTTTCATACATTTTTTTTAGATTCAAAACGCACTGAGAAATGAGTTGAACCGTATATACTCTAATTTTGTACAACGGAATCCGGATTTTAGAGATAGAGGGGGGAAAGTTTCTGTAATAGCGCATTCCTTAGGAGCCGTGATCACCTATGACATTATTACTGGATACATGCCTCACTCACCAGACGTGGTATATAAACTAAACTATAATGTAGTCACATTATTGCTGAAATTTTTTTTGTAAATACCCGATGCACCCAATTTTTAACAGCCACATGGTCATCCTGTCGGATCAGATATAGGAAATGGATTAGATAATAATCAGCATAAGACTGGAGGACTGCTATTTCAGGTGGCGCAAAATTATTTCACAGATTTTGTGAATTTTTAAGTAATGTCAATTTATTTGTGAATTATTCAGCTGGAACATTTCTTTTGTCTTGGAAGTCCACTCTCGGTGTTCTTAGCGTTGAGATGGTAAGAAATAAGTTGTCCTAATTTGATTGATGTACACTTACTGTATAAAAGATTATTTATAAAACAGGAGAGACCCCTCAAACCCAAATTATCGGTCTTACATTCTACCTACTCTTTTGTGTAAACGGATTTACAATATTTTCTACTCTACGGATCCCGTGGCATACCGGTAAATAACGTTAATGTTTTTAACATTTTTATAACAATATAAATGCATAGATAAATGAGCCGAGGCGACATACGACTAACAAATATTATGAAATATTTGAATTTTCAGGGTGGAACCATTGCTGAATAAGTATTACGTTCACATAGCTCCTTTGTCAATTCATACTTATGGGGTCGTTGGCCGTCCAAAGTATGATGAGATGCCAAGAGAGAGGATTAACAAAGAGACCCATTTCGCAAAACAACCTGACAATCCGATCCAAAACCAAGGTCAGCAAAATTTTAATGTATACCCGGGGCAGCAGCAGCAGGATTCCAAGTCGACGCCACAAAGGGCAACAATACCTCTCAAGTCACCAGCAACACCAACAAAAGGTTTCTTGTTACAGGATTTTTTCAAAATTATTATCTTTTGTTTCTCGTAATAATATTTAATGTTAAAAATATCACAGAAGCAAATAACTGGGGCTGGGCCTCGTTTATGAAATATCTTAAAAGTGCTGATCCTGGAAACGGAGGAATGAACGATGCAGATCTGGGATCCGATTTGATATCCCCGGATGGAAATTCTTCCCCTGGTCGAGAGGAGAGCAACTCATCACCAGAAGATTTTGCAAATGAGATTCCGAATGGTAATTACTCAACTTTATCAAATGAATACTTATTAAACAAATTATTCATTGTCTAAATTTGGGTTATTTTGTTTAAAGACATAGAATATCGAATGGACTATGTTTTGAAAGAGAGTAACTTTACGAGCACGTATTTGGCAGCTCTGACGTCTCACACGTCGTACTGGAGTTCTCTCGACGCTGCGTTCTTTGTCCTTTGTCGCTTGTACGAAGATTTGTTAGACCTCCCTTCGCAAACCCCTTCAAATTCTGCAGTATTGCAATAATCATTAAAGCTTTATCTATTCATATGTATAATATACGTTCGAATATTTATTTGCTTTGTGCTCTTCAATGTTGAATTGATTCAAAATTTTGTCTACAAATGCTTTTCACATTGATTAATGTCACTCTCAACGGACGTCATGAATTCGTCATGTAAAACTAATGTCGAACAATTCGCAAAAAAATACGTCACACCAGACGTACCTTAGCTGTGATAATAATCCCTTCTTTGTAGCTTTAGCTTAATTCGCTATTTTTCAAACTTCTTCCGTTTTATTAAAAGTGGTTAATGTTTCGACTGATACATATATATGAATTATGAACGATATACTAATAATGGTTTTAGCGGATAAGGCGCATTATGTTTTACGTTGAAGTTCCAAAAACATGCTTATTGTTGAACAATTTACACAATGTGATGATGATAATCATATACGATAATTACTTAATTTGTTACGTGTATGATATATAGGATTATATTATATATTAATAACATGCCATAAATCTGCATATTGTAATATATGGTCAAATTTTGATATACCTATGACATGTTATGAATTGGGATAATTTCTTTAATTTTCGATTATTTTCAGTGAGTTAAAAATATGTATGTAACTATATACTTAAAAGCCATAATAATAATACAATTCGTATTATTATTCGACAGACAATGCTGGCTTCAGAAAAATGTATAAACAGTTAATCGTTTTAAGTTACCGTAGTATGCGGTAGAAATTGATCAAACTTGTGTGATTTGATAAGGTGCAAACTTAAAATGTGGAAAGGATCAAAAATTCTAGTCATGTAAAAAATGGACATTTTTTGGCCAGTGGATTATAGTTTTCTAAAGTTACAGACATTATACCTGTCGCAGATATAAACTCGTCGTGCATTATTATGATTTATTTATTAAATTTAAAAGTACATACGTACTCAAGTGTTAGAAAGTTTGAGTTGTTGAAATTATGACAAATAAATAAAATAAAATAACTTTAGATTAACAAATTGCAGTGTAGCAAATTTATTTTCTTCCTTTCGCCCTTGCGAAGATGACAAATTTTAATAACTTTGTTGCATAAAAATTGTCTGTAGTACCAAGCATAATATTATGATGATGATTATAAAATACAGTTACATTATTAGACTTAATTATTGTGTTGATTATACTATTTCATACGTCTTTGTTGAAAACACGGTATCAACAGAATGTTTTACTACGGAACCATCTTCGACTGATTTCACATTAATTACCTATAGAGACAAATGACAAGTACATATTTATATGTATGCTATTTTTTGACGAGTAAAAATAAGTATGTATCTACTTACGGAAAGCCTTGCAAAAGCCTGGCTACTATGAAAGGACACTTGCACCGGAAAGAATTGAGAGGCATGGCCATTGGGAACAGAAAACTCCATTGACCCTGTCTTGTTGGAGGAGTCAATGACGGGCAATTGCCAGAGAAGATGATTTTTTCTTGCTTCGTAAACATAATCTCCTTCACATTCACTAACAACTGGACCACTACCACCAGACCTGTTGAAATGAGTTATAATAATAATAATGTCTCGTTAGGTTGGTACTTCAAGTAATTTGAGATAATAATTGTTAAAAAAGTTATGCTTGAAGTTACTTACGGAACTGGAATGATAATAGTAACGTCATTAAGTTCTAAATCTTCATTTTGGAGTTCGTATTCAATATTGACATCGCACCCACCAGATCCATTTTCTGAAGGCCAGCAATTAACTGAAAGGCGAAAGGAATTTTTATTGTTAAGAACGAATCTTTACTAAATTCTGAAATAAATTAGAAAACTTATGAGAGTGGCTTACTTGAGAGTGGAATTTGAGTTTCGTCAGTAGTTTGATATCGCCATTTTAAGATTGGAACGTCAGTGTTGACTGGGAACGGTTTTTGTGCATTTTTCAATCCAATCTGGTATTTGTTCCTGAACAAGTCCTTGTCAACATTTGGATGCGTCTGAAATGATTTTGATTAATTATTTAATTAACAATTTGTAAATTTCATTATTATAGTGTATATATTGAAATAAATCAAACCTGGAACTGAATTCCACGAGTGTCCGCATTATCAAACTGAATGCGAATCATACAGGAAGACTCTTCTTGCACTCGAAGAATGCTAGTTCCGTGTACTTCCATATTTTGCAACCCTTCATTGAATTGAAATTGAAAAATACATTTACTTATCTACCCTATACCTCAATTGTTTAATTTACGGCAAAATTCAAAACATCTCACCTCCATCTCTGCCAGCAGTAAGAGCAATAGTCTCGTCAATTTTAAGATGGACACTAGAATCATAAACAGGTAAATGATCAAGTATTTCTTCCAAGATTAATTAAGTATTTATTTATTAAGACTCACTCTTCAGCATTCGACGAAGGTTGATTGCCACCTCCTCCTCCAGAAATCGTTTTGTTATTCACATTATTTGACGTGTTTACCGGTGCTACTCGTTCGCCCTCAGATTTCAATTGGTCCACAAAACTTTCCACATCTCGGGATTTGCTGCCCAATTTCAATGCTTTCCCTGTGCCGGAAGGTTTCCTGGTACATTTATTATACTTCATGTAATTGCTTAGTTTAATAAATTGATAGAACATTATATATTAGTTTCGTTTTTTTGGATAGAAAATAGTATGCATACATGAAGGATGAACGAGTAGGCTCAGAGGGAGGCTGGATGCTAGTATCCGACGAAATCACACTCGGACCACCGCTCATACTGCTTCCTGACGACGACATTGAAGTATACGAGCCTGATCCAGAAGTTGGCTTAATTCCACGTTTTTGATTCTCCAAACGCTGGCGTTGAAGCTCCTTTGCCTTTTCTCGCATTTTCTGCATCGCTTCTTTTTCTTGGCTCTACAGAAGAAAGAGAGGGAGCGAATCAATCGTTTAGTTCTATATCATATATCTAATCAGTCTAAACTAGGCTACTGATATCAACTCACTTTTCTAACAGCTTGATAAACTTTTTCTTCGTGAGAGTCCATTTCGACAAATGTCCGTATTTGTGCCAAATTGACATTTTCGCGATATCCAAGCGCAACAATTTCATCGAAAGCGAAAATAAGGTTGAATGCATTGTCCATCACATCTGACTCTTCCAAATTTCTGCAGTATTCAGGAATCTATTCATAGCAAAACAAACCATAATAACATTGATTACTGAAATTAAGCATATAGCGTTGCATACATTTAACTAACTGTTATAACTCACCACTTTGGCAAATAATCTAAGTGTTTCTAAATCCTCCAGAATATTGGATGCTTTGGTAGTGATAAGTACAATGTATAACTTTTCCAGCGGTTGATAAACATAACGCACGGAATCAGTTTCCACAAAAGTATGCTGCTTTCCAGCTGGAATCAGTTTGGGAAATGCTGCCAACAGTCCTTCAATTCGAGACTTGGTCATTTCAACAAACTGACGTGAAAGCAGAGCTGAAAATAATTAAGTATACACAAATTAAAATTATATGATTTACTACATACTATAACAAACCACAAGATAGTAAAAAAAATTAGCTTACTTTTTCCACTTTTCAGTAGAATTGCAGCTGCAAGTAACACCTAATGAATCATAAAATGTAACACCCCGGAATTAGATTAGCAACACACATAACCATATTGTGTATAATGTGTATTGTATTATTCAATTTGTAGAAGAATATACGCAACTACAACTTACCATTTTGAAACCTTTCTAATATCTACGACCGAGAAATAATTTATAAACCACTAAAGATGTTAAACTATAATTAAACCCAGTACAAAACAAATACCGAATTTTTATAAACAACCGTCAAGCATGAAATATAATAGTAGCAAAATAAAGAAACGCTTAAAACATTAAACGTTTCTTTTCCGTTCTGCTTGCTTCCTTTCGGCGTCACAATATTGCACAAGAGAGAAAACGAGGAGAAAGATAAGCCGACGAATTGTTCTTATCGATGCCGAAACTAGATTTATTTCTCCAAGTCAGGGTTGGTGGTGCAAAAGTGACACGTAAGAAAGGCTGTGTTCTGAATTGAATATCCCCCGCGAAAGTTATATAAAAATTTCATTTGTGCCCCAACAGAGGAGAGCATAATTTGCACATAATAATTTGCAATAAAATTATGTATGACATTTTATTTTTCATAAACAAAAATATAGAAAATTATGATTATTCATTATCACGTCACATTAACTCATGGTTCATGAAAAACCCTGAAGTAGAATGACTAGGACCGACTTGAGAAAATTGAGACACTTGAATAATTCAAGTGTCTCAATTTTCTCAACTGTGCAACTAAATATTCATTCACGTTGAATAGTTGAATAATCGCAAACTGAAATAAATCTCTGATTTTTTGCGTATATGAATTTAATTAAAGTTTACTTATGTCGACATCTACATAACAATTTCAAGCAAAGAAACTTCTTTTGTGAAACGTTTTGCCACATCTAATAAAGTAATTATTATTTTTTAGGCCTTCGTAAATATGAGTATGGCCGTTCCTGGAATTCCACATTTAGAACAAAATGAGACTTGGTCATGATACACATTTGTTTAATTAAGGTAATCTAAAATCAGTTGCTTAATGCACAGTGGGTTTCATGTTGTTGCCTGTCATAATTTCGTATCAAAAGTATGAATTTAAAATTAAGTACTGGCGACTGGGGCAAAAAATAAGCTGTGTAATGTGTAACGATAAATAAATGACCCCCAATTTAAAAGCTTCATAATAGCTTAAAATATGATACTCACACATATGTCAAAATATGTCAAAATTTTAGACTTTAAATGCACTTTCATTTTCTGAATTACTTGATTTGGAAATTATATAGAGATGCTTAAAGTCACTTGGGCTATTATTGTTGCATCACCAATTATGTCAATTACACATATTAAGTCAAAAGTTCGTTTTCTTGACTTGCGAAAAACTGAAGCTGAGCTTATATAAAATCTCGTGGGATTTTCATGGTTGGTTGATTGTCATTTAGAGATTCAGGCTAGAAATGGTTTTTCTCTTTAAGGTGTAAAAATTTGCAAAAATTTTTATAAGTTGCAAAAATGGTTGTTTTGTGGGGTTTACAACTACAAGACCGAATTTGGGAGCTTAAAGTTTAGATCTCATTCCATAAGAACATGACCACGACTTCATTGCGTCCGCTTCCATTCCACATTTTTAAACTGGTAGATAATTACATAATAATCATTTCAAATCGATAAACCTCCAAAGTTGATTGTAATCCTTCACTAAAAATTTATTTGCAGATTATTATATTATCCATGTTACACAAATCGAAGGCCCGTGGTGTAAATGTCATCCGAATCTCAACTTCCCCGTCTCACCCAGTGCACATCATTCCCCATGGTCATCCTCCTCCTCCTCACAGCAACTTGAGGCACCACCACGGTCACCGTTATCGTCATCATCATCGAGGGCTCCTACCAAACAATTTGATTGGAACGTTTGCAGATTACGAGGACGAAGGAAATATTCAAAACCATTTGCATCATAGTAGTTTTGGGGGGCTGAATAGATTTCGTCCTTCTCATGGAGATGGAAATTTTCGACGTGGAGTTTCAAATTTGTTAAGCTCCGGAAGATTTGGGCAGAGTGGGGTCGGTGACCGCGATTTGGAAGACTTGCTGCAAAATGGGCATCTGAGCATTGATTCTGGCGGTACGAGGGGTGGATTATTATCACCCAATAACTTTGGAGATTTAAGGAACCTTCTTCAAGGAGGAGGACGTGGAAGATTTTCAAGCTTAGGGAATCTAAATGCTGCTGGGGGAGATTTAAGAACGAGGGGACAAAATATATTTGGAGAAGGAAGCGGTTTCAATTTTGGACAAAGCAATGGCTTATTTGATCAATCTGGGGGTCGATTTGGTGGCCGAGGAGGTCGTAATGTTGCCCCGTTACTACAACTCATCCTAGACAAAGGTCGTTTTTGGGGTTTAGGAACGCGAATCCTTGTCAGACAAGGACGAATTGCTAGCGATTTATTTGGTCATGTGATTCACGGCGTCAGCAACTTTACTGAACGAGTAATTGGGAATGGGGATGGAGACTTTAGTTCTGGGACGAATGGTGGTTTAGGAGGAGGATTGGGTGGTGGACAACTAAATTTCAATTCATTGCTGTCCCAATTTCAAAATAATCGTCCCAATCTTGGCAATGTCCTAAATCAGGGTGGGCTTGGTCATCATAATGGCTTTGTTAATGTCATTGATATCAGTACTAGTCCCCACGATGGCGAGAATGGGGATCATGAGAATTTGCTTTCGCATGTACATCCCAGTCATCACGGTGGCCATCGTCACCATTTCCATCATCATGAAGGAGGATTCGACGACCATCACAATCATAACCATGTAGGTGGACGACATTTACCAGAAATCGAGAATCTGATTGGACCCGAGGATGATCACCCTAATTCTGGCATACATGAAGGTAATGGGAGGCACGAGCTCGAGGAGAGTCAACCACAGCAAGAGGAACAAAAAGATAAAGACGACGATGAGCCCATCCCCTCGTCAGTTAATCAACGATACTACAATAAGGATAATCATAATGATGTTGGAATTGGAAGCACGGTAGAAGAACGCCATCAACGTAACGACGACACCACGTCTGCCTTATTTAGGAAGTTAGGAATTCCTCCATTTATTCCAATGCCAGACGACCCAGACCCAGTTCATAAAAATATATTAAATAAAAAAATTCCTAGTCAATACTAGTTTTCCTTCCCAATTTCCTTTCATTCTTGTTTTGATCTTTAATACCCACATATCTCTGAATGTCAAGTCAAACTATAAGCGATGAGAATAATAATAACATACACTAGAGTATATAAACTGCAAAAGTCAATCGTATGTATTTATAGCTGTAATAATAAATCAATCAATATGTGATTGTCTAAAGTATCAGAACAAGTTCATGGGTCTGGAGCAGGAACCGACAATTCTGGCAAGTGTGGGGTGCCATTTTCAACTACCCGTTCTCTAAGCAAATGTTTCTTCGTAAAGGGGACGATAGTGTAAGCCAGTAAACAGTCAATGATCCACGTCCACGAAACATACAACCATCCTTTAGACCTGCAAACCTCTGAAACAAATATACGAATTTATATACCCCATTTATATCCCATTTATATACCCTAAATTATTTCACTTCACAAGTACTACAAAATTACCTTCATAAAGATGTTTGCTTCGAATTTCGTCGCCGATTATGATCAATCCATCCTCGACACTAATATCACATGGGCTATCTACAATTGTTCCTCCCATTTTGCCCACCAGTTTCTGCAACAAACCAATCACACAGAACAATGAGTGTGGTTGTTATTGTTGTAATAATTATACCATATTTACGTACTGTGCAGTCTTCCAGAGTTGCGCCACTGCTTTTCAACTCATTTGGAAAGTAAAAGTTGACTTTATCGAACACCTTATCAGGGTGGTCAACTCGAGCTTTTAGGCCACCGATTGGAGAAGTGATGAAACGCAAACATTCATATGGTTCCTGCAAAGCAAAATTAATAAACATAGATTAGTAAATTCCACATTTGTTAATGAATCAAAGTATTTTGAATGGAGCACACAAATATTTCTGAATACCTCTGGAACCATTTGACCCTGTCGAGCACACTCCAAAATCCAGTCAAAGAGAACAACCCACTTTTTATCAGCAATGGCGAAAAAGTACTTCAATGTATACGGGACTTGGTTATTCTCCAATTTAACGACAAGGTGAGTGGCGTCCTCTGAGTACTCTTGTTCCATCCTTGTTCCATCACAGACAGCAGAAAGATCAACAATCTTGGCCAGCTCATGACGTCTAAGTCGACTTGGGCAAATGACGTATTTTTTCTTGGAGGATGCGTTCTCAATGTTCTCATCATTATTTTGTGATTCCAATGCCATTGATAAATTGAACTGCGATGGGAGTGGAGAAGCAAATGTAGATTTGGAACATGACTCACTTGGATCTGCACTTTTTTGATTAGGAGTTGCAGGAATAACTTGGTTCTCGTCGTTTTCTTCTGCTTCTTCCTCCTTCTCGACACTAACTTTAGCGGATTCAGTAATAATGCCAGTGTCCCGTAATCCACGAATTTCTTCACGAAGCGTGTCTGAAAAGTACTGCACAGCCAGACTCAGTTGTACAATATCGTCTCGCATCCTTACTGCCCGGCGCGTTAACTTGCTCCGACATAATGGACATTTAGCGTCAGCTTTTTCGCTTCTTAAAATCGTTTTTACGCAATCTGAGCAAAAGACGTGACGGCATTGTAGCTGGGACGGTTTCGTGAGCACGTGAGAACTGATAATAAACAAATCAAACATACCCAATTCAGACCAATAATAGCAAATAAGACGAAATTAATAAATTCCCGGATAATATCAGTAACCTGTTGAACTTATTAAATTTGTGTATTCAAGTAGATATTTTTTACTTACCAAACTGAGCATTTGAAAAGCTGGGCCAGATTCTCGAGCTCGCCATTCATTTTGCACACTTTCTCCATCTTGCAAGCACTGATATAATGAACAATTCAAAGCAACAGTAATTTTAGAATGTTTCCAGTGACAAATTCCCACTTCAGAGAGGAGTATTGTGTGGGGCTCACCTTCTCAAGAGAAGGGCAGGCGAAGACTGAGCTAGTAATTAGAGTGGCTCGCTCTCCTAAAGATAAGTCTAATGGATCAGTTCAGTTTGTGGAAAAATAGCAATCCAAATCACGACAATGCATCGATCTAGACTTTCACGAGCAATGTTTGTTATTCTGGCTCCATTTTTATGACTTTGGCGGCCCTGCTCGTATTTTGTCGTCTTTCCGCTGCTGCTGCTTCGGTCGTCGGCATTAGAAGCCATAGAATTTCACAGCAGCAGCCTCTCTTTGGTTCCGTCTCTGTCTACTTATATGCCCAAAAATCTACATATTCGGATCAATTTAATCTCAATTGAATAAAACTCCAAATATTATTCAAATTTAATTTTTATGACACATCCTTCATCCCTGGCGTGCATTTAGTACAGGATTATTCCTGTCCTGACTGGATAGAACAAGTTTGAAAATACTAAAACACGACGTTTTATGAGCGAGTAAAATTAAAAATACTGAGCTAATACGTCTATTTACTGTTTGAGAGCAAGAAAGTGAAATAACTATTGTATTTTGTTCTGAATATTTGGGATTTGACAAGATGTTGTTAAAGTTAAGTAATTAGTGATCGTGGGTTCTAGATAGGTCACAGACAAATTAAAATTAGTAGATACATAGAAGATGACGACGACGGGTGACTCTGATTCGCCAGCGTCCTCTGAAGGGGACAGCAACGACATGAACAATTCACCTCCTCCGGCAGGAGGACCGTCGTCAACATGGGGGCAGCATTTGGGAGGGGCAGAAAATGGTAGCAGTGGGCACGCGTCCCCGGTTGCCACACCCCTTTCTTCCATCGCCATGCTGGGGTTTGGAGTGGGGGGTCGTCCGAGTGCAAAGAGGGTCGAGGTCGACACTCATCTCATCCAAGTAGCCAACATTGCTCCTGCATCGACAAAAGAGCAGATGCAATCTCTCTTCGGCTATATTGGGAAAATTGATGATTTGCGGCTATATCCAACAATGTGAGTATTGTGTATTGTATTCAATTGTACTCGCTTTTTTAAGATAAACTAATTAATAATTGCGTTGTTGTTGTTTAAAATTATTTTTAGGGACATTGGTACCCAGCACACGTCAAAGATTTGTTTTGTTAAGTTCAGAGACACAACGTGTGTGGGTGTGGCCCAACATTTAACAAATACTGTTTTTGTTGACAGAGCTCTCATTGTCATTCCGTATAGTGAAGGTGAGTTTTAATTACAAGTTTAATATGTTTGTAAAAAAAATTAAACCTGGGAAAACTGACTACTACAGCTGAATTGGTTTTTATATTTTGATATTTAGGTGAAGCTCCAGATGAGGCAAAGGGACTCGAGTTGCTAAATAGTGGATCTGTTTTACCTGGCGTTGCTGATCCAAAATTGCCACAACATGTTACCAGTCAGGTAATATAATAATATTCATATGTGCATTTCTGAAAAAAAACATGAGTAAATGACAGTAATTTTTCTTATCGTATAGTTGGAAGGAATACCACCGCACCAGGTTGTGGTTACGTCAGATCCAAAACTTGCAGAACTGCAGCTTCCTCCTTACCCTAACCTACCCCCGACGTATGATTCCAGAAGAATAGAGGAAATTAGACGAACAATTATGATAGCAAACATAGACCCAGAGGTGAGTGTAAGGTGCAAACGTGTAACACAAATTCATGTCGAGATAAAAGAAAAAAATAACTTGATACTGTTTTTATTAGATAACTGGACACGATTTACTAGAACTTTTTGGCAACGCTGGTGAGATAAAGTATCTCCGAATGTGTACCAGAGACAATGATCCAATACTCTATGCTTTGGTGGAATTCACGGAGCAACCTTCCGTTCTGTCAGCTCTTCAATGCAATGGGACATTGATGGGGACGAAACACATTAAGTAAGTCAATTAATGAGTACCCCAAATCTCTTGTCATGCACAAGTTGGTTGGTCATACGGTCAACGGTGTACAGGTCACATTGTGTGTGTCGACGAACCACGTTTATCACTCACACCAGAACAATAATCGACACTTGTTCAGCAGTTTAAGGGTATTATCTATATGAATATATGATTGAGTAGAGTATTTGAATCCTTTTCATCTATTGTAATTCGTTATAATCATCCACACTACTCTTTTGAAATTAACATTCCCTGTAAAAATTCCTCAAGTAACTATATTTAAGCTATGCAACATAATTTTAGCATTACGATTATTATTATTCTTGGTGCATTATTTATTTACCAGGTATTATTGTTAATGTGCTCATGATCGGATCTGAAGTAGATTCTCTTTTGGTTTTTTTGTGTGTATCAGTGTTGTTGTGGGGGAGCCTACCAAAACACCCCTCGGAAACCTAAGGAGGAGCGGATAAGCAAACACAGACTGCGAAATGTTGAACTTGGCTCCCTCTAGAAATGGCTATGCATTGGTAATGAAATGAATCTTGGATAGATACGTACACGGTTTCGGAACATTAGAACCTGACGTACTAGGCTGTTTCCAATCCCAATTTTCAATTCCATTTCTGAATTTTCATAGAGAATTTTCATTCATGTTGGTTACTTTATACATCAAAAGTGATGATGTTCGTTTCTTTTGTTTGTTCTGTGTGTGTTAAGGCACAGTCTGACTGAACTGAATTAAAGCTGCTGGGTGGACCCACACGCCCCACTCGCTCTAGGTCACACTACTACTATCTTGACATGACATGCGCCAGTCGCGTAGAAGTGAGTACTTCCAAAATATAATCGTAGTTCTCTTCTTCTCGTTTCATTCATGTTCTTCTTCTGGTACTACCGAAAATGTTATATTCGTCATGTTGTAAGTTGTAATGTGTATAATTACTTGTTATCAGCAGTTAACAGGAGTTGGATCCGTTTCCCCAAAAATACCTCTACTACTCGTCTTCAAAATCAACGTCATTTGTTGTACACTTTCTTCTAACCCGATTTTTTTATATGCAGGGTTTATCATTCAACTCAGGCAATTGTTAAGCCACAAGCCAAGACAAACGAAGCAGCACAAAAGGAAATCGAAGAGGCCATGACAAGACAGGCTCAAAATCTAATAACTCAAGGATTGGATAACAATGGTAATGTCCATAAATAAACCAATGTATATTTTTTTTACTGAAATACTTAATTTCCGATTTAATTGAATTATTAGGTAATTCCAAAGAGAAACGACGAAGTGCCAGTCCTCCTCGTGGTCGTCATACTGGTAGTCGTGTCGGACCACCAACAAGAAGGTCAAGATCTAGAACTCGAAGTCCGCGTCGGCGATCCGGATCAAGAACAAGAACGAGGCGCCGATCCAGGTTGGTTTTGTTGGGGCAAACTTTAGTTGAAATTATTATATACGTACAAATTATTATGAGCGTTCCTATTCGTTTTTTGTATGCAATTTTTTGTAGAACCAGGAGTCGAAGCCCACGTAGATCTCGTAGAAGCAGCAGAAGTCGGAGTCGCGGACGAGTTCTTCGCAGGTAATTTTCATACATAAACGCAATTAGCCGAACTAAGTAAAATTATCAGGTATTTATGGTAATTCATGTCTTGTTTTGAAACACTACAGCCCTTGGCGTCACCGAAGTAGGAGTAGAAGCAAGGAAAGAAAGCGTAGCACCAGCAAAACTCGTAGAGTTAAGCGATCCAGCTCAAAGGATAGGGCGGATAAACGAAGGGAAAAAGAAAAGAAATCAAAACGAGATAAGGACAAGGACAAAGATAAGGAGAAAGAAAAAAGATCGAAAGACGTGGAGCGGGAAAGTAAAGATAAGGGCAAAGAGAATGGAGTTAAATTATTAGAAGAACCTCCAGTGAGTTGAAGTTTATTTTTTAATAGTTGTTAACCCCATAACATGATTGTCACATAAAAAATATAATTTATATTCAATACACTCAGAAAGAAGAAGCTGTCCGCGAGAGAGATCGAGACCGAGGAGATCGACATAAAGATCGTGATCGTAAAAAAGAGAAAAGAAAATCACATTCAAAGTCTCCCAGCAGGGACAAACGTCGATCCACAAGGTAGGTATTTTACTTAACATACAAATATTCTGTAATAAATTACTCAAATTATTTTTTGCTCTTATAGCCGGGAGAAAAGGAAACGTTCCAAGAGCAAGAAGAAGAAGCGCGGAGACGATAGAGAAGACAGCGTTGAGAATAATCGTACCAGTAACAGTCCCAACAACAGCCTCGATAAAGAATCACTCGCCATGGACGTGGATTAGCTATTTGTTCAGTTGGGTTTTTTTCTCTGAAATCTGAATGCTATTGGGACGATTAGGACGATATAGAATTTTATTCATTTTTTGACTCATGTTTAATTGGACTGATGTACTTTGCTTACACATCCATATAAATTTTCTCATAGTCCAGATAAAATCTGCATGAATCGTATTATGTCACTTAATTATATGGATTATTCTTTATATTTAAACTTCTGCATATTAATTTCTGTATGCATACACCCACAGGTACTTGTATTCCGAAAATCACTTAAATAAATCATCACATTACAATTTGCTTAATTCTGATTTTAGCTGGTTTTTTTGGCATCGGTCGAGACCATAATATATAACCTTGAAATGGATGAACTGAACAACCAGCTTTCATGCTTTATATGTGCATACGTCACGTGATGAGACTGTAGTGTATTTACTTGTATTGCATTTGCATTTCCATTTAACTCAGGATCAGTCGGTACGATAGGCAAATAGCGCATAGTAAACAATCCGGTTATTCATTCTGTTCATGTGGATGTGTTGCAGAAAAATTCTAGGAATATTTAATAAACTCGGAGAAGGGTAAGGTACCGACTAATAAAAATGGACGCCACCTTACGCGTTGGAATTTTGACAGGTATTTTAATTATTATCTGCGAATCAAAGTACTATTGCACGGTTGATAATTATTAATTCACCGATTGGTACGGATATTGTTTCAAGTGAGCGACCGCTGCTCTGCTGGAGAAGCAAAGGATGTGAGTGGAGACACGCTGTCCGCTTACATACAATCTCACTGGCCTCAGGGTAAGGTCACAGTGAGGGACTGCATTCCGGATGAAAAGGCCCAAATCACGGTATAGATTTAATAGCATATTTGTAGGAATAAGCATGGCTATCAAACCGTTCGATACACTAATTTATCTTTACGAACGAATACATTTGTATTCTTAGAATGTGCTCATGGACTGGACAGATCAAGAGCGTCTTGATATAATTTTTACCACTGGTGGAACCGGATTTTCTCCCCGAGATGTGACCCCTGAAGCTACAAAAGCCGTTTTGGACAAAGCAGCTCCAGGTTTAGTTGTAGCCATGATTCAAGGCTCAATGCAGTCTACTCCGATGGCTATGTTATCCAGGTGCATAAATATTCTTATAAATACGTGCATGCACTTTTCATGAGTGCAAATATTATACTGGACTGAACTGGTTTTTTAGACCCGTATGTGGAGTACGTAATCGTACCCTGATTATTAACTTGCCAGGAAGTGTCAAGGGCTGCGTAGAAAATTTCATGATTGTTGAGAAGCAACTCAAACATGCTGTCGACTTACTACGTGATGCGAAAGGAAATATCGAAAACGTGCATTCCCAGATTCAGAAACCTTTGAAATTAAAGGTTCCTTAATGGCTACATTTTAATTGTTACAATTATTCCTAAATAATTTCAAAAATGAACAAACTATTAATGCAGACAAAAGTAAATGCCATCAATGTGGCGGACCGAGCAAGAAGATCTCCATTTGAAACAATTCAAGTGGAAATAGCTCAGAATATTGTCATTACCCAATGTGGAGATGAATATTTGACCGAGACTCGTACTTTAAGGTGGTTTATATTTATATTAATCAGTCAAACATGCTCTGGCTGTTATTTTCTTGAATGAAGTAAAGTTTATTTTATTAAATAGAAATGCTTTGGGATTTGTTATCGCGGAAGATGTCGACGCCAAGGACCCTCTTCCACCATTTCCCGCATCGATCAAGGACGGTTATGCTGTGAAAGTGGGTCCCCAACTTAAAGAGGGTTCCCTCCTCAATGTGACAGGTGATTCCACTGCTGGAGAAAGTCCAGAAAAATGTCAGGTCGACACCAACTTTTCTGTTCGCATTTCCACTGGAGCTCCAGTTCCATCGGGGGCGGATGCAGTCATACAAATTGAAGACACGGAATTGGTAGAAAAAACGGAGGATGGAAATGATGAAAAAGTTATAAGAATTTTAAAGACACCAATTGTCAAGCAAGATATTAGGTATGGATGGATAAACAAACAACTTTATTTTAATTTGTAACTCGCCCAATTTAAATATTTTAAAATGTATATATTCTTGTAGAGCAATTGGAAGTGATATCCAAAGTGGAGAAAGGGTTTTGCAAAAGGGGACAAGGTTAGGCCCCACAGAGTTGGGAATTCTAGCCACTGTGGGTATCACTCAATTTAAGGTGTTCAAGTAAGTTGTATAATTTCAACAATTACAAATATCTATCATGAAACATGTTATAATTCATATAATGCCATACATAGGAAGCCAATAGTTGCCCTGATTTCAACAGGAAATGAACTTCAAAGTCCAAACGATGCTATATTGATCAAGGGGAAAATTCGTGACAGCAATAAGACGACATTGGCATCTTTAATGTAGTTAGATAATTGTCTTCTTTATATGATGAGGAAGGTGGTGCTTAATTAATTATACATATTTATTGCGATACAATTCTTTATTTCAGGGCTCAGGAAGGATTTCAGACCAAGGATGTTGGCATTGCTAAAGATTCGTAAGTAACTGAAAAAATGAGATAAACCTTTGCTAAATAACGTATAATATAATACATAGACCCCAAGAACTGCTAGATACCCTTTGTGCTGGGTTTTCAGTTGCAGACATTATCGTATGCACTGGTAATACATTTACAGTATATTGTATATAGATATGCACGTAGTAAATCGTGGTCACGTACAGTATTCCTAATTTTCTTGAACATGTAGGTGGTGTGTCGATGGGAGAAAAAGATTACCTCAAACGAGTTTTGAAAACAGATCTGGACGCAGACATCCATTTTGGAAGTTTGCTCATGAAACCGGGGTACGACAAAAAATAATTTAAAAGTATGAAATTCCTCATTTACATTTTTACATTACTGGCCATCTTTAATTCAAGGAAACCCACAACGTTTGCAACGTGCATGTACCAAGAACGGAAAAAGTATATTTTTGCTCTCCCCGGAAATCCTGTGAGCGCTACCGTATCCTCTTACTTGTTCGTGGTACCTGCATGTCGCAAGCTTTCAGGATGGAGCCATCCATTTCACCCAAAAATTAAAGTCCAGGTAATGAATATTTGGTCAATTTACAAATTAAAAGCATGATGCAAATATGTAATTCAATATTTTGTTGCATAATTTCCATTAGGCCGAGAAACAGCTTAAAGTTGATCCAACTCGGCCAGAATATCACCGGTAAGATCTAAATGATAACAAATAGATATTATATAGGTTGTTCTTACTTGCTTATCTCTTTTAGAGTTACGGTGTCATGGTCAACTTCATGTGGAATTCCAGTCGCCCAAAGCACCGGTAGAAGCAGATAGATATGACAAACTATTTAGTAAAGTATGTAGCATCAAAAAAATAATCATTCTCAAAATTTCAGGAAATCAGATTAGCAGTCGACTTCTCAGTTTCAATCGTGCCGATGCACTTCTTATGCTTCCGCAGGGCAGTGATTCTAAAAAAGTTGTAGAATCGGGGGAATTTTTGGAGGCAATCCTTTTATCTGCATAATGTGCAATTATGTTGTAGAATATATTTTATAAATGCTCAATTTGTAATAAGTATATTTGCAATCATGGATAGTAAACGTGGCATTTGCACAAAGAATATACTATTGTGGAATAACTCGGATTTTGTTGATTTTTTTGGAAATTTATAGCTTATGCACCGGGAACAAAAAACTTTTTTTCGATGAAAAATGAAACTTTGTTTTTTTTAACTTTCAAACTATTTTTTGTCCGAAGTTATAAGTGAGGCATACATAAATCCGAACAAATTTTTTGAAAAAAATTAAAACAAAAACCGAGTCAACCATTACCATTACTATAATTACCAATTTGTAATGTAATTTCAACGACGCCAAGCCGGTTATATCCATCCAATAGTTTTCTCGGCACAAGGTACCGTGCCGTTGCATCATACGTGACAAGGCCATACACCTGACATAATATTCAGCAGATATCAACGGTCACATTTATCCAGCATGAGAAAAATTTCAGAAAAATTTCACCTTTGTTGCTTATTCAAGCAATTCGCTACATACTTTGTCCAAAAAAATCTCAATTTTTTTTACTCAAGGGCCTACACAAAGGTATTTTTTTAATCAGTATAATCTAAGTTATTCCGCTATAGTATACCTTTTTACCCTTTTACATATGTACTGACTTGAATTGTCTCTCGATAGAATGCACTCTTTATAATTTTGCATAAGGGAATGAGGGCTACACATCAGTCGACCGTGTATATACTAGTATGTTACTCCAAAAAGGTGAAATCTTCTAGCTAAATCCTAAATATTATTTACTTAGAATCACACCACATGAGAAAATAATTAAAGAGCTGCATGCATACGATACCTATCTTCAAAAGAAGTTATTATTGTGCGCAGTATAATAAAAAAATTAAACAGGTGAAATTGAAGATGCACTTTATTCAAAACATAATCATAAATGAATCCGCAATCTCATCATCACTGTCAGAACTGTCACAAATAGAATAAATCTCAGGTCCAATTTCAAAGAACTCCAGCAGAGCCGATGCATAAAACCTCCAGTTTTGCGAATGGGCAGTTGCACGATGATGTCATCAACATAATCTCAGCTCATCCTTAGTCAGATTGACGTTCATTGGTATTCTTAGAATGATTGGTCTTTACAATTGACTAGACCCATTGTTTTCATGCTGGACAATGGGCAAAGTATGAAAAATCAGCGAAGCAAAAGATTGGCTCACTAACTAGATTTTTTTAAAACTATGGTATGCAGATTTGTTATGCTGGACAACGAGAGATGGTAAATAATAATGTTACAATAAATCAACCGTATGCAGGTACCATCAACGTGTATAACTGGTATAAATAGATGTTCGCAAGACAGCCACCCCACTCACTTTGATTATCACCTCATCAGGTGTGGCCTAATCCTCAAGAATTATTCATTGTGCTTAAATAATACTTCATCATGAAGTATAATGCACTGTATTCTGTGCTCTTATTTGCCTCCGTGGCGGCCAAGTACCCCCCCAGCAGTGATATTGACCATGAAGAAGAATTCCAGTCTGCAGAACCCATTTACTATTTTTGCAAGTATGTACATATGCACGATTTACGTACATAAAAAACTTTGTTGGTATAATAATGTGTTGTAATAACAATTTCTTTGCTCAGGATCTCGAATAACCCGAGGTGGAGGTTATGGATCAGCCCCTGTGGAAATCCTTCCAGTTCCAGGTCCATCCTATTCCAATCAGCAAATTGACAGTTTACCAAATTATGGTGGACCTCAAATCGCCCCAATCAAGGAAGTCGAACACTACTCTCCTGGGGGTGGAGGATATGGAGGTGGTGCACCAATAAAAAAAGAACCTTACAAAGCTCCTGCTTACTCCGGGGGTAGTGGCTTCCCAGCCTCGAAACCTGTCGAAAGTGGTTATGGGGGGAGTGCCCCGGTTGGTCCCGCTCCTGGATACGGGGGGGCAGGGTTGCCACCCGGCTATGGAGGAGCATCAGCACCAATAAAACAAGAACAACCCTATGTCCCATCTGTACCAAACTATGGTGGCAGCGGAGGTCACAAACAGCCCTTCAATTACGGTTACAACAGTGGGTCAGGGATCTCATTTGGTCAGGGTTGGTCAAGTTCACCTCAGCAACAGCCACAGCAACAACCACATTATGGGGGTGGTGGAGGACAAGGATTCCAACAGAAGCAGCCCTTCAATCAAGGGGGGACAAGTGGGTATGGCGGCTCTCCCACCGGCCATGATTCCTACAGCAAACCACCCGTCGTTCAAGAAGGTTACGGCACACCCTTGGCTCCACCCGCTCAAAAGGCTCCAGGAGGTTATGGTCGGCGTCGCTGAAAAAAATCAATCTTGTAAAACTATTTATAATAATACTTTCAAACCATTCTTTTCCCAACAATGCAAATAAAAAACAATACTTCATTACTTTTGTGACCTCTTTGACCGATTATTATGCAGGAAAAGTCTAAGCATTGCATATGCACATCACCAGCAGAGTCCAATAGGGCATTTACGAAACGCATGTATTTATGAATGCATGAAATAAATAGAACACACTGATATTGACAACAGCTCTGTGCCCTTTGGACCGTTATATAATGATTGGATAATGGATTTGGGAAGGTTCAGAGGCGTGGCTCGATTCGAAAAGTATTGTATCGTTACAGTAATATTATCGTGTCTCCCAAATAAATGTAGAGGCAGATCGCAGATGAACAAAGTCCAATGTCCAACCTGAGTTGTATTGTATTCTTATGATGTAAATATGAAGTAAGGGGTTGTATTTTGAGCGAGTATACAAACACCGGCTGGGTTGTATACACAATTTTTGCATTTATATTTCTGGCAGAATTTTGCATAACTTGATATTTTGGAAATCATTGGTAAGTGTGTACAAGTTGTGGGTTGAAATAGATAAATACATGCAATACTACTTCGACTCTTATATAGTTTGTATTTACTTCAATCAACTAAAAACAGTTAATTCTTTCGTACGTTTATAATTGGTTAAGCAAACCACTACTACTGCCAATTTTTGTCAACTTGTTCCCTCCTACGACATGTATTATCCGTTCCATTCATAGTATTTTTATCATCACGCGATATAGTAACTTTTATGCCCATAATACGTATCATCAATCAATCGACCAATTGAGCTGAAGCTGAAGTGAATTTAACTTTGGATGATATGTATATTTTTTGTGTATTTTTACAGGAAGGTTTATACACATCTTCATTATTTATCAGTTTAATTCGATTCAAGTTTAACAGTTGGTATCCAGGAATAAGATCGCCATGAGTAGGACAAATGCTGTTCGCCAGCTGCTTGGGTACAGAAGTTGGAAGTCAATGACAAAATTGTTTACCAGCTACAGTTAATTTTATAAACAAATTTTCGTTTTGTTTTTCAGGAAGAAAATACTGTGTTCGGTACAAGTAAATAAGGGATTCGCAACCTGCTCCCGATTAGCATTTCCATCAATTAATACCACAAGGACTTATCCTGACCCAAGTCGACGCCTTGCTCTACTTGCTCAAAATCAGGTTCGGCCTTTTATGGCGACCTCTCAACGCCTCTCGTCGGAGCAATTTCAAGAAGCTGTCAAGAATTTGGGTTCAGTAAAGGACGCTGATAATTCAACCAAATTGAAATTGTATGCCTTGTACAAACAGACAACTGTTGGAAAAAACAACACCAAGAAACCTGGCATGCTAGATATCGTTGGAAAGGCAAAGTGGGGTAATTGATAATAAGTTATCAGATAGATGTGTGATGTGTGGTATGCTAAGTAAATAATACTTTTTTGTTACTAAAATTCTCTTAGACGCTTGGAATTCTCTGGGAGATATGACTCAGGTAGAGAAACTGACTGCGTAAATGTTCCGAATCAGTAATTAGTATATAATAGCATATAATTCTGATGTTACAGGGCGAGGCAGAAAAAAACTATATTGATATTGTCAATGAAATGTTGGGACAGTCGTCTAAAAAGGCTGAGCCAAAATCAGAAGAATTTGATGGTCTTTTGGTAACGATTAAAGGTGGTATCAAGACCATCACCCTCAACAGACCAGCCAAGAAGAATGCTCTGAACATGGAGGTAAATAGATTTTACAAATAATACTTACCATCTCTTCTCGCAAGAACAAGATACATAATTCGACTTGCTGATTGGTATGTTGATGTAGATGTACGAAAAGATAGCTGCGGCTTTGAGAGACTCAAACGACGATGATGCGGTGAATATTGTGGTACTAACTGGATCTGGGGATTACTTTTGCAGTGGCAATGATTTAGCCAATTTTATGAATGTAACGGATCCATTAGCGATGGCAAAGGAGGCGAAAGAGTTTTTACAGTATATATACATTCATTATTCAACTTTTTTCAATTTGATCCTTCAAAACATAAAAATTATTATATTTTTCTATAGGAAATACGTCGCAGCATACATAGATTTGAAGAAACCATTAATAGCATTGATAAATGGCCCCGCTGTAGGCATCGCCGTTACAGTCCTAGGACTTTGCGATGCAGTATTTTCTACTGATAAGGTATTTATTTGTCATAGTTAGCATATAACATCTTGAGAGTGGCTAATATACTTTCACCATATAAATGCATATCTATACATGTAGGCAACATTTACGACACCATTTAGTTCTTTGGGCCAATCTCCGGAGGGTGTTTAATTTATGCAATTCCATTTAAAAATTCCTTGATTAAAAATTTTTATTTTATTTTCAAAAGGTTGCTCGTCATATATTTTTCCACGTGTAATGGGATACGCTAAAGTATGATATTCGAAAGTTTAAACATGTTGGTCATGTATGTATAATGTGGTTATTAATTTTCCCAGGCAAGCGAGCTTTTATTCTTCAATCAAAAATTCACTGCGAGACAGGCTGAGGAATGTGGTTTAATTACGCAAGTGTTCCCCAACGATAGACTTCAAGCCGAGGCGTGGAAGCGCATCAATGACATGGCAGAGCTCCCCGTTAAGGTAATCCCAATAGAGAATAGAATGTGTATTACACACATACTACGCAACTTACATAATAAGATTTATTTATTTTATTTGTGCTTGTAGTCATTGATCTTCTCAAAAGAATTAGTTCGAGGAAGAGAACGACAATTACTTCATGAAGTGAATCGAATGGAGTGCGAGCGTTTGCAAGAGCGTTGGACAAGCGAAGATTGTATGAATGCGATCATGAAATTTTTCTCCAAGAAATCTAAAATGTAAAACCTCGGATATGTATGATTGAGTATAATTTATAACTAATTAAACAAAAAACACAGATATAAACATAAATTATTGCAAAAAATTGCATAGTGCAGGCAACATCGTAAGGTTGCTTGAGTTTATGTTGTCAATTGTAAAAGTTGGACTACCACATTCATTTTTCATCTTAAATCAAGGTTCCTGTCCCAAGGTCTTGTTGCGTGGTTGAAGTACAGGCTTCTACATTTTTTTCTTTTGACTTGTTTTATTTCACAAACAAGGATTAACATGGCCCTTGTGAGATTTAGTTATCGACAGGGCATGACTCACTTCAGCATACATATGTAACTACATAATATCAATACTGATATGTATACATATGTATGTATCTATAGTCTACGTACAATAATCCATGCGTCAGTTCTGCAAATTTATACCCATTTTATCAGCTAGGTTTTCTTATTGTCTGGATTAATAATTATTAGAAGGAAAATGCATCATGAAACAAGTTTCACGTTCACTTTTTTAACTTTTCTTACATTTCGCAGTTCATGCTTTGTGAGCTTGCTAGAGGGAAGAGGATGATAATAATTACTATTAATTGTTTATATTCGCACATGTAAAACGTAAAAGTTATATTCCAAGAAGCTTGAAATACTTGGGTCTCTAATGGAAGGAACATGCAATCCTAATGAAATAGATACATACATGCTGTACAATGCAGACGCAATAAAATCTGATCATTTAGTCACTGTATCTTTAGTTTACGTAGGTTCTTTTTTAGGATCTTTTTGACCACGTATTACACTGCGCAGGTTGCTTTTTTTATCTCTGCGATCTTGCAATTCATGTTGGATTTGTTTCTGGTATCGTCAATCCATACATATAATTCTTATAATTCCTAAAAATTATGAAACTTGGAAATTCAATTTATTTCATGCAATTAGTCTTTACATTGTTAATATTTCTCATCAATTTGTTAACAATCGCTGATGGAAAAACATGGCAAGAAGATTTGACCCTCACGGGCAACGAAAAGGAGATTTTGGATAAGGTTGGTCAATATATAGCGTTTTATTTGTTTGACATATATGTGCCCATATGCATTTAATTCTCAAATGATATATTACTAATTTCAAACCAAGTTCAGGGCACACGTGAAAGATAGGTTGCCTCATGACTATATGAAAGAAGATGTGTACTTAATTCGATGGTTGAGAGGTTAGTTGAAATTGACAATGAGAATATAAAATTCTTAAAATAAGTAATGGAGTTTCTCAATTCTAATGACTTTTCTCTGACAGCAAGATATTTTAACATACCAGATGCTGAGAGATTTTTGATGGAGGTAATTAACTCAAACTATTTTAAATGTAAAACATTATAACTTAATAACATTAATGCCGTACTTTAATAAAGCATTTAAAATGGCGAAGAGATAATAATATGGACACGATTTTCGAGGAAGACTGGTCAGACTATGATACTGAATACAAGTATCACTTGGAAAGCAGAGACAAGGAAGGAAAACCAGGTTCGACAAATGCATACAATTATATTATATTCCATACTTGATGGATGCATAAATTACAATAAGTTTCAAGTAGTGTTGTACGTGTCGGTGAGAAATTGGGACTTAAGGAAAGCAGCCCTCACTGGACGGCGTGACAGATTTAATCGCTTTGTTGACAAAACCCTTGAAGAAGCGTGTGGCCTGGTTCAAGAATTGGGGGAAAAGTACAAAAACGTATCTCAAGGAATATTTATTCTAAACATCGATGGGTTTAACCTTGTTCAGCACGGTTGTCTGCAATGTATTAATCTAGTACTTTTCAACAATTGACTCAATCTTGATATCAGTTTTACATTATCATTGATAATCCAGGCATTAGCTCTCTATTGAGAATCATTGTGAGCTATGAAGCCCATCATCCTGGATGTGCGGACAAATTCATTTTCGTGAACCGTAAGAACTGCACAACTGAATAAACTATTGTATAGTTAGAAGTACTTAGCTTGCCCTATAATAAGAATTTTTGATATAATTTTGCACCAATTGTGCAGAATACATAAGAGGACAACATTAATTGATACATAATTTTGTTCCCCCAATTCTTTTCCCCCGTTACCGATTGTCTGATACCAATAGTGCTATTTACGGGGGGCGATTCCTATTGAGTTGTCATCAATTGATGACATGGCGCTACACAGGACGAACTAATAAGACAATTAATTAGTTAAAATTTGCAAAACTAACTCCACTAACAGTGCCTGAAGCCGCGAGACCGGTGTTGGCCGCAGCGAGGACCGTGTTCCACCCCGACACGAACCGGGCCCTCCAGGTCTATGGTACGAACCGGCGGAGGTGGGAGAAGGTGCTGAGGGAGTATTTTCACCCAGACCAACTCCCTGAGGAACTCGGGGGGACCAAGATTTATTCGGGGACTGACACTGATGATGATCTTAAGTTCTGAGACTACGCATATTCATTTCGAATTGTATGCAATTCATGTGTGCCTTAATATTGATTTATAGTGAATAAAAGTACGTTTTAAAACTGTAAAAAATTAAATAATAAGTAAAATACGTCAAACTTCGAATTGGTCATTTACTTATCCTTAGTTGAGACTTGTATGATTTTGATGTTGCATGAATAGCTACAAATTCATGAATCTCATTCCAAGCAAGCTTTTGACTGGTCCTGAGGTATAGCCGGCTTCCACAAACACGAGCCGGACGATGAAGTTCATCAAACTTGCTCACAAATTGACCTTCATGTGACAGCAGACTGGTTGTCACACTCACACCACTTGGGATTTAATCAGGTAATAATGTTAAGAATAACATATATAAAATTGTTTTATCAAATGGTGGTCAATTAGTTAGAGTACTTAAGTTAGAGAGGAGAGATCCAAATGACTTTTATTAATTGCATACAAATCAAATGTACTGATAAATGGATTTTCTTCACTTGAGACTTGAGGGGGCGTTTCTGTTGACATCAAATGTTTAGACGAATTGGTGGGGACATTCTCACAAGACACATTCTTATTAGGTAATTCATCCTTCTACTTATTACGTTTGATTCATTGATTGATAGATTGATTTAATATTTATAACATATCATAACATCAAGCTTGATTTTTAAAGCTATTGTTACGTTTGACGCTACAATTAATCAATGTTAAATGCATTATGACTTTATACTTATACGACAATTTTGTACTTGATTGATTTTAATTTGTTTTAATAGTCATTGCATCTGGCTGGGCATTAGTTAAACTGTAATAGAATATGATGGTTTTTGGAGTGGAATTTCTGAAAATCTTGTTGAACGAGTCAAACTCCTTTTATCACATGATAAGTATGATATGTATTTTATCTTTGCTGGGCAACAACCAGCATGTTATTATGCCTACCAGAGTGAAATTTGATAACATGGTTGTTGTTCATTGTGGTGTGATAGTTTAGTTTGGACACGATAACAAATCATAAATATATCATACATTATGAATTGTTTGTACAATAATATAACAAGTTGGTTATGTCATTCTTGTAATTAGGGAGACTCCCACACGTCTTCTTATCGAGTTGAGAACAACAGTGTCAAAGTCGACTGTTCGATCTTATACCAGCCATTTCAGTAGACGCTCAGTTGAATTTCAGGAGCCGCAGGGAACTCTGACTTCTCCTTGTTTTGGAAACTCGTTCAGGACAATGACCACCTTTCCAAAATGGGGAAGGCGAGTTTAAAAAATAATATTGTTCTATACTCCAAGATGCTACAAGCTACATATTTAAATATTTATTTGTTGATCTGTCATAACTTCAGGTTGCCAACCCCCGTGAGTCATTCGGCCAAATTGGACAGCTCTGATTATGACAGCGTGGTTGTTGTAGCGTCAGATATTAACGATGTCAAAAAGCTCTCTGAACCACTGTTCTCGGTTCTGCAAAAACTTGCTTCCGTGAGTGCTGCAATTATTGAAATGTAATTTTGCAGCTCGTAATAGATGCCAAATTATTTTAAATTGTGATTACAGGTCGACAGTGCTTTAGATAGCAATGGTGCAGTTACGTATGTTGATTTACCAGCAAAACGGATGGTTTATGCTCCAACGGGAAAGGTTATACTTTGGTTGTAATGAAAATGTCAATAAATATGGTTGATTGGCGAATAAATTAATGTTGATTATCGATTTTAGGTCGACCGTGATTACGATGATGTTAGGCGCTTTGGAGAAGGTTAGTGAATACAATTGCAGAGAAACAGAGAAATATATTATATACATTTTTAACCCACTCTGTATATTTCTTTTATACTACGCAACAATGTATTTAATACCGTATTCTGACATTTTGTCTTATTTAATTGCAGCTGCGGAGAAAGGAATCAAGCGGTACATGTTTACGAAATGCCGAATTTTTTTAAAAGTATTACATTGCTATATTTTTATGCAGAGCCGTGTCTTCCGGGTCTTATAAACCATTGCTTGTCGTCCTGCCATGCCCAAAGTTCAAGAACGCTACTTTGGTCTCCATTCTTGGAGCTTTCCAAGGACTCTATGTTCCGCTACAATATCGCGAAGCCGTGCCTGAGAAGGCGACAAAGTGTAATGAGCTTGGCATCTATGGAACGGACTCTGACCGAACCAATAAGCTAATCGCTTTGGCTTGTGCACTGGAAAGTGGACGGTAATTTTTTGAAACCAAATTAATCGCAGTCAAACAATATTACTACAAATAAATTTGAATCCAGATTTATTGCTCGTGATATTGGTGGTGGTGATCCAGAGCGAATGGCACCTCCTCGGGTGGCCGAATACGTCCAAAAAGCATTCCAAGGTTCAGCTGTGACTGTTGAGATTGTTTCCGATCGCAAAGTGTTCGAAAAGGAATATCCACTGTTTGCTGCCGTGGACCGAGCGGCTCATGGTATGATTTATTGACGACTCTGACATCTCTCGTACAAAATTTGATTACGTTGATCATATTATTTCTAGTTGTTGAGCGTCATCGAGGTCAACTGATCTTCTTGAAATATGAAGGAGAAGGACCGATAACGAAGACCATTATGCCCGTCGGGAAAGGTACATACATTGCCATTTTTAAAATTAACATTTTGTACCACAATATAATAAGTTTGTACATAACCGATTCGTTCACAGGAATCACCTACGATACTGGTGGTGCTGATATCAAAGCGGGAGGAGTTATGGCAGGAATGAGCCGCGACAAATGGTAGGTTTCTATTTTCCAATACAAGTTTAATATTTTAAACCTGATGATAGATTTAAAAATGTACTTTAATTAATATTGGGTCTTTTTTAGTGGTTCAGCTGCTGTGGCTGGATTCTTCCAGGTGTTGGCAAGTCTCCGTCCAAAAGGAATTAAAGCCATCGGAATTATGGCCGTTGCAAGAAACAGTGTTGGGGAGGACTGTTATGTTTCTGATGAAGTGATCACTTCGCGCTCAGGATTGCGTATTAGGATTGGAAATACGGTTTAAACAAAATAATACACTTTTTCCAATGTATAAATAAATAATGTATATTTTTATAGAATAAATATAATAAACCTTTTAGGATGCAGAGGGCCGAATGGTCATGGCGGACCCACTGTGCAAGATGCGAGAGATGGCAGTGCATGAGATAAATCCACATTTGATGACGATTGCGACCCTCACTGGGCACGCTTGTCTTGCTGTTGGAAATTACACAGTAGACACCATGGATTTTTCTTGATCAACTCAATTTAATACTTAACAATTTACAAAATTTATCATGATTCGTTTCCATTAATCAATGTCAAAATTTATGTTAAAATCTAGGCCATAATGGATAATGGACCCTCCGGACAAGCAGACTTTGCTAGAAAAATCCAGGCAGCTGGACTTGAGCTTGGTGATTGCATCGAAATCAGCACCCTCCGTCGCGATGATTATGATTTTATTCGAGGTACATAAATTAATGCAAATCACAGTAGTCATCTTTTAAATTACAGAGAAAATTCAACTCCAACAAAAAACGTATAATAATTAATTACAGTTGGTGTTGCTGACGGAGAAGACATCTTGCAGGTAATAAAATATACAAGTTTAATTTGGTACATTAAAATAGTACCTACATGCATACGTCGTAATACGAAAGTGTGAACGATAAACGTCATAGTAAACTATGGATGAACGAGAATGTACGTACTGAAAGAAGCATGCAAATATGACAAAACTAGGCAAATCTCTGTAAAAATTGTTCATCATCATTATCCGTAATATTCAATCATTAGTTCATTTGACAAGAAGTATAAAAAATTGTAAGATGCAGCTGGTGTCCTACTTGCGATATTTACGCTCTCTCTAATCTAGCGGAAGAACTGTTTGTATGATATCTACGTATGTATACGCGCTGAAAAATGTATACATAATTTTATACAGTAAAATTCATGACCCATTGGTTTTTGCAGTGCAACAATGCTCCGAGTAGTCGTACCCCAAGAGGTATGTATCTAAGTAATTAAGATTGTTTATCATAATTTTAAATTGTCCATGTTTTTTATTTTCAGGTCACCAATTTCCTGGAGCTTTCTTGGCCGAGACCAGTGGTATATCGAAAGTATGTTGTGTACATTGTCCAAACTAAATATATAGCACAATTTGTTGAAGCCATATTATATTTTATTCCTTGTATTAATTTTTGCAGCATGGACTTTCCAGCGACAAGCCAATCAAATATTCACATATCGACATTGCTGGTGCCGCTGGAGACCTGCCAAATAATCCGACCGGCGCACCCATTCTTGCTTTGGCTAGCTACTTCCTCGAAGATTATGTCAAGGTCTAATGCAGCAAATGCAATTGCTCATTCATGAATTTTTTTGATGTTTTGGAAATGGTTTGGTTTTGGATGATAGCTTAATAAATCTGGTTAATAGCTAATTAAAATGAAAATGAGATGTATTGAGTAAATCATTATACATTTATTACTGCATCATTTTTTAGAATCAAGTTTACAAATAACCGCTGTAACTTCAATTTCCATGAGAAATTCTTTTCGTACAAGCTTGTTTACTTCGACCAAGGTGCACGCTGGCCTGATTACTCGAAAAACTTCTGCATGAGCCTTCGAAATAGTTTCAAATTTTGAAATATCGGTAGTGTACATCCTGGTTCTGATAACGTCGTTCATGCAACTGCCAGCTTCTTCCAATGCCTTTGAAATTTTCTCTAAAATGAATTTAGTCTGCGTATAGCAGTCCTGACCAACAACTTCGTTCTGCTCGTTGACTGCAACCGTCCCTGAGACCTCAACAAGGTCCCCAACACGAACTGCACGAGAATATCCGCAAAGTTTTTCCCATTCACTTCCGCTGGAGATTAGTATTCTCGCCATCCTTTGGTCTCAGTAAAGTCTGCAATGAGGTAAATAGATCGGTGGTAAATTTACGTATTTTTTTTTTGAAATTCTGCAGCACAATAAAATTTTAGTCAGTGTATCGTCGTAACTTACAATGGAATTTCTGATATTATTTTCTAATATAACTTGATTGAAAGGTTTATATTAAATTAACTTTTGATCGGTACAGCATCAAAGTTGATTCAATGATTTCCAACCAATTTATCAAGCCAATATGTGCCCATCATCCGATGATGTGCAGGTAGTTATTGATAGTATGTACTGAGCCGCACATGTATGTAAATACTAAATACATATATTATGTAAGCAACTGCAATGAATTCAATCTCAAGAACCATGCCAGGAGGATTACGATTCGTAATTCTATCATGCCTACAACGTATAAATGAATGTGCATATTTAGTATGCAAATTAATCACTCAACTGTGTTAGGTACATAATCATAATTTATTATATGTTTAATGTTTATAGAAACACAAGGTTAAGTAGTATCAGTCCAATATAGGGGAAAAATCCTTTCCTAATTCCTTGTCATGAAATCATCTATTTGCCTCTATAATTTAATTCCGTAATTTAAATTCGCGTAGCCTTTTTGAAACTGGGAGACCGAAGTTTTTCCCACGTGGTCATTCTTCTTCCAGTCGTGCTTCCAGCAGGGTCTCGTTTCTCGGCAATGCCTAGCACGTGTAAGACAAATTGCATTAATCTATAAGTAAGTTCCTCATTCATATTCATTCACTCACTCGTACATACATATTCTTATTTTGGATACTATATAATTGATATGATAACTTGGGCAGACGAACAAAATAGATGTGTCTTACAGGCAAAGAGTTGGTCACGGTTCTGAGCGTCGAGGATTCGGTTGGTGGGATCGTCTCCGGCGGCGACGGGGCGGAGAAGGCAACGACCGGAGGGGGTGCAGCCAGAATTGCAGAGGGTGCGTTGTCGCCGAGAGCGGAGGGTGTTGCAGAAGAGGGGACAGGTCGTGGAGACACAATGGGCTGGCACGGCACGCTCACAGAATTCTGTAGCATCCCCAATGGTCATCCCACCCGAGATAGCTTGACCCTCCACGACATCCTGCCTTCCTGAAAAGGTACAACCAGTAGGGACGTGGTATTGTGTTTTAGAAATAAGAATAAGGCAGTCAAATAATGGGAATTCATACACTTTGAATATAATACCTGTGAGGAGGACCACACCAAATAGAAGAAATAAAGATGCCTTCATATCAATGTGCTTAATGGTAGGAAACTTTTGCACTGGAAATACAGATTGCAGCCTGTTTGGAGTACAAATAAGCTGAGATTGAGAATTATTGCTTCATATAACTCGATGACCTTTATATATGCCTCTGGATAAAAACCTATGATTCAAATGATGAATAATATCATTCGAAGAAGTGTTTACTTCTTTTTCGGCTGGTGGAAAAGATTTCTTCAGCCGTTTATGCTTACATAAGCATGCTACATAAATACATACATGTAAAAGTCATTATAAAATAACTTGTTTTATATTAACTAAGTTAAGTACAATTATTATTGGGCAAGATTAATGATTAATGATCTTACTGTCCAGTTGTTAGGTCATTCTGAGGAAGTGATTACGATACATGAGTCCAGTTTACATTAACGTTGTACATATATGTATGTATTTACTATATTTATTTTAGTAGTATACTTGTGAGAGGTCTTATGTACATGTAAATCTTGTGTGCATATTTAGGAAATTTTCCTCGACCTGTAAACTTGAATCCCAGTTACATACATATTATAACTTGAGTCCTACGTGGGTATTTATTTATGACACATTTCTTGGATAATACAACTCACCAACCTTGATGATAATTGGCTAATCAATTAACAATAAAAACAATAATTCTATAGCTATGCATTATTTTAGTCATCTAGTACATTTCATATTAGATTAAGGATAACAAAAGGGAAGTGTTGCAAATCATGTGAAAACACTTTTGCCTACGGACGTACTAAACGAACCGAGTCAGATTATGAGACTTGTAAGATTGTACAAGTTCCTTTATGCAGAAACTTTGAAATAGTAACGGGAAATCGTCCAAACATATGTACCAAGTGTTGCGAGATACCAGAATGCGTAAATTATTACTTTTGTCACGCTATAGATTTGACTTTGCTTGGTAATGTAAAATTATATACATCAGATTTAAAGTTTTTGTAAGAAATTTATTACAGACCACGAATTTAGTAGTACAATTTCTTTAATGTTAAATCTCGAATTGAACAATAAATCATTTTCATTCCATTCAATGGAAGATAATGTATCGTTAATATCAGAAGCTTCTAACGAGTCTGTGGACAACCAACTTCCACAAAGACATTACGTAGACCGAGGAACAAATACTGAAGGTAAAATCAATATTGACAAAGTTTTAATGTGGTACCGTTAACAATGATTTATAAACATATATTTTTTGCATCAATGTAGATACATTTCGGTTGGTCCCGTTCGAAATTGATCACTGGGCGAGTAAATGCAGCAAATTTGCCGATGAATTTCAAAATAGTCGGTCATTCGAAGATGCGCAAATGAATATTTCCGAGCTAGAGGAGAGCCTGGATGAATATCTTAAATTTCGTTATTCCGACGAAGAGACGTTGAGAGTCGACATTTTGCTGTATGTAATTCTTGCGAACATTATCGATGGATTGGATGCAAATAGTCACATTTATACTAATGAGGTACATATTCATACATAGAGTACCACCAAATTTATATTTTCTAGTACTTATTGACTCGCAATATACATAAATTTCCAGGTGCCGTCCGTCTCAAAAATTTTGACAAAATGTCTTTTAACTTCCGGTCAACTCGGCCGGTACGGATTCCAATCGTTTAAACAATCAATGAAAGCCATTCGCTTTCTCATAGATTTCTACAAAAATCGTAAATTAGAACCTCAAAAAGTACCAATTGTACTCTGGCAATCTGTGAAAAAGGTGGGTGAAAAAGGGACAACTCCATATCCAATCTTATATCCAGCAGAATTTCGATTTCACCTCGACGTATGTCCTGATACTGAAAGTTGCAAAACTGTCCGACTTGATTTTGGAACTATCTCCACCACTCCAATTGTGCTAAGACATTGCACGTCAACGCTAGAAATAGTGGAAGCACTTAAATGTTTACCAAATCAGAATTTAGATTTTGGTTGTGACCATATCCAACCCAAGTTGGAGTTGAGAAATGCCCCTTCATCCTCCATTGACCAACAACGCTCAACAAAGCTTGCGGATATTGGACTGCAGCAAATGATAATTTGCGACATTGATTTAGGCCTTTCTTCGGACAAATTACTCATCTCGGACATTGTACAAGGTCAACCCCAATATTCAAAGTCTTTTCAGCAATTTCAAGTAAACTGTAGTGGTTCGGTCGTTATAAGGTTTAAAAGCAGATATTTTGAGAGCGTTACTGCGGATCGAGCAAACTTTTATATTCTTGGGACAAAACAATACTACGAAAAACATTCTCAAATTCTTCTCGTGGACGTTAAAAATAAAAATGTGGAATTATGTGATAGTGATCAACACTGGTTGGTGGCTGATTTACAAGGGAAAAAAGTTCAAGATGCAGAAAAAATTGAGGACATTAAAGGTTTTAAATGGGATCTCAAGTTTGGTTCTTGCAAAGCAGGGTGTTGGACAAATTCAGAAATTCACTTTGTGGATTCACTAACTCTCCTTCCTCTGCTTGAAGATTGTTCAATTTCTTTTGAAGACCATGTTTGTCCAACTGACACTAATTTACGACCAAAATGTCCTGATTGCAAATTAGTAGACGGTCTTACTATAATTTCTGTTGATCAAGTTTTCGACTCTGGAAGTGTTCAAATTAATGTTAAGCTAGACTTGAAAAGATTAGGACTCGTCAATACCGATGGTACTTCAATTGGTAGTGTTAAAACTGGAAAATTCGCCCTGTTCAAGTTCGCCCTTTCCATTCCATTGGAGATTAGGGGACTATTGATGGAATTGCAGAAAGAAAGTACCCTTCGAAACAAACGAGAAGTTCCCGTTGGCATATTTAACCAAGAAGATTTTAAGGAAATAACGAAATTATGGGAAGATCATAAAGATTATTATTATGCTGTTTGGTATGCATCCTGACGAATATAATACATAAAAATATTTATGAATGTACACATTTTGAATGGTATTGTAATTGTCAGATTTATTCCTGCTTGTCATGTGCTGTGATTTGATAGGTATTTATTAATTATTTATGATGTTACATTGATTGCCAGTATTTTTTACTCATATTTGTAATATATATTTACTGATTCTAAACGAACATATTTTTACGTTTCTGTACTACGTATGTATTCAAAAAAGCAATTGCATTATGATATTTATAAATATGCGTAGTATGCAACAAAATTTCCAAGAATAAAATATTTTACAAAATATATACGATCCGAATTACTTTTTGGGAATCTTTGCATTGATTTTGGGAGTCAACTTCTTATTAATGCTGGAAACCTTTTTGGTCACTTTAATCGCTTGAGAAGTTGAATCTGCCAACTTCTTACTGATTTGATACTCACTCGTATTGTCCACGGATAAAATTGCTCTTCCTGCCGCTGGAGATGGACTGCGACTCCCTGGTTGTGACTTACTTGATGCCGTAAATGTGTCCAAACTGGTTGTCGCTCTTGACCTCGAAGTTGACAGCGCTTCAGCTGCATCATATACGTACCCCCAAGATTAGAAACATTAAATTCAAAAATTTCCATTCACTCTTTGCTACCTCTTTTCCGATTTTCCACCTTTATCCTCAACATGTCTCGTTTATAATCAATCTCCTCGATACCAGTCATGGGTTGAAAAGCAATCATCACTTGTTGTCTCGATATGAGTTCTCTGTCATACTATCAAATGTATGTAATTAAAGAACAAGATCCTTCAAAAGGTTAATAAAATTTCAAATTTAAAAACTGACCTCAAATGATCTTACAATGTATTTTCTTTCGTATATGGGATCTCGAGACAAAACGTGACTGTCTTTCCGACTTTTACGGTTTCCTCCTTTTGAATTTCCGTTGTAGTTATCACCACGACTTTTGTCAACATTTGGGCTTGGACTTAGTCCATTAATTCCAAATTGTTCAGTAGAATCCTCAGCATGATCAATGGTAATTGAAATGTTGGGTTTATTCTTGTTTGGGCTGGGGCTACGATTTCTACTTTGCATACCGTTTGATCGCTGAACTGGCAGCAATTTATCCGTCTTACCAAGTGCCGAATCTCCTCCGGTAAAAAATACTGAATTTACATTACCAGGACTGGGAGGGAGAGGAGATGAGTTTTTAATGGTTTGAGAATTGGCCATTTATGTAATTTTAGTAGACAATGCTATTGTTCTATAATTTAATCGATGAGGTTGAAAATAAAATCAAGTCAGCGATCGTAACTATATTGATAAACTAACTTGCAACGACTTCCAAGGTGCACATAAATACTTGACATAAATAGGTCAAGTGGTGACCTATTTTGCAAGCTCTTTTGGTGTGACTGCGGATACGATGCGATGTTGCATTGCCCTTTATTCAATTTGTTTCACTTTGCCTCATAAGTTCCAGCTCATTCTGTGTCTTTTATATGTATTTCGTTGAGACAGGTACAAATTAATGCTTCGAGGAACACCGACAATATCATTTCTCTGGGTGTTTGGTCGATGACATTTCTTCCTTTTTTATGTCCTTAACATAATTTTGCCATTTCTTTGTTATCTTTGACGAATGATTAATAGATATGTTTGATGCTTGCACTTCAAACAAATGTGTGTCTATCCTAGAGAAATGGAATTTCACCAAAGTATGTGTATACCATATTGCATAAATACATACGTGTGCATGTAGATGAGACATTTACGAGTCTCATAGTATTTAGATACGAGTATGAGTGATAAGAATTTAGAGCTTATCGTTTTGCAGGGTTGTTGAAGGTATTAAAACAACAATATCTATAAATTTAAGTACTTTAACACCGAGTATCAGTATTTTTGTGACATTTATTTATTTATAAGCTTTCACTTGTGCAAGTCAAGGACGAAAAAAAGTAATGGAATTGTTATTCATTTCTGTTTTGCATTTCAAAATACATTCTTCGATAACCTACATTATCAGACAAAAATGATTGATGGGGTAAGAATCTTTACATGCATCAAGATCAAGATAAATCCAAACGTTATCATCGACCTGTTTACCCGTTTCGTTTTCATCAGTTTAATTGTTCAACACAATTATTTTGCATTGACATCGGAAAGTATAATTAAAACTTCAAGTATTTAAACAAAAATTAAAATGGCTGCTAGTTTAGCAGGCATTAAACCTTTGCTTAATTGGCTCGCTTATTGTTGTATCGCCTTGGGATTAGTAACCTCCGTACAGGGTGCTCAAGAATGGGACAACTTTCGACCCAAATTGCATTACAGTGTGCAGCTAAACTGGCTAAACGACCCGAATGGCTTGGTATTTGTGAATGGAGAATACCACATGTACTACCAATACCATCCAGGTAGCTCGGTGCCAGGCCCGAAATCCTGGGCGCATACAATTTCCAGAGACTTTGTCACATGGTCAGATCTTCCCACAGCGCTCGAACCTGATGAGTTAGGTTGGACGAAAGACAATTTCTTCCACTTTTTCACAACCTAGCGGATTTATTACTTTAATTTGTTATCGAATTTTAGGAGATATTTGGAGTGGAAGCTCGATCGTCGATTTCACCAACTCCTCAGGTTTTCAAACAAACGTGGATGTTTATCCAATTGTTGCCGTATTTACCCATGCTGGTCAGAGTCAACAGCAGAGTATTGCTTATAGTAATGACTGGGGAAGAACGTTTACAAAATTTGCACAAAACCCTGTTATTCCAAACCCAGGTATACTATTTGGATGGTTAAATTTGAAGTCCATCCATTAATAAATGATGCTCATTGTTTAACCTTAGGAAAACAGGACTTTAGAGACCCTAAAGTTATCTGGTATAATGATGAGTCCTGGATTCTAGTATTAGCTGCAGGTGTCAGAATAAAGCCATCTTTTATGATACTTAATTTTATAATCCAAAAATTAACTAGTTATGAATCTAAATTCCTTGAAAAAAGCAATTTTCTAATTACTAAATTAATTCAATGCAGAAATCTCAATTGTAAATAATATTCTCAAACAAATAAATCTCTACTCTGTAGGCGACCGAGTAGAGTTTTACATTTCTCAAGATTTGAAGAACTGGTCGTTATCAAGCGACTTTGGAGCAGATCCAGATCAAGGACTAAAAGGAGTCTGGGAATGTCCAGATATATTTCCCCTCGAGTTCGATGGGGAAACTGTATGGGTACTTTTGGTCAGCAATGGGGGTGGAGGTATCAATAAATATGAAACAAATACAACCAAACAAAATGAACTTACATATTTATGCCAATCAATGTTTTACTTTTTATGTACAAGGTCCCAATGGTGGCTCAAATACGCAATACTTTGTCGGCACTTTTGACGGCACTACATTCTCCAGCCCTCAAATTGATCCTTTATTTATGGATTCTGGAGTAGATAACTATGCTTCAATTTCCTTTTTCAACGAACCGAGGGGCAGACGAGTAATCATTGGCTGGATGACAAACCTGATGTATGCCAACGATATTCCGACGGGAGATTGGAGAGGACAAATGACAATGGCCAGAGAAGTAAGACTAGCAAAGAATTCCGGTAATGCTCTTAGGTTGAGGTCCCTCGTCGTGGATGAAATTGTAGAAAAATTGGTGGATCCGAATCAGGAAATTTCAGTCGGCATAACAGGAATCGCCCCTGACACTACCATGTATCTCACAGATTCAGTGCCCTGGAATAACTCATTAATGCATCTTAATTTGTTTATCGACGTTGGAGGACTATGCCAAGGATGCAGTTTATCTATTTGTTTTTTGAATTCGAAAGAGCAGGAAATTTGCTCAGGTCAGTAAATACACATATTTATAGCGACTGTGGGGCAAGAGCTCTACAGTGATTCATGAGTGCCTAACCTTTTAAAATATTTCACACTTAATTCAAATCAATTACTTAATTGGATAAAAATGTGATGTTTTTAATTTGTTTGAAGGATACGACCATGGCCGAGAACGGCCCTTGTTTCTGGACCGGGAGAGAAGTGGTAGGACAGATTTTAATCCATCCTTTTCCAGACGATTATCTGCAATTCGAGAAATTCCGTTGGATGGTGCAAACAACATCTTACAGTTCGAAGCTTTCCTTGATCTTGTCGCAATTGAAGTGTTTTTTGACGGAGGAATGACACCAATGACGTCACTTTTCTACCCAGAAGAGCCTTACACTTTTGTGGAGATTCGGCATCACGCTCTAGGAAATATAAATAGTAGATTGTCAATTGCGTCGGGTTCTGTATTTCAGGGGATGAAGAGTATGTACGAAGTATAATGAGAATTTTGTTTGTATTTAAATAAGTCGAACATTAGTAATAATTAGTGATTAGTAAAAATATGTATTACCAATGTCTGAATGAAATATATATTTTTTCCGGTTATTAATATTTACGTATTGAAAAGGCATGCGAGTAATAAACATTTTTGCATAAGCATGGAATTTCGGTTATACAATTAATTGGCAATAAGATATCTTGTCTGGAAAACACATTGGCACTGTCTTGCGTGTGGGTGAGATTTAACGAGTCGAAAAGATAAGGAAAAACGCAGAATTAAATTATTTCATCTCACAATTATTAGAGATCTTACATAAAAACTACTTATCTGCAGTCATATTTCTAAAAAAATTGTGTGAAGTAAATTTTCATTTTGGTATTCCCTCACGAATATAAATGCAGTCAATATTTGGTCAGTCAAATTGGTGTTCATATCAAACTAGTTAGAATTTGGATAAATATGTATGCAAAAGTATATGTAAAATTGCTAAACGAAATGCAGAATATGGACAAAACTATGCATTCAATATTTTTAAGCTGCTTGGAGTCATTATTCATAGTAAGCTGAAAATTACTAGTTTTAGTACTTTAGTAGTAATTTACTCGTAGTAGAATGAAAAAAACAATACCAGGACGACAGTATGAAACGAAGCAGACTCAAGGAATCATGGCCGATGGTACATACACGCAGACATTTTTTGCGAGAAATAAGATTGAGAAGCTCGTTACTCAATATGATTGCGTCAATCATGCTTAGTCAACGCATGCACTTGAAATTACGAAATTGTTGGATAACGAGTTTGTTTTATTAGGCATGAGTACTCGTGAATGCTACAATATTAGTCGAAGAGTGCACTTGATGGAACCAAGGTGTCGTCGAGTACAGTTGTCAAGATCATTGTCGTATCTATCTTGTTTGGAAGCAAGTGCTTTTAATAACAGTACATATTTTCGACCAGCCTTGTACATAAGCATATATACATACATATTTAGAATGGGGGAGATAACGGAGAGTGAGCAACTTGTGTTAGTCAAGGTGAATTACATATCTATTATTATGCATCGTCCGTTTTAAAAAAACTGTAAAGTTATTAATTTAGTTTAAAGAAAATTTGTCGGACCTGGATCTTGTAAACAACAATTTTCTCTCTGATATCCAGCTCATTCGCTGGCTAAGAGGTAAATATCAGCACTTGCTTTGTAAATATTAACACAATATGCATCCAGTATGATATGCTAGTTAGAAAGCAATGATACACATGTCGAACTCTTAATTTTCATGCAGCAAGGGATCTCGATGTGAAGCGTGCTGAGCATATGCTTAGAAATGTAAGTCATCCATATGCAGAGTTTCGAAGCGTATTGTATTTCATGTTATATTTGTAAATATGAAATACATAATATATGTAAATGTATATGTATGGAAATAGACTTTGGCTTGGCGTGAGAAGAATGACATCAAAAATTGTCTGAACCAAACTATCCCAGAATCAGTTCGAGCAGAATTTCCAGTTGAGACCGTGGGATACGATAGAGAAGGGAACCTCTTAGGTTACATTTCTATTTTTTTAATACTTTTTGTGTACACAATTCTTGCATGTCTGAAAATCAATAACTTTACAATACATTTTCATAGTTTATATTCCGTTCGGAAAAATGGACATGAAGAAAGGTATTTTAGAATCGGAAATTCATCATGCAATTTGTCCAGATTCATCTGAATCTGGACAAATTAAATTACTTATATACTTTTATGTATTTTTCACAAATACACAAAGGCTTGAGAGAAGTGGGGAAAGAAGGTAGCAACAATATGCGAAATTACTATTTGGAAACAATTTTTGGAGCCATATTGAATAAGAATCCAAAGAACAAGATGCAACGTGCCTCCCTGATTGTCGACTTCAAAGGACTGACATATATGCAGTTTGCAAGCTTGGAGGGTATAAAGGAATATTTAGTAATTCGCCAATTTAGTATCTTTACATATATTTATTTTTTTAAATAGTTTTTGAGTATCTCATGACAAGCATTCAGATTTTCGAGCAGCACTACCCTGAACTTCTTAGCACCGGATTTGCAATCAACAGTACGTATCAATTATTATTTTTATTTCAAACATCTGCGAAATTTGACTTAACAGAAATAAATATACACCCAAAATAAAATATATTTATTAGCACCAAGTGTCTGGAATATGCTGTGGACTATGTTAAAACCTATGTTGCATCAGAAAACTCAAGATAAAGTTGTGATTACGGGATCTGATCCACAAGTTATAACAGAAGTTCTTGAAAAATATATTTCGAAGGATCAGTTTCCTGAAAAATATGGAGGCTATGTCAAATTGCAATATCCGGTAATTTTCTCACGAATAACAATAACTATCATTCCTACCGAGTTCAACTCACATTTTTGCAGGAGCCTGTAACTATAAACAAGGACGACAACCAGAATGACCAACCAACATTGCCTCCACCCAGCAAATCTTTCTTTAAAAGTATAATTGGCAATTTTAAAAGCTGATGTTGAGAAATTCAATCATTTTCTTATCAATCATTTATCAATTCAATTTCCGTATACTGAATTTTAATAATGTAAATATTTAGATAATCTATTTCGTGATTGTGTACATAATTCTCTAATATTTATTCGCATTTTAGTCAATTTGAACAATGTGAGTGAAAAATATTAAACGGGATTTATGTATGTGAAGAGTTTTATGTACGCCTTTATATTTGTATCCGCTTCTGCTTCATCGTCTATTGCTACTGCACAATTTGAATATTTCGATGAGTGATGATAACCTAAATAAGAGTCATGATAATTATTAACTGAAGACGTTATATATACTTTACCATACTATTGTGTACTATGAATACTAATAATACCTGAGATGTCCCCATGTTTGGTACGGCAGCTACATAGCTTTCTAAATTTGACGGTGGTATGTTCGTTACAACAGGATTTCCATTGGCGTCCTGTGTTTGCACTTGAGTGATAAAAGGTCGTCTATCAAAGGGGTATCCTGTATTATGCATGTCATTATTAGAATATGCATGTATCAAAATCTGCATATGGATAATGCGGGTACATGAAAAAATTATGATTTCGATTTTTTGCTACGTATTACCTAGAGGCTTTGCATCTGGGTACGGTTGTCCAAGAATGCCGCAGTGAATGTGGGAAGGGATACACTGTCCAAACTGAGATTGGCTTGTCCCTTGGACAAAGTCCGTGTCCGCATTCGTAATCATGACGAAAAGATCAAAAGCCATTCCTTCCTCCGTACCTTTGGGGAGGAGAAGATGATGCGGAAAACCACACTCACAATTGACTGCTCCCGTTCGTCCATTTATAACATCTTGTCGCAGTTGTTGAACAGATGATTGCTAAAAATGAGAATATACAGTCTTGGCATAGCGCAATCTTTGCTACATATCAATTTTCAGGCGTGCTTGAATTATTTGCTTTAAAACACGATGCTGTAAATCAAACGAAAGCTTACCCAAGGAACCGTAAGGGTTGAATCAATTGACCTGCGGGTAATCATGTTTGCACCAGGTTGAACTATAGTCATAATTAAAATCCCAAGTTCAAATTTTCTGAAATTTCTTAAAAATACCAATTAAGCTATACTCACTACTCACGAGGCTGTATGAAAGAATCCATTGTAAAGAAAAGCCCCCTCTGTTCATTAAAAGTGTAACGTTCTTGAGAGGCCAAAGACTTGTAGCGAGGAGCCATGAAAATGCGGACGAATCCGTTTGTCACTCGATTTCGGTTATTATCCTAGAATTTATTGAATGAAAATAAATAATATTTTATTTACAATAATATGTATATTGATATGATTTGTGCATACCACTTGAATTTGATATGTGAACTCCTCATGGTCCAAGTGTTTGGCACAGACACTGATGGTCGGGGCCCCGTTGACGTTATTGGGATTAAAATCTAAACCTCCTTGCAAGTTAAATTGACGACGATTCCAAAAGGTGCCCAATCTATTTGGAGATGATTGAGCAGCAGCCGATTGAACAGCGACGGAATTTATTCGGACTCCATCAAAAATGAGGGGGTAGTCGCCCTATTCGTAAAAAAAGTAAAATACTATTCGAGTTTTACAATCAATAGATATTAAGTAAAACGCTAAGTACATAATCTTACAGTAGAGAGAACATAAGGAGGCAAGAAAGTATTTTTGTACGCTGAGAATAGATTATCAACGCCCTTGTGTATTCTGTAGAATATCATGTCACGCATCGCAGTCGCGCTGTGTGCCATTACGCCAAGTGAACCCTTTAAGATTGAAAAATATGTAAGTCAATTGATTTGACCTGATGGTCAGTCATGGTCAAGATGTAAAAGAACGCACCGCTGGAAAATTTCCTAAGATGCTTGCAATAACAAAATGTCCATCATTATGAAGACCCGGTTGGCCATAATATGTCGGATTTATAGAAAACACCGAAGCTTCAAACATATCACCAAGAATGTTAATGTTATCCGCATTCGATAATGGGACGAATCGTCCATTCTTGAAGAAAAATAAGGAAGACAATCAGAATTCTGTGGCATTATTTCGTACAAGAAATTAAAATGAATGACTTACGACATTTACACTTCCCGTGGTCAGCAAGTCAACAATTCGTTGGCGATATGTAGCAAGGTTTTGAAGGCGCGTTCCTACATCTCGGTTGAGGGTATTGGCCTGTGTATGTATTTATATTTGAGGTTTAGAATAAAAGAACGGTCATAGGATTTTACAATGAAAAATATTAAATCTCATTTTGCTTTACATACATTAAGTTGAACATTTGCTGGTCTCGGTGCCCAAAATTGTGAGGAAATTGCATCGGTTAAGTGGGGGTTATAGCCTTCTGCTAAAACAGAGTTCCAATCCAGGAAAAGTGGAGCTGGTTCCACAGGAGTTAATCCATTTGCTAGTCTCTCAGTTGAATATCTTGCAATATTTAAAAACATAGTGAGCACTAAATTAAGATTAATACAAACATTTATGCATTTCAAATTTCACACCGAGCGAGTAGGTCATGGTGAACCATGTAAAACAATTCTCCTCTTCTGGAGATGGGTTGTCCAGACGAGGTTGGGAAGATCAAATGCCACACAAAGTGATGTGCATTTAGTTGAATGTCTTCCCGAAAGTACCAAAGTGCATTATCAGGTCCATTATCCCGACCCACCGTTTCATCCAAAGTTACACATTGCTGCAGAAAAATGAGAATTTATAAAACATAACGATTGGTTCGTGGGACACGTTTTACGGTCAGGAAATAAATATGTAGCTGACCTGTGAAGATACAGATGGTTGTGGTTGAGGTTGGACAAATTGCTGAGGAAATTGTTGTTGGGGTTGAGGGGGCTGCCGCTGAGGAAATTGTTGTCTCTGCCACCATGGAGCAAACTGACGCTTTTGTCTCGATTGTTGAACCCCATTTTGCACGGTGACCTGGTCCTTGGCCGCTTTCAGAACGACATCGGGAAAAAATTAGGAAGGAAATAAGTCTATTGCGCTGGGTCTTTGTATGCGTAGTGTATTTGGAGAACCACGGGTTTGGGCTTTGATGAAAGCAGCATACCAAACATGAGGATGTACTTCCGGCCTAGATTTTGTAAACTGCGAAAACTCCAAAAGAGAGTCGAGATCCCTTTGATCTATATTATGTGGCATAAACTAATTAAAATCACCACATAAATATTTAATATTCTACATGGTTTTACTTATCAAGTACCTTGAAATAGATTAGTCAAGTCTTCTACAGCACTACGATGTTCAGGATTGAAACTGGCGAACAGACCACGTGGATGGCATTTTTTTGCAATTTCTGTCAGATTATTTCATATGTTTGTCCAAAAATGTTAAAATTTGGCGATTGTGGTACATTGGGATCCCATTTATTCCACGGCATTGTAAATACGTCAAAATAATTTTGGAAGAATTTTGGGAAATTAATGGGAGAAACGGACTGCCCATCTTGCATTTGACTGTGTGCATTTTCAAAAATAATGCATGTAATGAAGCAAAAATGCACAAGACGATTCATTTCAGTGGAATAAAAAGTGCATGCAAGCTAATATCCCAAATGAAGTATCTAAAACATTTCTCTCCAAATTTAACGTACTTCCTTTTCAATTGGGTTCCAATCGCCTTGAAAGTTACTTATAAATTAAATTTGATGAATGAGTTCATTGTTTCTGAGCAGGATATGTTCGTATAATGTGCATATTAAGTATATCCAGTCAGTTTCAACAATGGCAGAATTTAATATGTAATTTCCTCGCATAATGCAGTTCATGACGTTTTGTTGAACTAAATAAGATCAACTCAATAGCAATTTCTTGTGATATGCTAATATGCAACATTGCATACGTATTAAGGTATGAATTTTTTTAAATATAAATACTTATTTTATTTTTAAAGCTTGAATCTTTTGACATGGATTAACATCACCGATTAAATTCATTAAATATTTTGATAATTATTCTTACTCTAGACAAGTAGCACAAGCGATGGATTGCATAGAAATAAAACTACTCATTTTTCTGGTATTTTAACAGTTGCATTTGTCCACACATTCGTATTAAATAGCTTGAGCATCGTGAAATTAGAGTCTTTAAAGAAGATTGCATTCTGGCATGACAAACTTGCGAACTTGATAGACTTCAAGCAGTTCCATTTGATCCGCACAATTTTATAGAAAGATTGATTCTTAATCGTTGGTCTGAAATGATTTATACCCATCAACAAGACGACTGGCAATTGACAAGTCATTATCAAGAAACTTTGACGTTTCATACGCCATTTAAATCTTAATTATCCTTCTTGGCGGCTCCTCTGCTTCTTGTGGTCACTCGCTCAGTATTGTTATTTTCGGATAGAGCGGCAGCCGCGTCTAATTTTCCTTTGGCCGACTTGCGTCCAAGATATGCCTGCATGAAAAAGTGGATGAAGAGGACGAAATAGGAGGCGTACATGACCAGGCCCATGTTCAAGTGGTGGTAGGAAATGTCACAAGCATCTCCATTCATTTTCGTGGTGTAAGCGTAGAAATTGACGGATAGTCCGACGACCATTTGGGACAGTTGAAGGCAAGTGATAAACATGGCGATGGGGCGTGGAACTCGGAATTTTAGGGACTGCAATGCACCGTCAAATGTACATACATTAGTTGCATATAATATATAAATATTTATGTGTTTGCATAATGCTATTTAGGTTTATAGATTTTCTTACTTTCAATAGGTAATACGAATACATTAACGAGTGCACCAAGTAATTCATAACAACGAACCTAAAAAATGGTTAATTGGAAACTTAATTGTTGTATATATTAAAACAGCGAGTCATAAATAAAGTATTAATGTAAAATATAGTACCATCTGGCAGCTGAGACATATGAAGCGTAGCTATAAAACGAATAAAGTAATACCGTGCAATGGTGATACCTGGAATTAATATGTAAATCATAATCTCCTCTTTCATTTATTTATGAATTGCATAAATTTCCATGTTTGTTAAATTTAGAGTTACCAGTGCAGGAATAGGAGTGGCGATTTACGCAGAACAATAAACGCCGTATCTCCTGCAAATTTAATTTAGAAAATTAATTAGATAAGAATACTATTAATTAAGTATGCATTAGAGGAGTAAGTGTGGCAGCATGACTGCTGAGAATACACGCTAACTTATTAGCCAAATACTTATTGTAGCACAAGCTTGGGAAAATTGATCTTCAAGCTTAGAGGAAATGTACGACAAGAGGAATGCCACTCAAATGTCGCTTTTAGAAAAAAAAATTATTGGACTTGAAATATCTCACCCAATTCGAGGACCTTCGAAAGCACAAATGCCCAAGCCCAGAATGCAGAGGTCGGGCTCACATCTTCACTGCAAAATAACCAATACGACTTAAAATTCGGCAATGGATTTTTATGTAATACATAATAAATTAAAATTAAATTCAAGTGAGTGTTGTTGAAACATGACATAAATATTATTTCATAAGTCATTTGCATTAGTGATACTTTTTTCAAAATCGACAAAATTGCATTGTCCATGTATGCTGTGGGAAATAGTGACGGCTATCTTCCAATGTAACACGTTGTCGATCTATGTATCGTTTAAAAGAAATAGTGACATCGAACGAATGAATGGACAGATGTGCATATGTATTTGCACAAAGATGTGCATATATATTGGCAATGTAGGTTGTCGTTATTATTGCAAGGAGCATGGCAGTAGTGCGGTCGGTGGTGGATTACAGTTAGCTGACCGGCTGAACTCTTTTTCTCTTGAGCCACTAAAACTAAATACGATCAAACCAGTATTTGTGCAGCTCATCCAAAACAATGGTGCATAGATAGATGAATACATGGTCGAGTGCAAAATCTCAATGGAATTCCTTCCTCGTATCACTTTGTACAAAATGCAACCGACTTTAAAAAAAAGCTATTTTGTGGGACGATTCGTTACTTTGATGAATAATTAGACACTGCTGGGCTTTCTTTATGTGTCATGATTTCTTTCTGAATTTGTGCTTTTTATCTGCTTGGAATAAATTTCACATTAATGAATGCATCATAAGAGGGCATTGTCTATTTCAATCAACATATTCCAGCTAATGGAGCTGACAAAGTGCAATATAATACAAATCTATGGATGGGCAGGTGGACCCTTAAACCATTGTACTTAATTTCCCACATTTAGGAATTAATTGGACCATCACCTCATATCATCACAGAAAGAAGTGGTTATTGCACTTTTAAGCAGACTTGTAATGGTTGTTGTGAATCGCAACTTGTGATCAGAAAATCAAGTTTCACTATAACACAAAACCTACCACGAACAAGTATTAAAAATTGTGTTATTATACACTACGCAGGTTTTTAAATACCATCTGTGTACGTACGTTTATGTACGTATGAATCTGTGTTGCATGGGATATGAAGACACTGCATAAAATTATTGTCGGAGCCGGTTTGGAGATTGGGGAAATGGGTCGATTCGAAAGTGAATTTCTTTTCACTCAAAACTCCCGTTATTAAGGGGTGAAAGCCCTTTATAAGATCGTTATGTCCGTCTGTCTGTCCGTCCGTCCGTCTGTCTGTCCGTAGCTCCGATAACTTTTGAACGAAAAGACATAGACACTTGAAATTTTGAACGTAAACTCCTAACGTCAATGGACAGGACGAGTTCGAAGATGGACACTGTGACATCGTCACCTGTGACGATGACGTCGTCACAGTGACGAAAAGTGACGAAAAAGTGTCACTTGTCAGTTTTGACATGTGACACATCATTTTTAACTATTTTTCAATGAGGAATTCGAAAATTCATGTCATTTTGTGTTTGGACGTCACCTGTGACGATGACATCGTCACGGTGACGAAAAGTGACGAAAAAGTGTCACTTGTCAGTTTTGACATGTGACAAGTCATTTTTAACTATTTTTCAATGTCAAATTCAATGGTGACCTCCATTTTGACCTCAGAGGTCATGTAAAGGTCATAGGACATATCCATTTCAATTTCAACTGAAATTTAACCCCGAATTCAATGGTGACCTCCATTTTGACCTCAGAGGTCATATAAAGGTCACATAAGGGTTATCAACTGTTAAATTTGACACAAATAAGACACAAAAGTCGAAAACACGTCAGAAGTGTCAATCTTAACAAATTTTCGAACAATTTGATATTCACATTGACGTATGACACTCCTTTCACCCCTTGGTTACATGCGTTGTAACGGTTTATTATTGCAAGGATTTAAAAGATGCGTACAACAGGAGATAGTCAACACACGCACACTTATCTATTCTTGTGTTTTTTACCTATCTCCTATACCCTGCACATTCAAGTAAATATATTGTAGAGCACATTCTTATAATGATGTCAATCCCTTGCAAAAAACTTAGTGTCTCCTTTACGATTAGTTTCAATTCAACCGAGAGTTTCTGCAATGTCTGAGAAACTCTCGGTTCAACATTTCTCACTTTGCCTCATATTTGATATTTCTTTCCCCATAGCATACTCACCAAGGAGAGCACACGGAATGATGGAACCCGTTGGGCTGCACGAGAATGGCAATAAGTTCCGGAAGTGTGCGAATTGTGGCCAAAATTGAGAACAAAGCCAACGCAAAGTTCCAAAAGGTAAGGGCTTTGTTCAGATTGAATGGGGTCCTCCCTCGCATAAGACCTTGTCCCAGAAAAATGACGCCCAGATAGATAGTGATAATCACGAGAGAAATGTGCCAATTTCTGGACATCCACTCCGTTTTGTCACGGTAGTCAAACGTTGCAAAAAGCTCTAGCAGATGATTATTGCTAGCTGCAATGTGACCTGGACTTTGGGTATTCACTTCCTCCCCCATGTCGAAATCTGTTTTATTTTATTTTCTAAAACAACTTCAGTATTAACTACACTGCAAACTTTTGTATTTGTCGATTGACTCACTTTTTTGAGACACAATTACGATCTACAATTATTACAATACAGCAATTCTCAGTCACCAGAGAGTGAGTGTCCCACACCACATCCTGTTGGGGGCCGGATCAAAAGAATACTGTTGACGATTTCTTGGCGAAGAAGGAGGTGAAACGAGATCTTGCACATTCACATCGACTAAGCATTTGGCTTAGAAAGTGTGACGAGATGCTGGCGATGCACACACCTGCATCTCTATCTCCTTAAGATGGGATTGAAGATTTCAAATCCCAAAGAGGTGGACTTTTTCATAAGAAGGCCAGTTTATACAGCGTCAGTCGCTCGGTCATCATATGTGGTGGCTGTATCGTATCTCTTTATGGTTCATCATGCACCATTATCGTCGTCGACTTAACTTTAACAACCAATTTAGTTGCAAATTTTGCGGAGGGTGGACCAAATCTATATATGTACCTAGATATTAATTATTATTGGGAAGGTATGAGTATGATACATACCAATGACGACATGCAAGTTAGACTTTTAGACACATACATACATATATTATGAACTTATTATAATTCATTATAACCACCATTGCATATAGTGGTGAAGGAACTATGAACTTTGTTACAGGAATATGTAATATCTAACATGAATATGTACTTCCGTGATGAAAGTTTCATCAAATTATGAAATTCATAAATTATGTATCTTGTAATTATTATACAATTCGTTTGAAATTGCTAAAACCTTCCCGTCATGTAGTACGAGTATTGAAGTATGTTTGCATTTTGTCGTACATGTCACGTGGTGCATTGTGAGTCTCGTGGTGTCCATGAGAAAATACAACCCACTTCAAACAAAGTCAGGAACCCGGAGAGTGCGTAATTCATTCGTCGGCTCTTCTTGTACCGAACAAATCTCATGTTACTTCGTGCCGACAGTCAAATTAATTGTTGTATGTAAGGTCTTTTTAAACTCGAAGCTAGGTCGTCGAATGTGAAGGTGAGGAGTAGAGTGTTATGAGGAGTAGCTCAGGTCATCACGACATACCGACAGTGTCACACCAGGCATTTAAAACCAAGTTGATTTCTAAACAAGGTTAGGTTGGTTTAACCTGCCATATATCTGATATATCATATAAAATAAAATAGTTTGTTATTTGGTGTTGATTTTGTGCCCTGATTGGAAAAAAATTACTTGTTCTCTCATTTTATTTCAGACTTGCTAAAATTGTCTAACGGGCACGATGTTGAACTCGAGGAGCCACTGGAGCCAAGGTTTCGAGTGTTCAGTCGTTTCTGGGACAATGAACGAAAACGTTCCTACGCCTATGACCCAGCAGGAGTCGTCAATGTGGGGTCGTGTCCGTGAGAAATGGATGAGAATGGAGACAGCTGAGGCAGAGGCAGCAAATCCAATCAATCAATGGAGACACCAACAACCACTCCAAGACTGGTCCGAAATTCAGGTATTTTTATTTGTTTATTTTCTCCGAATTACATCCAAATATTTCTGTAAGTTCTTGACCTGGGTGATAATGACCGTGGTCCTGAAGCTGAAGGCAGTTAAGGCCATACGTTAGATGATACTAATTAAATTTCTTACGACGTTTCTGACAGCGGGTTACCACGTTGCATTACATTTTTGAAAAGATAAGAATAATAACTGCATACTGATTTGGTGATTATTCTTCTACCATTACAGGAGAGAAAGGTTAATCAAGTTATCAAAAACTTTTATAACCAATCTCTCAACGAGACCCGTCCAGTGAATACCAGCCTTCGCGATGCTCACCAGTTTGCCGTCAGCTACACTGGCCGAGGCTTATCTGCAGGCGACTTGCGCCAAGGCATTTTCTCGCAACGCACACACCGAGGAAAATACCGCCGACCATTCTAAGTGGGGAATGTTTACTACTCCTGACGATATTAAATATTTTGCCTTAAGTTCTAATACTCACGTTAATATCGCTTTAAAATTTAAAACTAAAAAAACTTTACAAATATCGATTCTTCGCAAAAGGTATGAATTGCTAGTGTTCGGTTAATTTCGTTTATATGAATTAGGTCGGAATACATAATAATTTCGGTAGAAAAAATAATATTGGCATTTTGTTATAAATCATGTCTTTATGACCGAATTGGCATAATTACTAATTAGTTAGAATAAATAAGAACAAAGTGAGTTGTCAGCAATATACGTTTTTTATTCAGTTCGCAAAAACATTGGAACTAAATTCCACTAAATTTTATTTCCATTTTTAATGAACACTCAATTAGTAGTTAAAAATAGAGGTAATAATAATTTGAAATTATGCGTGTTCACATTAGTCTACATATCAGTTAAAAAATGTCGTCTTGATTGTCAGTTAATGAAATATTACGTAAATTATTTGCATTCATAAATATAGATATCACAATTGAACTGGGTTTACAATTTTTGTTGATTTTTAAACGGGTTGGGTATTTTAATACTTGACAATATGTTATATTAAATAAATAAAAACATATTGGGAGGAAATTGTTATGCAATTATACAATTAATTAGTCGAGGAACCTCCGTTTAATTTTGTACATCAGGTCACCTTCATGAATGCCAATGGTCTTGGACCGTGTTTGTACTTGAACGGTGTGATTCCCAATATATTCCACCCTACCCCCACATGCGGAGACGAGTTCTTTCAACGCCCTTAGTGGGACGAACTCCATTTTGAACTGAAGGGGAACATTTAACGAGTTTAGGTCACAGAGTGTTTTAGCTAAATGTAGAGTTTGGCACGATCCACCCAGATCGAAATTGGTCCACGAAAACTCCTTAAGATTTTTCATAAGGGGAAGAAAATAATGTGGTATGATTACATCTAATCGCTTCCCTTTTCCCGCAGCAGAAGAAAATCGTCCCCCACTTGACGATGAGTTTGAATTTGATGAATTTGAAGAATCTTCCTCGCAAATCACTGAGCAGTTATCCATGTTCAAGACACAAAGGTAGATGAGGCTTGAAACTGATTTCGCCATCTCTTTGAAACATTTTTCATTTAGTGTATGATTGGAGTATTTAAACCTCCAGTTTTTCATAATCAAAGTCTGGAGTCTTGGAAGTTGCTTAATAAGCTTAAACGTTTCGATAGGGTTTAACTTGTCACTCGTTAAGGCACTAGGAATTAGGTCTAGTTTGTCAATACTAATATCGAGATATGTGATTTTGCTCCGATCAATTTGTGGAAGAAGGTAAGCAAAGATTTCTGGCGATTTGAGTAATGTCGATTTTTGGGGTTCAAGCGTCATTCCCCCCAATCTTAGATAGCTCAAATCTTTAGGGCAGATCTTGGTAGAAAATGAACTAAAAAAGTTGGATGATGTGCCCTTTGTGTTCAGGCTGGTGGTTGAGCCCCCACTACTGTTAGAGTTGTTACTGTAGTGTCCTAATAATCTGGAACCGAATGAGAAACCGAGTCCCCCACTTCCTTTTCGGAGAGTGGAAGGATTACTTTTTGTTGGCGTTGGTGTGGTGGGTGTTTCTGGACGTTTTGATGATGAGCTTTTAGATTTTTGATTAAGGTTAACATGCATCCGGACTGAAGAGAGATCAAGGTCTTGGAGGGCAGAGGTGGCAAAAAAAGACTCCAACGTTTCGAGCGTTCGTTCCTCCTAAAAATAATTCATCAAGATTAGTTACATATATAATGTATTATATTTTTTATAAACTATTTAATATACACATTTAGACATCGATTCTACTACATCTTTACAGTTACTCGAGTTTGAAAATAATGAATACTTATTTTGTTCATACCTGAATATACATTGTCCATCCTTGAATTGATAGTAGCCTTAGGGTGCTATTTTTTGCCAAAGAATTTGTCTGCAAAACACGTACGTAAACAAGATTCAAGGTTGAGATCATACCAAATATTTAAATTAACTTGTTTCAAAGAACTCAAATTTATCTTACCACTAATTGTATTGCGTCGTCCCCGATGACGACATGATTAGAGCTCAGGTCTGCCATCTTCAGACTCGTGTTTTCCTGCAGCGCTAATAAAACTGGAAGGACATCGCACAGTTTCATTCCCTCCATTCTTAACGAGTGCAGACAATCCATTTTCCTAACAGTTTCTCCCAAACAAATCACATCCTCCCAGTTCATGACACATTTCGATAAGTTCAAAGTTCTCAATCCCAATAGATGAGGGGAAGTGCTGCGAAGAACACTGAAAATGGAGTGAAATCCATCCAGCTCATGGTTGGCACGATCACATATCGGCACTGGGAGAAAGTTCCTTCTTAATTCAGAATTGGACTTGTGGTGGTGATTGGTATTGTTGTTCAAACTGTTGCTATTGCTTAGACTTGAAACTGGACTCAAGTTTTGTGGGGAGCTGGTTCGAGTGGAATTGGAGTTGGTGGTGGTGAGCGGAGGGAGGACAAGAACCCCCAACATAGGAGACGCCGCAGGACTTATTGTTGTCTGGCGCATTTGTTGATTTGACTGAGAATTTTGAACCTGAATTTGTAGAGGTATTTGAGTTTGTGGGGGTGATGGAAGGCCAAGTTGATATTGATGGGGCTGCCGGGGACTGCCTAATAAGGGAGTGGATATCTGCTGCTGATGTGTCACTGTTGGGCCGGGCGGTGGCGGTGGGTAAATCATTCCAGAGTGGTTATATCCCTTCTTTCTCCGGATGGAGGGTGACTTTATTCCATTCATACTTCCTCCGTAGGTATTAAGTCGCTGGAGTGAACTTTTGTTTGAGGATAAACTGTTACTCACGTTGTCATTGAAGCTAAAGTTGTCCACAAGGTTAGGGAAAGGGAAGGGCTCCAGCACTACTTGATTTTCTTGTTCAGCAGAATTTGATCTCCAAGAACCCATGAGACTTAGAGAAAGGAGTGGCTTGACTTGTAGCAACTGAGCAAGGGCATGAAATCCTTCGGGACCGCAACCAAGATGCGGAAGGTGAAGCACTTCCAAACTTGGATGTGACTTTATAAATTCAACAAGTTGGACTAATTGTACGGAGGTTAGGTCCATGTCCAAAACGAGCTTCTTGAGGAAGATGCTACCCCCTTTTGATTCTCCCAGAGCTAGAGACAAGGCGTCCACCACGGGTTGAAATCGAGAATGCTCTTTATCTTCGAGACATGTCATTATGATTTCCAACGATCTTAGTTTTTTATTGAGACCCATGCTAAAATCACACATAACATTTATTATTATACGTATTAATCATTCTTGGTATACTTGGTATCGAATAAATTTTAATACAAACCTTTGGAAACACATGAGTCTGTGCAGTTGTGCACTCAAAAGGTTGACCTCAACTGGATTCCATTCACTTCCAGGGATAGAGGAGAACTTGATGGACGTTACTGACTCATTTTGACAAAGTCCTTAAAACAATTAATTAACGATAAATAAATAAATTCTTAATATTATCAAACACTTGCGTCAATTTTACCTTCAATAATTCTCGACAATGCAGCAGAGTAACCCGGTCTAATGATAATTTCCACCGACTCCAACGAACAGTGAGGAGATGATATCACTTGTTTGTATTCCGATACCCATTCTGAACCCAGATTAACGGTAATGTGTTTTAAATTGACTGATTTTATGAGTGAACACACTGCTCGCAAGTTTGCCTCGTAGAATCCTGCCGACCTATAAAAAAACATGTACATGTTGATTATCAATATTACAAATTTAACTACAAGTTCAAATATGACAACATATCGTATGCATACCTGAGTAGTGCCAGCAAATAGTTAAGACTTGTATCTAACAAGCTCAACGTCAGAAACAAACATGCTCCCTTGTTCTGCAAAAGTTCCATCAGGTTCTGCAGGTAGAAATAAACAGATTTAATGCATGGTGTTATAATTTAATAAAATATGCGTGAACTTACTCCTAACACTTGGAAGAGAATTGACTGAATTCGAACTTGATTTTGTTGCAACTGGTCCAAATCTGGAAGTAGGTCCAACTCTTTTCGAAGAAGTTGGGGGGAAGTGATTTGGAATTGAAGATAATACGCAGCAACGAATGGTGTGAGCGATGGATGAATCAGAGTCAATTTCTTGCTTGCACTAAACTGAGACTTTTTTGGTTTAACAAATATGGCCTTGGATCTAGAAAGTAGTCCAAGTTTCACCAGGTCAAGATTTCCGCAAAAAGCTAACACTTCCTGCTCTGTGTAAAAGATTCGGGAAGGTTCTAATAGTCCATCCTGTTGTGGAGTGTGTTGCTTGGAAAAGTTTGCGGAGGGCATTTTAGTCAAAACAAGTTTTCCAAAGTCTTGAACTTGCTTTTGGTACTTGGAGGGAATGCAACCATTTGAGGGTTCTTTTCCATGCCTGAACGAGGGGGATGATGTTGACGTGGAGGAGCTGGACCCTGAACCTGAACCATAACTTGACGTTGTGGCTGCGGTCTGCTTATTATTATTGCTGCTGTTGCTGCAACTTGTTTGCGAAAATAGACATCCGAGAAGGGTTGCGTATAATTCTGCATTCGAATATGGAATGTCTCCGACCTTAATAAACGACACAAAGGAAGAAACAATATTTTAATATCAAGCAAATCAAGTAAGTGGCAAACTGGGAAAAATTTATATATTACCTCTTCAAATACGGCACATAACAAAGCCAAAATAAATGGATTTGACGCTGTTTATATACAACAGATTATTATATTAATAACATATACAAGATTACAAAATTAACAAAATTGTGTTTTTACAAACCTAACACGAGTAAGTCATCCCTTTCCGACAGTATTTCACATAGCCGACTTTCACACCCCGAAAATTTTCGTCCTGTGAAGAATCGTCGAACAAAGAACTGAATTTGCCCCCACTCCATTCCATTCACTAAAAACTTTCGTACACTTCGCACACACAAACTGTTCATGTTTATTGTTGGGGAAGGTTTTGATGTCACTAACACCATTGACTGAGGAAACAACTGACCATTTAATAAGGATTCAATATCTTTCAGTATTTCAGAATCTTGTGACTCTTTATTTTTCAGATTCAAGTTTTCCGAATTCAGAACATCGTCTAAACCGTCGAGAATTATGAGAAGTGATGAACCCAATTGATTAAGCGCCTTGAGTAATGTAGAAGCTTTCATCCGGGAGGCAACCGATTGTTTTGGGAAAAGTTCCTTTAGGAGAAAGCGGGTCAAACTGCCACGAACTTGATTGAGGGGGACGTAGAAAATCTAAAATTTAAATGAACAAGGCCAAACATAGAGCTAACATTGACTTACATGGTGCTACACGTGGAATTATATTGTTATGCGTGGCTGCATACTTACCACTTGGAATTCACCGATCCGGGTATTTAGAGGTGTGGAAGTATAATTGTAGGTGTGATAGGAGATCCATTCATGAAGTAATTTAAGACAAAAGAAACTCTTCCCACTATTTGATTCCCCTTCCAACCACATTGTTCTAGAGGAATCGTCTTCATTCTGTCATAAAAATTACATAAAATTAACAATTCATACTCGAGAAAAAATTGCAGGCATGTTAAACTTACATTTATATTAAAAATCTGGTGAATTGGGATGGGTTTAAGGTTTTCTGTATTATTTTGATACTGTTGTCGCAGGTCAAGGGATGAATTAAGAAGGGCGGCCTTCTTTTTGGAGGAGGAGGACGTGGTTCCATAAATGGAGGGGAGAACTTGATACACAAGTGGACACAACTCGTCCAACTCTGAGGACCCCATTTGGCTCCGATACCATGGAGGAGCTTCTAAAACCTCGCCAAGGATCCATCGATATCTGTGACAGATGAGATAATTATATAAATAGCGTCAAAATGCATATTATGCAGTGTCGCACCTACATTGATTTGAAAATTTGAGTTCACCAGTACATATGCAAATCCACCTTATGCACTTTCATTTTATTTACTCCTAACGTTGCAAAAATGTGATGTCCTTGTTTTGTTATGTGAATGACTGCCGTATAATACTCAATTTCAATTTGCAATTATTTTCGTAATTTTATTCCGCACTTAGTCATTTGCATATTCAGCACAATAAACGATTAAGAAGAACTGTATGGCAGATTGAATTGTGTGACTTTGTCTACGTCACTCGATCAACAATGAAGGATCACACATCATCGTCACCATCATCACTTTTCATTAATTTCATTCCTACTCATACCATTGATGTTTATTAAAATTAAGATTAACTCGTCCTTGTTGGAGACGTAATGGTGACAATGTGTAATCGATTCGTTCCGAATATACAGCCATCCTATAGTTAAAGACTTATGTTGATTGCTCAAATTGCACTGTGACAAGTTTGAATCTTAGAACGCTCTGATTATTAATAAATATTACGCAACGTTTAATCCTCTTTCCCAAATACATTGCAAACTAATTAGTCTTGTTAATTGCTTTAGTTAGTCAATTGGCCTGCAAATTTTTTCACATGTATTACATGTGTATACAATATTGCACTATGTAGCGATTTAAAAATTTATGCCAATGCCAAACCAATGAAATTATGCTTAGTCAGTTAGATTTCCCGTAGAGCCCACCAACGGCAGCGACTATTAACCACTATTCTAAAACCTAACTACTACCAACATTCAAATCTAATTAATATTCAGCTCAACAAAACCACGCTCGCGTCATCGTGTAGCAAAATCTGCAGAATTACTCGAGCTCCTACCACAAGTCCATTTTTGGACGAAACAATCAACTTGATTGTATCAACCTGGGCCTAACAGAGAGCAAATTAAACAATAAAATGGAATTGTGAAAAGTAATTGGTTCTTATCTCCTGTTCTTTTAGAGACAAGACTCATTCTTGTTAATACTTAATTAAACAACAATTATTAAAAAATATGGAGACGCTGATAAGATGTTTTTCAAACTAGACATGTTTTTTCTTGCTCGTATGAAACTGTGATATGAATATTAAAATTCTGCTGGGTTAAACACGTGCACACATTTGTGAATGCAATATACGATATCATTGACAAAACCAACAGTGCTCACCTGGATAATAAGGCTTGTTGTAAAAAAGGTATCAGACTTGAGGAATCCCGATCCATCGTGTGGCTTGTATTGACTGCAGCAGAGCTTGAGCGCATTCCCCATGACCTCAGTCGCATAGACGAAGCTCGGCCATTACTCACGACAGGCTGACCTTTCGCGTGGGTGAGCGAGGGTGGGTTCTGAAAACGAATAAACAAAGTCAAACCATTACAATTTGTCATGCAAGGAATTGACAAAGAACGCGTGCTCACGTATTATTCCCAATAAAAAATAAGTATTTGACCCTGTAGCAGTTGTCAACTAGAGGATTACATTCCAGCTGCTCAAATCACGATTTGATAATAAAATCGTGATAAATTCCTGAAAAATGTGATGATCTTTTAAATTTTATGGTTGGCTTGGCTGGCTCAAATGTCATAAACGGATCTCTTCACTTTCGTACCGCCAGCCACAAACTAAACAACCTTTACCACCATGCCTAGGAAATGACTAACTGGATTAAAAGAATTCACGTTCACCTCACACTACTCGCCCTACTCGTCGTCGTCGGAATTATGAAATGCATCGACCAATGTCTAACGAAAGCAAGGCACACTCAATTGAACACGACCGACGACTCGCCCGTCAACTGATGAGATTTATATCTGCTCAAGTTTCAAAACTCTCTTCTTCCGTCCGTTTTTGGGCTGTGGTGATCACGTAAAGTAAACTATGGACAAAAATAGCTGGAAAGGAACTCTTCTGGTTTGTTGGACCCCCATCGACTAACATAACCTGAAGAGTGCATGACACTAAAGAGAAATATGGCATGGAGGAACCAACCCCCACAACAACATGAACGAAATCTCGTTTTTTGTACCTTGTGTGCCAATAATAAAATATATGATTAAATGTGGGCACAACAGTGAGACCAAAGTAAAACACACCTTATTGTTGGCTTCCCCATCGATGATGACTCTTCATGAGTTGAGCTATTCAGTTCTTCGTAATTTAGTAAAATGCGAAACACAAGCGTATCTGTGAATATTTTAGGTTTGCAAGTGAAGAAGATGTTTTGTTTTGAAACCATGCAGTTTTACTCGTTTTACTTGAATGATAATAATACTGCAACGTCGATTTAATTTAGTTTTAGATTTCACTCCTGTATGCACAATAGAACCAACAACCTCGTTATAAACCACATCCGACCAAACCTTAACCACAAATGAGATAAGAATTATTGTTGGTATATTTTTTACGTATGTAATACGTACAACCAGAAAAATTGACAGGACTGCTGGATCAGACAGATACAAACGTATGTACTCATTCCAGTCCCCAGTAAATATGTATGCGTGTATGTATATTGAATAAATAAAATCCGGTGGTTGTGCAAAAAAGTTTACAATCTAGTCTCACAATCGCAATTTACGACCATTATTCGTTCAACAAAAAAAAACACCAATCGAATTGTTGAAATGCAATTGAGGCGAAACGTTTCCTGTTCTGGCTAAAAAATTGTGTGTTCCGACATTTCTGGTACAATTATGCACTTTTGCATTTTAGAGAACTATCACATGGCACTCACCTTTATGTTTTTTCATTTTTAGAATTTCTTCACCGTAAAATGTTTTAGCACAGTTTCCAAAGTAGGAAGTTTCACTCAACCTTAAACTGTCAACATAAACCTCTCACTTATCATTTATTTGTTTTAAAACGTGCAAAATTAAACACAGCACAATGACCAGAGTAAAAATCAAGACTATTTCTGGTCAGGATGGCTGGAGTCTGGTGACAAATATTTGCTTAAAATGAATACGATTTGAATCAATGAAAGAGAAAAACGATGTTATGTTATATCAATATGCAGCACTATATTATTAGTTATCAGGCGCCATAAAATTATAGTTAATGTCCAGTCGTTTGGACATATTTAAAGGATGTTTAACATTCCACCACTAAATCCAAACTGAGTCTGCAAAACTGCAAAACATTTTGCTACGTGTATATTGTTCACGTCATGTGCATAATGGCATTTGGCATAAACATTTCATTTTCACACGAAGCACATGTATGCCAACAATTTCAAGGGGGATGCTTCAAGCTGAGGACATTCACAAGTCTTGTGAGGGACTACAAAAATTGATGAATAAGGTACTATTTTATCATCACCTTGCAGTAGTGTGTATGACATACATACATACGTTGGATAATACCTATTCCAATTTCCTGCATGGCTATTTTTGGTAATGCACGAGTATTAAATGAAACGGTTTAATAACGACCCAGTCCTCATATCCAGTCCTACCTCATTTTATATTCTACCATCACACTTGAATCGCATCATCCACTATGCAATTACTTTTTGTAGTCCATGCAAAAGATTTAAATATTATTTTTTAATATCAGGAAGAGTATAGGTATGTACATATGCGTTGCAAACCAAGCTGAATACGTATTTATAAGATACATATGTGTGCACATACATATCGGTTTTACAGACTCCATCATTAAATATTATTATTCCATACGTACAAGTTTTCTTTTTTCGACCAACCACAAATTCTGATATAAATTAGGAGCATAAATATTCAATTATAAAGTGCTATTAGCACTATTGAAGAAGGTGCTGTTGGAAAGTAGAATAGCAATGAGCACAGAATGAAATGAAATATTTACACTTTCTGTATGACACAGTACGACACATAACCATTCTTGTTATATTTATGCATGTACAACCTGATGATGATGAGTAAGTTATGCGAACAAAGGCGAATGCGATTTTCTAAGGTAGTGAGTGACTCATTTGTTGCCATCTGCTGTTGCTGCTTCGTTCTGGTTTGCTAATTCAACAGACATTATGCAATTTTACATTTGCTGCAAAAAGGCTTATTATCATGACAAAATTTAACCATATTTACATTGTCATTATGCAAACGAGCAAGAAAGAAGGATTAATTTCTGTAATTCGTTAGGTTCCATTGCAATGCTGTGCTGATCAGTAAAACGATAAAGTTAAATGCAAACTGAAAGAAAACAGTTTAATAAAACGAAATCTGACGTCCAATATTTTAATTATTCATATGACCACACGAAAGGCAAGTGTAGAGCATGAAATTTCACAGAAGATTAACTTAACGACGCGTAAAGTGATAATGATTAATTTCAATGATACAAGTATCACCGTATTTTTACGAGTTCGTAATAAGAACGGATAGTGAATATGTGCATATGTATAAATCTGATAGTGGGCAAAGGTCGAGGTCTAGGTCGTTTTCTTATGCTTGTCATCACAATGTCAACCCATGTTTCCAATCCCACCCTGACAACTTCCAAAAGATAATAAAATCAATTTGCGAATCATGAAGTTTTTTTACAAAGACAGACAGACAGACAAAACTCTATGCATGGAATATGTGCGAGCAAATATATATCTGTACGTGTGAAATTTGATATCTGAAAACTGATGCCTCCTTAAGAAACCATAAAGTTCGGACCACAGAGTTCAACCACGACTTTCACATTTTTACGACAACTTATTGATCAGTGTTGTGCACAAATGTATTTGAGTAGTCCAGAATTTCGGACATTAAATACGTACACCATAAAAATAATTGTTGAGAAATTAATTTGCCAAATTGATTTTTTCACAGCTCCTTCTTGACGGAGACAAAATTTGTAGTAACCCGGCGCCATGGTCCATAAGTGTTGGAGATTTGTTGGAAGACGACTTCTCTATTTAAAGTTTAAAATTAGAATATATTAACAGAGAATATTGTAGTACATATTTATGCAGCACTGGATCCGTATGTATATTAGACTGACTATAAGATGACTAATGATCTCTAAGTTATCACCAGAAGTTTATGATTAATTGTGTATCTGGATATTGTTGTGTTTGTGATTGATTTATGATGTCTCGACGCAAATGTATATGCATCATACGTACATTCAAAAACATGCATTACCAGTTGTATTATGTATTTAAATTCAATTGTAAGTTAATATGCATTTAATTTTAAATATATGCAAGGGTACATTACATGCATGTGCAATTGAAATATCGCCCACGTTGAACATCTTACGCAAAAAAATGGCCAGTGTTGATCGATTTTGACAGAAAATGAGACTTATTTAAATGGACAATTTCAAAGAGACAATGCTACACAATTTATCTTGGCACATTTGCTGAGAATAGAAATAAAGTTAAGATGTAAAGTAGCGACTTGATAGAAATTGCAGGGAATAAATCTAACCATTCACACATGACATCGCATTCGCATCACAACCACAACATAAAAGTTTTATTACTTGTTTTGTAAGAGACAATAACGTATTTTCTTGTACATACGTATGATGCATGGGCGAGGGTAAAATTTTGCGTTTATTCATGATCTAATAAAATTTTACGCTTTTTAACATATTTTATTAGGAGATGAATCTTAATGAGGCAAAATCATAAATGTCGATCCAATGTAAATATTTAATTGGATCAGAAATTTTAAATAATTGGGATAGATTTTATATGGTTGTCTTTTGTTGTGGTCCACGGGGTTCAAGTTTTGGGAATCTCCGTTTATGAACAAAAATACATTTAGTCATGCAATTTTATTTAACCACAAACTCGGTATTATGTACAAATCACAAATCAAGATATGAGCAAAAATTCTAACGCCCAAATCGTTTAATAAAGCAAATAAACAAATTTTCAGATCTATTGACGAGAGTAAACATTGTCCGTTTTAAAAAAATCGGCATTTAAACTATAATCGGCACTTCATCTTGAAAAAAAAAAAAAAATTAGACTGGACAGACTGACATTTTAAACCTTTGACATTTAATACACCGCTGGCTTTGACTCCTCGCAAGATTCATGTGGTGATTAGTAGGAAGAAGTGAAAAAACAAAGCCAAATAGATAAAGTTGTCCGGAAATCAACTCACAGACAGTATGCGAAAGGTCTTGAAAAAATAATAAAAAGATGATTTGCATCCTTATAAGTCATCTGGTCGTAAACCGGAGATTTGAGATGGGATGAGAGAGAGTGCGACAGAAATAAGGACACTGCATGTGCATATCTACGAGGCTAAAAAATCTTCTCGACGTATGCAGCCAGACTTTTTTCTATTATGATGAAGCAACATAACAACTGATGTTGATGGCATCATAATCTGGCTCAAAATCTTTTAACTCACAACTA